GCTCCCACGGGGCGCTTAACAGCATGAAACCGTCGACGTCCCGACATCGCAGGGTTCTCTGTCACACAATTTTAAGCCTATAATTTACAATGTTACGACTGGAGAAGTGGGAACGAACCACTTTGGCGCTGCTCATTGGCTTTTGGTGTGCGCGCGCCTTTTGCTCATTTGCATTATTCCGTTCGGCCCCTTTTTTTTCGCCACAAGTTTAACTCGAAATTAAAGTGCGCGCAAGTGTAATTAAGTACTTGAATTATATAAATCCTTGGCGTGGTAGCCAAGGCCGCACATAGCCCGCCACTCCCACTCCCTGAGCCACGACAAAACATTAACCAAAATGCTTATTGCCATTATTTGCAACCCAGTCAACTGTAAATGGGTTAAACTCCAGGGATTTATGACAATTTTTAATTAGTTGCTGCCATTGCCACGTCCCCAGCAGCCGCATCCAATCACGCTCTGCGCTAACAATACAAATTTTAATAAAAATAATCGACACGAAAATTTGGTTGCAGAAACTTATTTGATTGCTGGTCTTTGCGCGCACCGAAGAAATTTATTTATTGCAAAATCCCCTGGCATACAGTGGACGATTTCATACTTTTAACTAGAATTTTCATCTAGACAATGCCTCATTCAAAAAAAGCATAAAAATATAGAAAAATGGCATAAAACTCAAAATTGCTAGCATAATTAAATTAATAAAAACTAAATTATATAAATTATTTTATAGTTTATTTATTTCAGTTTTTATTTTAATTTATCATTATTTAAATTTATATGCTATTGCAGTGTTACATTTATTTTTTTTTTATGTATTTATTGTTTTAGTAATTTGATTTTAATACATACAGTATTTATTTTTGTACTTCTGGAATAATTTTGTTTTCTTATTTATTTTTGAATTTCATTTTAAATTGAATTATTTTATTGCTTTTTTATTTATTTATGATTTAAAGTCATTTTGTTTTTGTTGTTTATTTTATTTAGTTTTTTCATACTATTGCAGTTTTGCATTTACTTGATTTATTTTATTTTTATGTATTTATTTTTTTAGTTTTATTTTTAATTTAATTATTTTTTTGCTTTTTTATTTATTTACGATTTACAGTTGTTGTTTTTTTGTTTATTTTTTTTTTAGTTTTTCATTATTTTTGTATTGGTTTTTAATTATTACTTATTTATTATTCATTCATTTGTTTATTTTTAATTTATATTTTATTTATTTATTGATTTAATTAATTTTATTTATTTTTGAATTATGTATATTTAATAATTTATCGTATTGTGCTTCTTCACATATTTAGGATCAACCATCATCCCTCTAAGTTTTCAAGCTAATATTACATGAGAGCTAAAAATATAAAAAACCCCACTGTGCAGCAGCTTTTGATGTTTTGTCAAATTTGCGTTAATTTTCAGGTAAAAGTTTTTGCCACACACACATACACACACACTTTGCAAAACATTCTTTCATTGCCGCATCCTGAAAATTTCAAAAGTTTTATTGATTTTGGTAGCGCAAATTGCAAAATATTGTATTCAAAGTGAAAGTAAAAGTTGGCCAGCATTCGACATTTTTAAAAGTTGCTGAATGTGCCAAGTGTGTACCAAAATTAATACAATAAAAATGGGAGAAAATGGAGTAACAGTGTGTACACACTATTTGAATATTAATACGTAATGATGGCAGACGGTATGTCTGGCAAGCATTTGAAAGAGCGAGATGACAAGTGACGCGCAAAAGTGTCGCAAAAGTACAGCTACATATGTATGTATATGCACACAAATGGGCACGTGTACAAATATACAAGCTTGACATGCAGCGTCTTGCATACTTATTCATATGTGTGTATATATGTATGTATGTACATACGTACATATGCAGACGACAAAATGCTTTTCTGGAAGTTTCGTTCCACATGGCTGTTTCTTCTACAAATAATAAAAAATAACTCATTCTGTTGTACAGATGTTATATTCTGTTATGTTGCCTGCTCATAATGCTTAGAAAATGTAAAATAAAATGTTAATACACACAAACATATGTAGATAGCCTGAGAGTTTTCCATTTTTAACATAATTTGTGCAATTCTGTAGACGCTGGTACCTCTGTCCTTGAAAACGATGCTTCTAGGTACTGCGCAGCCGCGCAAGCTTCAAGGCCAAGGCACGCACACCAGACAGACAGAAAGTCTGCACAAATTGCAAATTGTTGTTGCCTTGCAAGCAATCTCATACATTTCTTGTAAAAAATCGAGCTAATATGTGTGCTGTGCGTCTAACTGTCTAGCCTTGAAGTGCGCAGCCGCATTGTCTGCGCAATATCTAGGGAATTGTCAGTGAAGGCTACAGTGCGCAGAAAACGAATTTTTAATAGTGTCGCACTTACCCTTTTTAATCCACCTGCATCGATCAAGCTTTTACCCTGTTTTTTGCTAAATATGCACAAAATTATAACTTGAACTACTAGACTGCAATTTGTATTCATATTTTTTACACATCTTTCACTTTATTATGTATTTTTTCGGGAATTCCTTACTAGATTCCACGAACTAAGCACCGTACAGTTTGGCAGACGAAACGTAAAAGAGAGAGTCGCAAGTTGCAGTTGGACACCTAACATGAGGCGCAGGGTTGCATTTGCCAATAATTTATAAGTTGTTATCGACTTGAAGCAATTAACTAAATATAAAATTTTCCAAAGTTCTTATACGCTTTTATTATGTGACAGGCAAGTTGTTAGTTAATAAATTAACTAATATTTTTGCGAATTACATCGCTTATTGTCTTCTTTTTACGATTGTTGTCAGCAATCTGGCAATATGTGGAGTAGAGCGCAGCCAACTTCATCGACTCCTATGTGGAATTAGGGCGCCAATTTGAAATGTTGATGCCTAATTATTCAAAGCACTTTTAGTTAATAATTTAAGGGATTTAAATTAACATTGCTAAAAATTTAAAAAATGCATGAAAAAATCTAATAAATCGTCTAAAATTATTCAATTTTTTCTATAACTATTCCGAATGTTCCGGTTTTCCAAACCGATTACTTTTCTCCAATTCTAATTAGAGATGATTTTTGATTTGTTATTAACAATACATTTCTCGAACTCTAAACAAAATAAGAAAATTTCATTAACACAAAAGTAAATGAATTGATTTCGATAAAATTGTGCTTACATACAAGTATTTGTATCAGCTGGGAAAACTAGCCCATTAGGAATATTTTTTTTGCAATTTGAAAACAAGTACGAAATTGCATATCTCTAAAAGAAATCTATTACCATTTATTGAATTAATTTATTTTTCGATTAGAAATAAATACAATATTTCGATTATATTCATTTATAGTCTTGAAATGCCCGTCGGCGACTCTCTTGTCAAGTTGATATAAAAATCTTAATTTTATTTATATTCAATTGATACTGAACCAAATGTATGAGATATTTTTGCCAATAAATTAAGTGTATTTAAATGGGGACAATTACAGAATTTTCATCGCATTTGATATAATTGATACAAAAACATTTTTCAAGTGCTCGCCTTTTTTATGAAAGATTACAAAACGTATATAACTTAGACGCAGCAATTAAGACCTTGGATACAGGTGAGAAACGCTCAAATAATTTTGGGATGCACATCAATCACATGGGATATTTTTAGCGAGTAACTAGGGAAATATCTAGCTATTATTATGATGTATACCATTCCTATGTTTATTCAAGACACTTGCTAGTACAACAACTAAATGTATAGTATAGTAATCTTTTTCGTAAATATGGTCTATTAACCCATAAAGATTACGAACTAAAACTATTTGTAACTGCGCCTACTTGTATTTAGGTGAGTGTGGAAATAGAACGAACTCATTTCGTACGCTCGAACTCGTTTTGTTTGAGTGACTACTATGCTACAAGTATTGCTAGTATTATTATTATTTAAATGGAAAGATAATAAATGTATTTACAAATGTACCGGTTTTTTTCAATTGCATGTCAATGATAATTGCCTTTCCTACGCAGCAGCTCTATTGGTATGAGTGCATGCTTAAATACAATATAATATATGTTGAACTGGGGCGCCATTGTTATACACTAAGAGAAAAACAAAACGATAATTTACAGTATTCCGGTCATTTAATATATTTAAATATGTGTCGCAATAAAGTTTTGTTTTAAAACTAGTGCGAGAAAAAAAGCAAAAAGGAGACAAAACTTTGAGTATAATTCCTAGAAGGGCTTTCAGCGGTTGAGTGGCATAAATACAAAGCGGGTGGATTTCATTAAAAATATACACTTTATACATTGAATAGGAAATATAATGCTATACAATATCATAAAGTTATTAAGGGTGGTTGGTTTTAATGAGTCAAGATGGATTGCACTTTTGTTACTGAAATAAGCTTTAGAAACTAAGTAAAAATGGAAGAAAAAAGTTGTAATTATTTCCAGTTATGTTTTTTTTTAAATATACTATTTCTCTCTTCTATTTTGGACATTGTGATTGGACCAATAATTGCCCAGATTTTCGCAGTTACGCTGCACTTGGTTTTAGAGCAGAAACAGCTGTCGTTTTTTTCTTGTGTAATGCGGTTATGTGTTTCTACAATAAAAGTCCACTTTGCAACCCATTATACTTACAGGTCATTAAAACAAATAATAACACAAACAGCTGTCTTCGAAACAGTAGCGATCACTTTTGTGCCCCATGGTGCACAGGTCTTATCACTTTTATTTTGTGAGAGCTCAATGCCGTCGCCGCCATATGTTTTCCCGATGTAGAGCTATTCATTCGCTACAACTACGAACCGACGACATCGTCATCTAGCAGAAAAAAACAACAACAACAACAACAACAGCAACATAATCAATTGTTGTGAGTCTCAGTAATGTACGAGTACTTGATAAGCTCATTTCGTGCGTGATTAAAAGTTGCCGACTGAGGCTGTTTGGGGAGATTGTACTCCATAAGTGTGCCCCCATAGAAAGAACTTTCAGTTGCAGGCCGACAACGTCGCACGGCGGAAGTGTTTCTTTCGTTTCAATCTCGGAGGTCTCTACTTTCCCTCCTCCCCTCCCATTCCAATCCACTCGATCCCAATCCCATCAGGAACATGGACGTACAAGTGGGTGTTGGGGATCTGTTGAAACTGGGTGCAAAGTGAGTGAAAACATAAACCTCGAAATAGCTGGCATAATTGTTCATTTACCCACGTACTTGTATAGTATCTGATAAGATATACTTGTAGCACATATCAGTCGTTAAATGCTATCAGTACGCTGATTAACAAACTGTCGATAAACCCATTGCAGACTTATTGCCCATAAAGTAATACAGTACCGTTTGGGGACCAAGCACACCACAGAGTTGGCCACCAAGTATGGCAGAGTGAAGGGTCTACAACGCAAGACAATCTACGATGGAGAACTGTATTTTGCCTTCGAGGGCATACCGTTTGCCAAGCCCCCACTGGGTGAGCTACGATTTCGCGCCCCACAACCAGTGGAGCCCTGGCAGGGAGTGAGGGACTGCACATTTCCGCGCGGCAAGCCCCTGCAAAAACACTTTGTACTCAAAGTGATGGAGGGATCCGAGGACTGCCTGTATTTAAATGTGTATGCTAAGAAGCTGAAGGAAGGCTCCTCAACGACTCCATTGCCAGTCATTGTGTGGATTTATGGCGGAGGTTTTCAAATAGGCGAGGCCACCCGAGATTTTTACAGTCCGGACTATTTTATGAAGCACGACGTTGTGCTTGTCACGTTCAATTATAGACTTGGCGTCTTGGGTGAGTAATTATTGCTGTCGAGAACTTCTCCAACCTATATGCATAATTTTTGAAAGCACCGTTCTCAAGGAAAGAAAGAAAGTCACTAGTTACTTGACCAGTTTCAAATGAAAACTGTCAATAGTTTATCAATGCGGCTAGTTTAAAACTAGTTTTTCCAATGTTTCAATTAAATCACAACAAATACGTGAGAGGGTCATTAAATGTTTAATTGAATTCATTCAGAAGCCAAGCGATTGACTTACAATTTGTTTATTCACTTACAGGTTTTCTTAGCCTGAAGGATCGTGACTTGGATGTGCCCGGCAATGCTGGCTTGAAGGATCAGGTGCAGGCTCTACGCTGGATACACGAAAACATAGCCGAATTCAATGGCGATCCCAACAACATCACTCTGATGGGGGAAAGCGCAGGTGCCGCCTCCACAGAGGTGATGATGACCACCGAGCAGACACGCGGACTCTTCCACAAGGCGATCATGCAATCGGGATCGTCGCTGTGTTCCTGGGCCAATGAACCTGATCGCAGTTGGCCCTATCGCCTGGCCTGTCGACTCGGCTATGCGGGTAGCGAGAATGAGAAGGAGGTCTTTCGATTTCTGCTCAAGGCCTCGCCCAATGATATTACCTCTCAATGCAATAATGTTCTAACAAAGGAGGAGGTCCGCGACTATCTAATGTTTCCTTTTGGACCAGTTGTGGAACCCTATGTTAGCGAACATTGCGTCATACCCAAGCCCCAGAGCGAGCAATTGGCCACGGCCTGGGGCAACGAGCTGCCTCTCATCATTGGAGGCACCTCCTTTGAAGGTCTCTTCTCCTATCAGTCCACCATGCATGATGCCGAGCACATGCTCAGCTCCTTTGAGGCCATCTTGCCGCGTAGCGTGCGTGAGCAGAGCACCCCGGCTGAAATTCGGGAGCTGGTGCGCCAATTGAAGATCTTCTACTTTGAGGATGCCACGCGGGGCAGTATGGAGTTTAACGAATGCCTCCAAGTGCTATCTATAAAGCATTTCTGGCACGACATGCATCGCACACTATTGGCCCGCCTACCTAACTCCAAGTTCCCCACCTACCTGTATCGATTCGACTTTGATTCTCCACACTTCAACCATTATCGCATTCTCTTATGTGGACGGCATCAACGAGGCGTCTCGCACGCCGACGACATCTCCTATATGTTTTACCATATTTTGTCCAGCAAAATAGATAAGACGTCACCCGAATATCGTACTATAGAGCGACTAATTGCCATGTGGACATCGTTCGCCGCCCACGGTAACCCCAACTGTGAGGCAATAGCCCCAACTAGCTGGAACGCCCTGGAGGCGGATGGTCCTCGTCGCTGCCTGAACATTAGCGAGCGGGTTGAGTTCATCACCCTGCCCGAAACAAAACAGTTTGAATTATGGGATAGTTTCTACACAAAGCAAGATCCACAGTGACGAATATTTATATATATATATATAAGTAGTATGTACATATTTGATGGGCGTGTTTGTTGGGATGCAATCATTGTTTTTGTTGTTGTTGTTCCGATTAGTTTAAACAGGTTTTTTGTTAATAACTTTATAGTAATAAAGGCATATGCAAGTCTCATGTAGTGTTGCCTCCGTAAAGTGACATTAAATAACATTTTAGTACGTGTTTATAGTATATACACATATATATGTATATAAGTCAAGTATTTCAATGATAAGTACCAGTAGGTGAGCATTATGGGGTCACTTAATGTCATTAAATGATAATGAAGTGATGTGTACGAGCAAAAAATGTGCGCTTCGAGACTTAAAAAGTGTTTAGACACACACGCTGTTTAACCAATCATTAGACTTATTAATCTATAGTACGTCTATTGCGATATAATTGAAATATACACGGGCGTAAATAAATTAACGATTTGGTCTGACACATCACAATATTTGAATAAATAGACGCATAGGAATTAAGGCATTAATAAGAGATCACATATAAATTGATTTGAGTCTGATATATCAATAAAGGGATCTCTATGTATTAGTCGTTTCAAATTTAACAAAATAAAGAGTTTTATTCCATAGTCGTTCCTTACATTCCTTAAATATATTTCTGGGATTTCATGTTTTTGAGTTTTGAGAGACATGGCAGAAACAGAAATGGGAGATCGATAAGTAAGTATAATTATAGAGATAAACTGAAACTTTATATTCGACATCTATGAGTAGCAAATTCTGCTTATATTTATCGTAGAATTAGGAAGTTAATATGGGGTTAAATAATTCAATATTGATAATTGATGGATAATTCACAGTTGATATCCATACGAGTATATACAGATTCAAGAAAAGTATCGGAAATATAACAAACAGAAATTAATTTAAAGATTAAAGAAAACTAGAATTATAGGGTACTACATATGAGCAACACATTTAGTTTAAATCTATAAACTTTAATTAATTAATTTAAATCTATAAGTTTTAACATATATTATAGATTTGTACAAAAATATCTTTTATTTATGGTAAATGTAATACATTTTTCAAATTTATCTCAAGAAGTTTGGCAGGAAATCCTTAAATGATATAAAATACAAATGGCACAGATATCTATTAATCATATATATCAGATTGTACAGAATATTGGACTTAGACCCTTATATATTAGCTACACATTTGGAATACAAAACTGTAAGTTATATTCGCAGCACTCTCATCACATGGCACAATCTACTCTAGAATGGAAATGCGATAATAACAATTAGACTTATTTACATATTTTATGGATTTTTGTTCAATACAAAGCGTCCTTGGGGTAAAAGCTATCCCAGACGCTCAGCACCTTGCCTTCGGGCAATTCAATCATCTCTAGTTTATCGCTTATATTGAAGCACATATCAGGCTCCTCCTGAACGGATTGCCACAGCGCCGGCGCTGTGACGTCACAGTTAGGATCCCCACTGGCCGCGAAGGCCGTCCACATGCCCACCATCCGCTCTATGGTGCGGTATTCCAGCGACGTCTTATTCAGCTTCGAGGCAATGATATTGTAGAACATGTAGGAGAGATCGTCCGCGTGGGCGACGCCACGCACCTGATCTCCGCAAACCAGACGCCGAAACTGATTGAAATGTGGGGAATCGAAATCGAAGCGATATAGATAAGTGGGGGCGTTCGCTGCGTAGGCCCGACGCGCCAGCACCGTGCGATGCAAATCGTGCCAAATCTGACGATGTGAGTGGATGTTCATCACCTCGAAGAAGTTCATGGATTCCCGTTGCTCGTCTCCGAAATATGCATGTTTCAGGCGTCTCACCAGTGTCTGCACTTCCTCTGGGGTGCTCATTTCCTGGACTTCGCGCGGCAACATATTTTCGAAATTGACCAGCACCCAAGGATCGTTGTGTGTTAGCTGATAGGAGAAGAGTCCCTCAAACGATGTGCCGCCCACAATAATGGGAATGGCATTACCCCACGCATTTGGTAGCATATCTCTGTGCGGTTTCGGCACCACACAATGCGCAGACTCGTACGGCTCCACAACAGGCCCAAAGGCGAAAATAATAAAATTACGCATCTCATCTAGGGTCAATATGTCCTGATCATTAGCGGCAATCTGACGCGCAGAGACTTTGCTAAGGAACTTCAACACATCCGCATCCTTCTCGTCACCCTTGTATCCAATATATTTGGCCAGGCGATAGGCCCAATTGTGATCCGGTGCCTCCACCCAGGCAGACAGCGCACAGCCTGATTGCAGAATGGCTTTGTGGAAGAGTCCTCGAGTGTGTTCGGTGGTCATCATAATGTTGGTGGAGGCTGCGCCAGCGCTTTCACCCATTAGGGTGATATTGTTGGGATCTCCGTTAAAATGCGCTATATTCTGACTGATCCAACGAAGTGCCTGCACTTGATCCTTAAGTCCTGCGTTGCCGGGCACATCGAGAGTGGGATCCTTAAGACTAAGAAAACCTGCAACATAAAGAGAGATGAACAATAAGAATTTCGAAATTTCGATTTACTATTCTAAAACGGATGCGAATTATGCGTGACTCTCTAGAAAATATGTTAGTTATGAGTTCTGTATCTATAGTAGAGATCGGTGCAAGACCGTACATATAGGTATATAGGTAAGCTATAGAAACGTGTATTAGAGATGGGTCTGTGAGGGAATGCAAAATGTGCGCGTCTACTACAAAAGCTATAGCCGACATGATATTTAGTGAGTCTGGTTATTACATTTTATATATACACACGACTTACCCAGCGCTCCCAGTCTGTAATTGATGGAAACGAAGACCACATTTTGCTTCATAAAGTAGTCCGGGCTGTAGAAATCTCTAGAAGCCTCGCCTTTCTGAAAGCCACCGCCGTAGATCCAAACGATGACCGGCAGTGGTTTCTCCGACTCCATCGTTTTTACATACACATTTAAATGCAAGCAATTTTCCGATCCCTCCACAATGCCAAGGATCATGTTCCTCTGTAGCGGCTTTGCCCGATATGTGGTGCAGTCCTTAACGCCCTGCCACGGCTCCGGCGGCTGTGGTGCACGAAAGCGCAGCTCACCCACTGGGGGCTTGGCATAGGGTATGCCCTCGAACGCATAGTACGGCTCCTCATCGTAGATCGTCTTGCGCTGCAGACCCCGCACTTGTCCGAACTTGGTGTCCACAATGATTGTCTTGCTGGTCGCCAGACGGTATTGTTGCAGCTTGTGGCCGACGAGTCTGGCGAGGGCGACGAAAACAATAATACGCGTATCAACAAATGTCAAATCTCAACGCCTTCTGATACGGATGGAATAAGAGAGAGCGAGAGATAACCTCGCCGTTCAAAGTGCAATGTCTAGTTGTTTGATTTGGACTCGCACTTGAATTGAAAACGATGTAAACATGTACATACATACATATGTACATATGTATGTACACACAATATTTGTACATACATCTGTATATTGTTTACTTACTTGGCGCCCATTTGCAATAATTTCGGCAGCCCAACTTGCACTTCCATGTCTCTGTTCCTGCTTAATTTTTTTTGGGAAAATTTAGAAGAAAATAATTTATAGAAATAGTGTGAAAATTGCTAAAGTTCTGTGTTTGCTCTAATTTCGTTGGTCGTCTCTTGCGACCTATTCTAGGGCTCAACCAAAAAACGAGTGCACAAATTTATTTAGCGGATTGATTAATAAACTCGACGCGCGCTATCTTGCATTCCTTTTTACACTCGCACTCACACACACTCGCACACATGTGAAGGCCTCGCAGAGTTGCCAATTTGGACATTTTCCCACCAATTGTAGGCCTTTTCAAGTTCCGATTGTCAATAAAATTATAAATATGTTACTGGCGGGACTTATAGCGTGCTTTTACTGGAATAGTTCCCAAATATATATACTGGTATTGATAATACTTCAAGTCGGACTCATTAGCGTTGCTGTTCTGTAGTATTTGTTGATATCGCCATTAAAATTTATAATAATTTGTTTTCTGAAAAAGAGCTTGTAATTCAATAAATGAAGCATGTTACAGGCCAAACTTGCACAAGAGCGATCAGATCAAATCGCTCATCATGTAGCTGTTATTTAAATAACTGCGTAACATGTTTATAAAAGTCCCTTAAGAGAAGTCGAAACCTAACAGAACAGACTTCTAATGAAATGGAAATGTATGTGTGTGTAGATAATTTTAATGAAAAATAATAATCAACATTATTATTTTCAGCATTATTATATTTTAAGGCCATTTCTGTCTGTTACCAATTTCTGATCTAGCTTTTTCTGATCCTCAAGAACTGGCAGCACTGGTCGTTTGCTCTTAGCTCTCTCTGGTTTGTTTTGCTTACACTGTTCTTCGCCGTACAGCTCAGCAAATTATGTCACAGCGTCACAAAAATACAGCAGCTGCTGTTAATGTTAACTTAACAGAAACAGAGAGCGAGAGAGAAAGAGAAAACTGTTGGTTAAAAGACCAAGCGCAATCGGCTTTATAAGGTCTGTTCCCTATCTTGGTAATTGTAACAATTTTGTAAATTCAATTTATTTGTATCGCGATCTTCACAAAAACTTAATTAAGCCCGCTTGACTTTTAAAATTGTTCAGTAAAAAACGTAGCTTAGTAAATAAGTTTCACCGACAAATTTTTCCTCCACCAATTCCGATATGCGAAATTTCTTTATATTTATGTACATTTTTAATCGGCTCTTTGCTCGAATGGGAACGGGTTTTTAACTTTTTCACATTAAAAACTACCAATTGGTGCATTTTTCCTGAACGCACCCACACCATAATTTTCCATTTATCATGATCATATATACATACATACATATATACATACTTGCATGTATATTAAATATGGGAGTGTGCATGCCTCCCATACACAAATAAAAGTTTGTACAGAAATAAGTTATGTCATCCTGTTACAAGAACTGTTGCTATAAATAGCCTTTGGCACAGGTACACACTTCAACATATGCATATGTATGTATTTACTCGTATATATGTATGTATGAACATATTTACATACATATGTTCTAGTTTTCTAAATTATGTTTCTACTCTAGCCGTTATTGTAACAGTACTTTTATTTGTAAGCAGCATGACACCAGATTTTTCTAAGTCTTTCAGCTGGCTATAAAGCGAACTAGGGCTGGCGTATAGCACATACGGAGCACTCTTTGCATTAGCCACCGATTTGGAATTTATGTTTATGAATAGCTGTTGACCGATGCGGAAAGGTGTGGTTTACTTGTGCATTTGCTAAAATGGTAAGTCCGCTATATTAATCTATTACAAATTAATAATTTTTCATATTCAAAATACTCGAAATATCGAATCAACATTCTGCAACAAGAGGAGAGTGATAACAATAAACCATTTAAATTTTTTGCTCGGACACGTCCAAACAGCATATTATGGTAGATTTTTTAGATTGTAATATATAGAATTGGCGCTCGAACTTTAAGTACGTTTGGAAAACGGGATACTTTTAGTTCTTGAGTTCAGTGATGCAATCAAAAAATATGAAATTGTCATCACCGGTTGATTTTGAAAGTATGTATTAAGCCTTTTTGTTTTAGATAAAATGACACTATTGCGGATATATGTACATACATATAATCAGCGTACCAGGAAGGCATTTGGCATTGAAACCGAAACCGTTGATTTAAACAAGTGGAGAAGCTATAGTTGGGTGTCCCGACATTGAATTACTCTGTACATGTGTGTAGAATATTTAAAAAAATTAAAAAAAAAACTTTAAAAAAAATAGTTGATTGGTTTTACCTTCTTTGGTATTTGAACTCACGTAAAGGGTGTAATTTCACATTTACATAGAAATTGTGTCAATGCTGAGCCAAAGCAGCAACAACAACAACAGCTGTGGGCAGCGTTTGGGCAAATATCATATTTATGGTTATAACTTCTTGTTAAATCGCCCTATAATGATGAAACTTAGTATACGGACACATAATCACTAACTAGATGTAATTACTAGATGTAATTACCAAACGGCGCTTCCGAAAATCCTACATAGTGGGGGATGGGCGGAGGTGTTAATATCAAAAAAATAAAACAAACTCACATAAGGCATATTTTTGCAAAATTTTGTGTCTAGCTCTTATAGTCTCTTAGATCCAGGTGTTCATACGGACGGACTAGATCGACACGTCTTGTCGTGCTGATCAAGAATATACATACATATATACTTTGAGGGATCTGCCACGCCTCCTTCTGTCTGTTAAATTTTTCAGCTCCCGCAAAACCTTATACATACATGTACAATATGTACATACACAATATATACATATGTTCATGTACAGAGTATAAAAAGTGCTCAGTCCGCTTCAATACTTTATGAATAGGTAGCAATACAAGCTGGCGACTATAGAAAGAATATTGCAAGAGCTGATGTATCTAGAATCGTTGTAATAAATGCCTTAATTGTAACTACAAGGCGAATTTTATCAGTTTATTAATTTCGTGTTACTGCAGCCCTGGGCGCAAAATAGAAAAAACGCAGAGCGTCATGATCCAAACACATAACCTGCAAGCTTGCATGGATGTATGTGCGTGTGTGTGTGTTTGCGAAGCAAAAGATAATAAGCAACAACAAGAACCACAACAAGTTCACGAAACGCAGCTGCTTGCGGTTTGTGTGTAAATAAATGAGCACTCAAAAGCAAAATCAGCTGTCTTCGTTTACCTCGCGCTCTTTCGCTTTGTGCTCGCGCCACAATCAAGTTGCCTTTGCTTTGCTGTAGTTTAGCTGTTCAAGATAAAAAATAAAACAACAACAATAAACAATAAAAACAAGCGCCATAAATGTTGTACTACAGCCACAGCTTTAGATAAAAGTGCAAAAGTGTCGAATTCATTGCTCATTACACGTTTAAACGTCAGCATGGAGAGGTTAGTGACGAATTGTGAATAGATCAGCATAAATTGAATAACAGTGTTGAATTTTCGACTTTACAGCGACGGAGCGCCCATTGAGGCTAAAACAAGCAGCGGCCCCATTATTGGCAAAGGTTGTAAGGCCGTCTATGGCGATGAGTACGTCAGCTTTGAGCGCATACCCTACGCTGAGCCGCCAATCGGGGAGCTGCGTTTCAAGGCCCCGCAGCCGGTCAAGCCGTGGACAGAGCCCCTGGATTGTCGTTACAAAGGCGAGAAGCCGCTGCAATACAACCATTTCACCCAACAATTGGAGGGCAGAGAGGATTGCCTCTATCTGAATGTGTATGCGAAGAAGGTAAGCTTTAGTCATCGTATTTTCAGATTATCGCTAAATGTGTCATATGCATGTACTTATATACTTGTACATATGTACATATGTATGTATGTATGTATTTGTGTGTGAAAATGATAAGCCTATCGTGTCAGCACACATCCAATTTGAGTGATAAAGGGATCTTTCGGTTTACCAAATTGGAATGCAAATTGTAGTATGTGTATACCAAAAACAAGAGAGTCGAGCACACTCTTTCTTTAAAATAATTGCCATAAACATTTATGATGCATCTGCAAATATGTATATATGTACATATGTATGTACCTTAACAAACCGACTAATAAATGCTCTTATTTGCAGCTTAATTCTTCACATCCACTGCCACTGATTGTCTTCTTTTTCGGTGGCGGCTTTGAGAAAGGAGATCCCACCACGGAACTGCACAGTCCCGATTATTTTATGATGCGTGATGTGGTGGTGGCCACTGTGTCCTATCGAGTCGGCGCCCTGGGCTTTCTCAGCCTCAAAGATGCCAAAGTGGGTGTGCCAGGCAATGCTGGCCTAAAGGATCAGTTTCTGGCGCTCCAATGGCTTAAACTGAATGCCTCAAATTTTAATGCCGATCCTTCCAATATCACTGTGTTCGGTGAGAGCGCAGGCGCTGCATCCGTACACTACCTAATGCTGAATCCACGTGCCGAGGGCCTCTTTCACAAGGCTATTCTTCAATCGGGCAATGTTTTGTGCTCGTGGGCGCTTTGTCCTTTGACGAATCTGCCGCAGCGCTTAGCCATTGCCTTGGGCATGGACGAAGTTGAGGCTGCCACCGATGCCAAACTTTTGGAATTTCTACAGAGAGTGCCGGGTGAGCAGCTGGTTAAGCCCTACCTGCTGAGTGCATCGGAGAATCTGGACGACTGCCTCTTCCAGTTTGGTCCCATGGTGGAACCGTACGCTTGTGAGCATTCAGTTCTGCTACAGCCTCCCAGCGAGCTACTGGCCAATGCGTGGGGCAACAAAATACCTGTCCTGATGAGCGGCACCTCATTCGAGGGCCTCCTAATGTATGCTCGTGTCCACTTGGCACCCTATTTGATAACCACACTCAAGGAGGAACCGGAGCATATGTTGCCGTTAGACCTGAAGCGTAACCTGCCATTGGACGTAGCACGTCGTCTTGGCCTGCTTTTGCAGCGGACGCACTTTGGCGAGAAGCCCATCGGCATGGACAGTGTGCTATCCTATTGCGAGGTGAGCGGAATTCTCAGTTTCTGGGGCACAATATATATTACGCGAAATGTAGAACTCTCTAGGATATATTTCTCCAACCATAATCATCATCATATACATTATCTGTTTGTTGGGATTGGGAGAAATTTATGTAATAGCTAGTTTGTTTGGGATAGTTTTTTGATCTGATACTACAAAAAAGCACAAACTTTCCCCACAATTATTCACCTATAAAACATGTTTAATTTAAACATGTTCATGAAATTATTGTAAAATTATTAATTATTGTGAAATTCGTGTGCAAATTATCTGGCTTTCTGACCACAGCTCAAGTCCACTGAACAAAATTAACATACGATTTATTGAACATAAAAATCTTTAAAGATTGTTCATAGCCAGAAGAGTTATGCAGACTATAATCTATTGAGAAATGAAGATGCTTTAATAGCTAGCTTAAGATATTTCAATTATTTCTAATTAATATATTTATTTTTGTTCTGTGCAGTATGCTAGCTACAAAGTCTTCTGGCATCCGATCATACGCGGTCTAAACAAACGCTTAGCCGTCTCTCAGGCGCCCACCTATCTCTATCGTTTCGACTTCGATTCGCCCACCTTCAATCACCAGCGATTGAAATACTGCGGCGATAAATTGCGCGGAGTTGCCCACGTTGATGATCATTCCTATCTGTGGTATGGCGCCTTCTCTTGGAAACTGGATCGTCATACTCCAGAGTTCCTGACAATTACGCGCATGATCGACATTGTAACAACCTTTGCTGCCACTTCGAATCCGAACTGTCCCAGCGTGGCATCGGAGCTTTCGAGGAGCTTGAAGTGGGCGCCTTTGCGGAAGGATGCGCCAACTATTGAGTGTCTGAATATCTCTGACCATATCAAGCTAATGGATTTGCCGGAGCAACAGAAATTGCTTGTTTGGGACAGCATTTATAAAAAGTAGCTGCAAAAAAAGGCTTGTTTTAAACTTGACATACATAACTGTATAACTATACATTTTAATAGTGTCCAAATTTTCCATGTATTAAAATTTAATCGTTGAGTATTGTGTAAAGATAAGATAATATAGTTGTGTTCGTACAAGTCCACAAATCATAGAAACAAATCAGCAGAGCTATCAAATTTATCAATCACAGCAAAAGAACAAATATATGTAAATACATATTTCCGTGAAGATTGTATTTTTTAAAATCCGGAAGCAAAAGTAGTTTAGTAATATTTGCTTCCATATTTTCACGAAATATGTAACTTGGCTTATCGTGAATTCAATTTATCGTTACACTATACATAATTATTTACTTTTATCTCAAATTTCATCCAAATCGTCAGTAGTTTTCTCTTCTTATTACAGACGGATATACTTACTATATAGTAAATGGAAATCGATTGATGCATTCGCAAGTCTATTGATTAAAAACAATGACTGTAAATCGCCCGATAAAGTAGAGTTTTGGTTGGGCAAATCGTACAAGTATTATCAATTGAAAATATATATGTAATAGTTTTCCATTTTTGGAATAAACATTTTAAAAGCTATTCTAGCGATTGCGGCAGTGATAACGAGAGATAATGCACACAATACAAGTTTCCTTACAATTTGCAGCCACTTTAATTGCGCGTGATACTCATATTTAGTATGCTGTTGAGTCGTGCCTCTGACGGTTGTTTAAAGGTTCTCAACTATGGCGACAAGGTGGGCTGATTTACACATACTTGTATATAGTATAGATAATATTTTTTGTGCTGATTACTCCTCCATCTTTATCACAGCTTGGACACCTATGAGCTCGCCCTGCCGCTGGGCCAAATTAGAGGCGTTAAGCGTCGCACTATCTATGATGACGAATACTATAGCTTTGAGCGATTGCCGTTTGCTAAGCCACCCATTGGAGAGCTACGTTTCAAGGCCCCCCAACCTGCGGGTGGATGGCAGGGCGTTCTTGATTGCACGAACTATGCTGCGAAGCCAGTTCAGAAAAGTTTTCTAAATGGTCAGCCCGAAGGCAGTGAGGACTGTTTGTATTTGAATGTATATGCGAAGCGAGTAAGTACTTTAGGGGGCTACTTAATCTGAGTCTAATATTTTTTTATATCTTGCAGCTAAATAGTGAGAAGCCATTGCCCGTGATTGTGTACATTTATGGCGGTTCTTTCTCAGTGGGTGAAGCAACTCGTGAGTTGTACTCTCCGGACTATTTCATGGCTAAAGATGTGGTGTTGGTTACACTCAATTATCGGGTGGACTGCCTAGGTAAGTCCTGAAAGCACAGAGAGAGAGCTTAGTTATTGTTCATGCTTTCTGCCTAAGGTTTTCTGAGCCTTAACGATCCAAGCGTAGAGATCCCAGGCAATGCAGGTCTTAAAGATCAAGTGCTGGCCCTTAAATGGGTTAAGCAATATGTAGAGCACTTCAATGGCGATACCAACAACATAACGGTCTGCGGAGAGAGTGCTGGAGGGTGTAGCACTCACTATATGATGTGCACGGAGCAGACTCGCGGCCTGTTCCATAAGGCCATTCCAATGTCGGGCACGGTGCTTAACTATTGGGCTAATACTCCACCAGCTGATTTCGCCTATCGCTTGGCCAAGCTGTATGGCTACAATGGGGAGAACGTCGACAAACAAGTGCTGGCCCATTTGCGTAGCTTAGAGGCATATCAACTGGTCAACCATAACCTTCTTACTGAAGAAGATCGACGACTGGGACTTATATGTGCTTTCGGAGCTACCGTGGAGTCGTATGTCGGACCGGACTGCGTTGTTCCTGGTCCACAGCTTGAAATGGTACGCAGTGCCTGGTCTAATGACTTGCCTGTGATGCTGGGAGGCACCTCGTTCGAGGGCCTCTTCATATATCCTGAACTTAAGGCCAATACAAAAGCCACGGACCATCTTTTTGACGATCCTGTGCGTGTGGTTCCTCATGATGTAAGCGTTCAAAACACTCAGGAAGAGAATTTGAAATATAGCGAGCGTATGATTCGGGCGTACTTCGGAAATGAGAAACCGAGCTCAGCCTTGCTGTTCAACTTTCTCGATGTAAGTGTTTTGAATCGAATGATATATCGAAAACTGATCTTAATCCTGTTTCCTTTGCAGTACTACTCCTATAAAATTTTCTGGCATGGCATCTATCGCAGTCTGCTCGCTCGATTAAAATACGCCCGCGCTCCGACCTATTTCTATCGCTTCGATTTCGACTCACCAGATTTTAATTTTTATAGAAAGTTATTCTGCGGAGACGACATTACAAAGGGTGTGGCCCATGCTGACGATCTGCCCTATTTGTTTTTCAACTTACAAGCCTGGAAACTGGACAAGTCATCCGCAGAGTATAAAACCATACAGCGCATGGTGGGCATGTGGACTGCCTTTGCGACCAGTTCTAATCCGAATTGCGAAGAAATCGCTCCCATTAATTGGAAACCTTCGAAAGCAGGGAAACCACAGGAAGTGCTCAACATAAGTCATGACGTAAGCATAATAGATCTTCCCGAATTCGAGAAGCTCAAGCTGTGGAACAGCCTCTATAAAGAGGAGGAATTGTATTGAATACTATCTATATATCTTGAAAGCAATTTATAAATATTACGTTCTGAAAATATAAACTTAAAGGGAATAAATTATTGTAAGCTAAGCTTGCATTGGAGTAATTTAATTTGAGGTTTTACATTGAATGTTTTATAAATAGTTATCAGTAATTGTCGGCGAATATAAATTTGGTTTGAAAAAAATGGCTAAAAATGGTTATCGCTGTCGGTTTTAAAAGAAAATGGCTAGAAACACAACTATAAGTAGAAGAAAATGGCTAGCAACACAATTATAAATAGAAGAAACGCTAGAAAATCCACTAAAAAATTGCTAGAAAAAAACGCTAGAAACAACGCTATAAATATTTATAAAACCTGCTAAAAAATTGATAGAAAATCTGTCGTTAATGTTAGTTGTCAATTCAACTTTCAAGAGCCTCAAAAGACACAGTTCAATTGCCATTAAAACTATACCTGGATTCCGAAAACCGCAAGAATTTTGAAGTGAAACTCAATTCAACTTTCAAGAGCCTCAGAAAACGCAGTTCTTTTGCCATCAAAACTATTCCTGGATTCCAAAAACCGCAAGAATTTTGAAGTTTCACTTCAAAAACACGTAGTGTATGTATCTTTGTATGTAATTATGTGTATCGGTCTGAATATGAAAAGAGAATTGCGAGATTTAATCGTAGCTTTCTATTGGTCAAATATATTTTCTTTCTTTTCTTTCTTTGCTTCAATGTGGTGAAAAGAGTTCTCTTTCAAAATGCTGAAGCCCTGAGAAGCTCTACGTCATTCAGTTTCCCGCCAAGCCTTTATATCAGCCGAAAAGTCTTCGAAAAAGTTAAAGAGCGGAACTACTGAAATCAATCAGAATTTAACCCAAATTTTTAAGCCCTTTCTTCGGAAAATCAGGGAAATAAACAGCGAAATGAAATTTAACATTTGTTTGCTGATCTAATAATTTATGGTAAAGATTTGAGTTACTAAGTAAGTTTCTCTTCCAACAGACATAGCCGTCAGGTCGACAGTTTTTTTTATACCCTGTACCCGTAGGGTAAAAAGGGTATATTAGGTTTGTGCAAAGTATGTAACATACAGAAGGAAGCATCTCCGACCCCATAAAGTATATATATTCTTGATCAGCATGACGAGAGAAATCGATCTAGACATGTCCGTCCGTCTGTCCGTCCGTCTGTCTGTCCGTCCGTCTGTCCGTCCGTCTGTCCGTCTGGATGAACGCAAGGATCTCAGAAACTATAAAAGCTAGAATAACCAAAGTTGGCATCCAGATTATCCTAGGTCCGAGAAAGGACGAGTTTATTTTTTTTTTTAATTTTCTCCCCCTTCCCCCGCTACAGAATTTCGTCAATAGCGTCCACATTTCAAATGCTACCTAAACCAAACTTTGCACACATAATTTATACATAATTGTCTACTGTTATTTTATTCAATTCGGTCAATTCTAAGAAAAGTTATTAGCGAAACAAATTCTCGCCAGTACAACCCCCCTAAACTGCAGCAACAAGTTCGCTCTTCTTCTTCCACTTTTTGCTGCTGCTATGGGCGCATATAACTCAGTGACGGAAGTTTACCTGGGTACAGGGTATTACACTGTCGGGCTTGCTCGACTGTAGCGTTCTCTCTTGTTTTTTTTGGCTCCTTTTGTTACCAAATCTTTGTTTGAGCTAACTATTTAAAAGAGCACTATAAGCAAGCTAATTCGCTGTTCCGTTACCTTGTCGTGAAAGTGTATTCTGTTGCTGCCTTAACATATATTAGTGAGAAAGTGCACTCAAAAGGATTTAGAAAGAATGGAAAGAGCGAGACAGAGGTGGGCTGTTGCTGAGTGTGAGCAAGAGGGGAAAACTTGCCGCGGGCAAGAAAATCAAATTAAATAAATTAAATGTCGAAAATATTTATTATTGATTACAATTTATACACATTTATATTTATATATAACAGTAGAAAATCAAAAGAATAATAAATTAATACTTATATTTTTTCAGCAACTAATTTTGGGTGTTCTTAGTAAAATAATTGCATAAGACAACAGTTTAACAAACTTTTTGTTTTAAAAATAATGAATAACTTCAAATATTTGTAATACACATAGCATATACTTGTACATACATATGTAAATTCATTAAATATTAGTATCATATGGCATACATATGTATATTTTCCAACGTATTGTTTAAATATAACTATTAAACTATTTACAAAGGAACTGCTTTCACTTCAATTCATTCATATGTAGTTAAACTGAATGTTTAATGTTTATACAAATTTGAATATTGAAAACTTTTGGATATGGACTTGGATTTCAATTAGGATAAATAAATAAATGGCAAATGATGGCATAGTGAGCTAATGCGTCACTTGTGTTGTTGATGTATGTAGCTCAGCGAACATTTTCCAAGACCGTGCTGGATCGCCACCAAAGATATCGTCATAATTTAATTCAGGTTCCAAAGTATATTATTATCTATGACTGGCAGTTTTCTTATAGCTATAGCATCATTTATTTATGGCGGCGATCTCCAAATCTCTTTCTAAAATTTAAAGTGCGCAACCAAAATAAAGCGAATATCACATTAAATATTATATTATATCGGACTATATACTTGTAACATAAAATATAAATCAGACAAATGTAAATTATGTCGAATTTGTTTGCTGTATATGTGAAGTATTTTATTATTGCCTTTGTATTGAATTACTCCAGACTATATTATTTAAATAAATATGTATGTATGTATTTAGATATATTTTTTACTATATAGTATACGCATACTCAGTTTAAAAGTATTAAATTTTATGTAATTTGCAGCAACCGCTTTTCCTCATAATAGGTCAGATTTATTTGATTTAATGCTCAATATTATTTTAAATATAGAACGAGCAGAAGAACAAACAATTAGTTACAATAAATGCCGATCGAGCTTAGGGACTACCCGATTTGATAGTTAGATTAAACTACTCCCTCTCCTATTATCAGGCAAACAAAACTTAAGTGCACGCGAAATTAAATATAATTTCATATTAACTTTCGAGTAGGTAGCACGGAGCGTTCTTCCTTGTATGCTGAACAGTTGAACATAAATATTATGACACCTATCAAACAAATAAATATGCTTTCGCAGATTGTCCAAATATTGCCCACCCACCAGATAAGCCTCAGTAATCTTAACTGTTACAGCTTATCAGCTGTCCGGCTGTGGTCCGAGGGTTCTTTTTCCAACATGTCGGAACAGTTATTTTTTGACTTTCGCAGCAATTCAATGACCGCGGACTAGTAAGTATGCTTTGAATATCCTTCCCAGAACCCGAAAAATGTTCATCAAATAGCAGTGAGACATCGCCGGTGGTGAAGACCACACACGGCCGTATTCGCGGAATCCTGTTGCAATCGCTCTACGATGAGCCTTTCTACGCTTTCGATGGCGTGCCGTATGCGGCACCACCCGTGGGGGCACTCCGTTTTAAAGCCCCTTACGACATTCGACCCTGGTACGGCATACGCGACTGCTCGCAGCCTCAAGACAAGTGTCTTCAGGTTAGCAGCTATACTAAGCAGGTGGAGGGCAGCGAGGACTGCCTTTATCTGAATATTTCGGTGAAGACGGTGAGTTGATTACGAAACACTGTAGTTGGTAAGTTGGATTTTATAAATCCGAGTCAGTATTTTTTATTACGATATCGGAATCAAATACAGTTTACGTTACTTTTTGTTTCACTGAAGTTTCGTGCATTCTAAACAGAAGAAAAGGTTCAGGGAATTAAAGTATTGGGCGCGTAAATTAAGTGCTCGAAATTCTGTTCTCTTGACAGTTGCACAGCGAGAAGCCATTGCCCATTATGGTCTATCTGCATGGCGGAGGCTACAAGGGAGGCGATCCATCCAGACGTGCCTGGGGGCCGGACTATTTTATGCAGCAACAGGTCATATTTGTGAGCATAGGCCATCGCTTGGGACCTTTTGGTGAGCATCGCGATTTTTCTTCCCCATTTCCATGGCTGTTTAAATAAATGACGCACCTCCTTTTTCCTGATTCTACAAATATTGAATAACTGTAGGATTTTTGAGTTTTGCTGATCCTTCGCTGGAGGTGCCGGGAAATGCAGGACTTAAGGACATTGTGCTGGGTCTTCAATGGATTAAGGCCAACGCAAGTAACTTTAATGGCGATCCCCACAATATTACACTGTTTGGACATAGTTCGGGGGCTGGAACGGCACACCTTCTTATGCAAAGTCCACGGACAGAGCTGCTTTTCAATAAGGCTATCCTTATGGCTGGCTTTATGACAGAGACGAATCGCTTACCGAACATGGAGTATCGTTTGGCCAAACATCTGGGATACGAGGGCGAAAACAACGATGTGGATGTGTACAATTTCATCAAACAGGCAGATCCAAAATTGGTAGCTTCTGCAGAGTTCTGGACGCCCGAGGAACGGGCACAAGGCTTATTGCTGGCTTTCACGCCCTGTGTAGAGCCCTACAATACGCCTTCTGCCGTACTGCTGGCCGAGCCCATCGAATTGCAGCGCTCCGCCTGGAGCAACAATATACCGCTTATCTTGGGTACAACAAGCTCTGAGGGCCTTTATGTGCACAAATGGCTTAAAGATAACCCTGCGATGCTGAACAATTTCCGAAAATATCCGGAACAACTGCTCCCCCGCACGCTTCAAAAGCGCTGCGATGTGGGCCAGAAACGTGAATTGGGCAAATCGTTGTTGCAATACTTTCTGGCCGGTCAAGAGCTAAGTTTGGAGAGTGTCGATCGTTTGGTGGACGTAAGTATATGGGGAAATATCTAATCTTGTCTGAGTAGAACTAATTCGGGACTGCTTTATAGCTCTATTCGTATTCCATGCTGCACTCCCAACAAAGAGTAGTCCACGCCCGTGGGGCCTACGGTCGGGCCCCCACCTATCTGTATCGCTTTGACTTCGACTCGCCCGACTTTAATTTCTATCGCGTACGCTTCCATGGACCCGAAATGCGCGGCGTCGGACATGTGGACGAGTTGGGCTATATTTTCGTAATACCCGCCACCTTTAAACTCGATGCAACAAGGCCCGAATACGCCACTATCCTTCGCATGGTTGCCATGTTTACCGAATTTGCTCTCAAATCCGATCCGAATGCCCCACTCACGCAATCTCTGGTGGATTGGAAGCCCATTGCTCGCTTTGGGCAGCGCCATTGCCTCAACATCAGTCATGAACTGCAACTTATTGCACAGCCAGAGCCACAGAAATTAAAGTTTTTCGATCAGCTGTACGAACAGGCGGCAGTGCCATTATTCTAACAAGAAGAAATACGTAATCGCTTTCATCATAATCAAGCCTAGCTTCTGAATTGTAAAGGCACTGATATTTGAAAATACTCGTATTTATACGCCCAGTGATAAACGGCTTAAGCAGCTAAAAAGAAAACGACATTTTTAAGCACTAACGAAAATATATATGAACGAGGTTTAATCAAAATTCATCGATCCAGCTAATTGTTTACTTGTTAGAGCGATCCTCCTTTTCCGCAGCACTGTGGAATATATGTGATAAGGAAAGAAAAAGCATCCAATTTTTCCCTTGACAACTTTTTTCATACAAATTCTAAATGTAATGTAACACTCGTATAATCATCAGTTATTTACTAAGCTCAGCTTATTCGGATATAAGATTGGAATCATCGAAAGATATCATGTGGTATTATGTCATATTTATGGATATCTACAAAAGATTGCCTTTATTGCCTTTTGTCCACTTATATTTACGAAAATAACGATTGTAAATCCCTCAATAAAGTTGAGTTTTGTTTGGGATAATCAGGAATTAAATGACAAATTTGTGGTGTCTATATGATTTGCAGTTTTTAGAATAAACATTTTAGCTGCTGATAAGGTTGTTCAATTTAACGAATACTGTCGGGCTTTAACAAATAAGCACGTGCATGAAAAAATCGAGGCTAGACTCGCTCAGTTGAATACCCTTTAAAGAGTAGTGAGGCATTACAAAATATTTTAATGGCAATAACAGTGATTTTAAAAAACCCTTTCACCCATAAAACTTTGTAATGATATCATAAAAAACAAAAAAAGATTCCATTAAATGGGGTTATATATGGTTTGTAATAAACTTCATCTGCATATATATCAGATAAGTCTTCAATGTCAATTTGGAGTGTTTAGCTATTGTGGTTCAAAATATCTCAATGTTCATACAGTCGAACGCACGGAAATACCACTTTTTACTGTTCGAGTAATGAATAGTGTACTTCAAGGCTTATTGCTGGCTTTCACGCCCTGTATTAAATGATTATTGTGCCATTTTGTTTGACACTTTTTCACCAGAGGCACTGTATAGTATTTCGACAAAAAATCCCTTCTTGGGTCGTCTTATCTATAAGATTATATAGGCATGGTGAGAAACGAGCTGAAACTGAAATCGGGTGGTGTAAGCAGCAGTAAAAGTCCAAAAACAATGCCATACTCACAAGCGATAATGGCAGTGATAATGAATGATAATGAGGCACTAAAGGCAAGTTTTCGGACAAGTGTCAATGAGTTGCGATTCGTGCAGAGAGTGTGACTAATATTGTGATCGCCACTGTGAGCGAACTTTGGTAGCAGACGCGGTAATTCCGCGTGATACTCAATTTTAGTTTGCTGTCGAGTCGTGCCGGTGACAGACGTTAACACTCTCAACTATGGCGACAAGGTGGGCTGATGCCTAATTTTTTTTATTGACTCGATTATTCCTCCCTCTTTATCACAGCTTGGACACCTATGAGCTCGCCCTGCCGCTGGGCCAAATTAGAGGCGTTAAGCGTCTCACTATCTACGACGACGATTACTATAGCTTTGAGCGATTGCCGTTTGCTAAGCCACCCATTGGAGAGCTACGTTTCAAGGCCCCCCAACCTGCGGGTGGATGGCAGGGCGTTCTTGATTGCACGAACTATGCTGCGAAGCCAGTTCAGAAGGGTCTTCTAACTGGTAAGATTGAAGGCAGTGAGGACTGTTTGTATTTGAATGTATATGCGAAGCGAGTAAGTACTTTAGGGGGCCACTTAATCTGAGTCTAATATTTTCTTATATCTTGCAGCTAAATAGTGAGAAGCCATTGCCCGTGATTGTGTACATTTATGGCGGTGCTTTCTCAGTGGGTGAAGCAACTCGTGAGTTGTACTCTCCGGACTATTTCATGGCAAAAGATGTGGTGTTGGTTACACTCAATTATCGGGTGGACTGCCTAGGTAAGTCCTGAAAGCACAGAGAGAGAGCTTAGTTATTGTTCATGCTTTCTGCCTAAGGTTTTCTGAGCCTTAACGATCCAAGCGTAGAGATCCCTGGCAATGCAGGTCTTAAAGATCAAGTGCTGGCCCTCAAATGGGTTAAGCAATATATAGAGCACTTTAATGGCGATACCAACAACATAACGGTCTGCGGAGAGAGTGCTGGAGGGTGTAGCACTCACTATATGATGTGCACGGAGCAGACTCGCGGCCTGTTCCATAAGGCCATTCCAATGTCGGGCACGGTGCTTAACTATTGGGCTAATACTCCACCAGCTGATTTCGCCTATCGCTTGGCCAAGCTGTATGGCTACAATGGGGAGAACGTCGACAAACAAGTGCTGGACCATTTGCGTAGTTTGGAGGCACATAAGCTGGTCAACCATAGCCTTTTAACTGCGGAAGATCGACGTAACGGACTTATATATGCTTTCGGACCCACCGTAGAGTCGTATGTCGGACCGGACTGCGTTGTTCCTGGTTCACAGCTTGAAATGGCACGCAGTGCCTGGTCTAATGACTTGCCGGTGATGCTGGGAGGCACCTCGTTTGAGGGCCTTTTCATGTATCCCGGTCTCAAGGCTAATACAAAAGCAATGGACAATCTTTTGGATGATCCTGTGCGTGTGGTCCCTCATGATGTGAGGGTTCAACACACCCAGGAAGAGAATTTGAAATATAGCGAGCGTATGATTCGGGCGTACTTCGGAAATGAGAAACCCAGCTCAGCCTTGCTGTTCAACTTTCTCGATGTAAGTGTTTTGAATCGAATGATATTTCGAAAACTGATCTTAATCTTGTTTCCTTTGCAGTTCTACTCCTATAAAATTTTCTGGCATGGCATCTATCGCAGTCTGCTCGCTCGATTAAAATACGCCCGCGCTCCGACCTATTTCTATCGCTTCGATTTCGACTCACCAGATTTCAATTTTTATAGAAAGAAATACTGCGGAGAGGACATTACAAAGGGTGTGGCCCATGCTGACGATCTGCCCTATTTGTTTTTCAACTTACAAGCCTGGAAATTGGACAAGTCATCCGCAGAGTATAAAACCATACAGCGCATGGTGGGCATGTGGACTGCCTTTGCGACCAGTTCTAATCCGAATTGCGAAGAAATCGCTCCCATTAATTGGAAACCTTCGAAAGCAGGGAAACCACAGGAAGTGCTCAACATAAGTCATGACGTAAGCATAATAGATCTTCCCGAATTCGAGAAGCTCAAGGTGTGGGACAGCCTATATAAGCAGGAGGAGTTGTATTGAAGACTATCTATGTATCGTGAAAGCCATTACATAAATATTACGTTCTGAAATCTACAAACTTGTGCAATTTTCTCACGCGTGGCAAGTTTAAAGCTCACTATACTTTAAATGGCTTAGTTGGAAAAGTTTTATGCGTTCTGTATATTTTGTATCTGATTTTTCCGAACCTGATATGATTGTCAAAGAACGTTATTGACATTACAAGTTGGCTGAAATTCAAAATTCAAATTTCAAATGCAGGATTGTGCATAAAGTGGACCCAAAATGTTGCTGTGGTTCTCTCCCGTGGGCTTAGAATCCGTGGTGTCTCTACCACAGGGTGATGCTCGCGGCAAAATAGATCAAACTGTTTATGGGGATCGTTACTTTAGCTTTGAAGGACTCCCATATGCTATGCCACCCGTTGGAAACTTACGTTTTCAGCCGCCTGTACCTCCGCCATGCTGGACGGGTCCTCGCAACTTTTTCACGCCAGGCAACAAGTCCATTCAGAAAAATTGGCAAACGGGCACTGTCGAGGGTTCGGAAGATTGTCTCTATTTGAATGTGTATACCAAAGAGGTAAGTCTAGAAAAGCAGATCACGTATAGCTCTTAACACGTCTTTACTGATAGCTGTATGGTACTGTGAAGATGCCAGTGATTGTGTTTATTCATGGCGGGTCCTACAATTCCGGCGGTGCGGTCCGCGAAAGTTTTAGTCCGGACTACTTTATGTTAAAGGACGTAGTACTGGTTACATTTAATTATCGACTTGGCTGTTTGGGTTTCCTCAGTCTGAAAGATCCTGATCTGGAGGTGCCGGGAAATAATGGTATAAAGGATATGATTTTGGCTTTGCGTTGGGTGAAAAATAACATTATACTGTTTAATGGTGATCCGGAGAAAATTGCGGTGTGTGGTATGGCCGCCGGTGCCGCTGCTGTCCACTATCTTATGTGTACGCCCCATGCGAAAGATCTGTTCCAGAGAGCCATTCTGATGGCCGGCTGTACTCTTAACTATTGGGCTAGCATGCCGCAAAAGGATTTCGCCTTCCGGCTTGCGAAACTCAACGGCTACAAAGGTGTGGATGACGATGCGTCAGTGCTAAGGTTCTTGTCTAAGATTCCTGCCGAAGCTCTTGTGGATCAGTGGTTGCTTACGACCGAGGAGCTCGAGGATGGCTACGTATTCGCCTTTGGTCCAGTCATAGAGCCGTACATCACTTCAGAAACGCTAATTCCAACTCGACCCGTTGATATGCTTCGTCAAAGCTGGGGCAATTGTATACCCCTTATATTGGGAGGAACGTCTTTCGAAGGCTTGTATGCATTCCCATTATTGCTTTCTCATCCAGAGCTAGTCCAACAGATGAAGGGACAACCTCAGAATATATTGCCATATGATGCACGCGAGGGCCACTCTGAGGAGTTCTGTCTACAGCTCAGCAAACATCTAATCCAGAAGCACTTTGGCAAGGGAGCTCACAATAGTACTGACGAACAGTCATTACTGGACTACATGGATGTAAGTTCCCCCGAAGCAGTTTTTGGGCTAATTGATGATCTTTGTTGTTATATCTAGTTTGTTTCGTACAAGAACTTTTGGCATGGACTGCACCGCACAACGCTCTCTCGCGTCTATTACACCAATTGTCCCACCTATCTGTACCGTTTTGATTTCTATTCACGATTTAATCAGCAACGCCATTTGCTGCTCAGTAATCAGGGGATTCATGCCAAAGGAGCTGCCCATGGAGATGAGCTCTCCTACTTGTTCTTCTCTTCCACCTCGTGGCCTCTGAAGCGTCAGTCGCCCGAATTTATAAACATAACGCGCATGATTGCGATATGGACCTCCTTTGCGGATAGTGGTCGACCGAAATGCCCTGAGTTGAACAACATTCGAGTACATTGGCATCCACTACGCGTTAACAAAGTATTCCAGGCATTGAATATTGGCAAAAAGCTGGAATTTATTGAGATACCCGAACGGGCCAAGTTAGAGGCGTGGAATGATTGTTATGAGCCCGAGCAGTTGTATTAAATTCTGGTTTCATCTTTTGATTATAATATATCTGAATATCTGAATATCTTCTTTATCCTTAGCTTTGCTGTTAGATGAGGTTTTACTTTATTTTTGATAGTCCAGTTTTCCTAACATCCTGTTCATGACAGTAATATCCTTTAAGATTGTTTGCTAAATTTGTTTTTTAAAATTCAAAATTCGAAGATAAACTTGACGCAAAATGATGCTGTGGTTCTCACCGGTGGGCTATGTGTCCCAGGTTTATCTACCGCAGGGTACGGCTCGCGGTAAAATTAATCGAAGTGTCTACGGTGAACGATTCTTCAGTTTCGAAGGATTGCCATATGCTATGCCGCCGATAGGAAACCTACGCTTCCAGCCGCCGGTACCACCGCTCTGCTGGGAGGGTATCCGAAATTGTTTTGAGCCTGGTAGCAAGCCATTACAGAAGAATTGGAAGACGGGCTTGGTCGAGGGCTCGGAGGATTGTCTCTATTTGAATGTATATGTCAAAGAAGTAAGGCTACGAAAATTGATTTGATTCCATATAGATCTGAGGCTGGCGTTGTTGTTTGTAGATTTATGATGGCCCAAAGCTGCCAGTTATTGTATTTATATATGGCGGCTCCTTCAAAGCGGGCGGTGCTGTTCGCCAGAGTTTTAGTCCGGACTACTTTATGTTTAAGGACGTAGTGTTGGTCACGTTCAATTATCGCCATTGTTGTCTTGGTTTCCTCAGTCTGAAGGACCCGGAGCTGCAGGTGCCTGGGAATATGGGCATCATGGACATGATATTGGCCTTGCGTTGGGTAAAAAACAACATCGAGTTCTTCAATGGGGATCCGGAGAGAATTACGGCTTGTGGGGTGGCCGCTGGTGCCGCTGCTGTGCACTATCTTATGTGTATACCGCAGGCCGAGGGTCTCTTTCATCGAGCCATCCTCATGGCGGGCTGTGCTCTCAACTATTGGGCTAGCTTGCCTCAAAAAGACTTCGCTTTTCGTCTGGCTAAGCAGAATGGCTACGAAGGTTTCGATAACGATGAGTCAGTACTGAAGTTTTTGTTGGAGCTGCGTGCCGAAGCATTGGTGAATCACTGGTTGCTAACGCCCGACGAGTTGAAGGATGGATATGTTTTCGCTTTTGGTCCGGTCATTGAGCCATACCTTACTTCGAGTACACTGATTTCGAGCGCACCCGTCGAGATGATGCGCAAAAGTTGGGGCAACTCTATACCACTAATATTGGGGGGAGCATCGTTTGAGGGACTGTGTGCACTGCCGTTGTTGCTTGCCTATCCACAGCTGGTAAAAGAGGTCAGAGAGGACCCCCAGCATGTGTTGCCAAATGATGCGCGCGAGGGTCACACCGAGGAGTTCTGCCTACAGCTGAGCAAACATTTAATAAAACAACACTTCAGCAAGAGTGTCCCAAAAAGTGACGAAGTACCGTCGTTAGTGAGCTACATGGATGTGAGTTTCCACGATGTAGCTCGAATGTTTCATAGTTATTTGACTTATTTGTCCTTTCTAGTTTCTTTCCTACAAGTGCTTTTGGCATGGATTGCATCGCACAACGCTCTCCCGTGTCCATTTTAGCAATTGTCCCACTTATCTGTACCGTTTTGATTTCTGTTCCCGCTTTAATCAGCAGCGGCATTTATTGATCGGTGGTCAGGGAATCGATGTTAAAGGTGCTGCGCATTCAGACGAGCTATCGTATTTATTCTTTTCTGAAAACTCATGGCCTCTGAAGAATCAATCGCAAGAGTTCGTAACCATAATGCGAATGGTAGGTATGTGGACCTCATTTGCGGCGTCTGGTCGTCCGAAGTGCGCAGAGATGGAACGTGTGCATTGGCATCCATTGCGCATTAATACAATATTCCGAGCATTGAATATTGGGAAAAGGATGGAGCTCATCGACATACCCGAACGGACCAAACTAGAGACTTGGAATAATTGTTACGAGCCCAATCGACTATTTTGACGAATTAACAGTTCGATTTAGGAAATGAAATGAAAATTGGAGAGCATAGCACTCCCGGCCTTTTAAATCAGATAAATTACATGTGGAAGCTTAAAGGATTGGGCTTAGACTTTAATTCGCAGCTAGTGTACCATATTCAAAAACTAAGTACTTGTCATGCAGAGACGAGGTTCGTGGAGTTGTCTGTGGGACGAGTAAAGGGTAGAAAGCGGTATGGACTCTATGGACATGAGTTTTTTAGCTTCGAGGGCATACCATATGGCAAGCCTCCGCTTGGCAAGCTGCGTTTCCAGCCCCCGAAGCCGGCCGAGCCTTGGCCTGGCAAGGAACTGGATTGTCTGCAGGAGCGGGAAGTGCCGATGCAAGTCGATCGAGCGACAGGATGTGCGATAGGCAGTGAAGATTGTTTGTATTTAAATGTTTACACTAAGCATGTGAGTTGTGATGATTTTAAATTAAATCCAACAAGATCTATGAATCTTATCGGTTATTCTTTAGCTGGATTGCACCGAAAAGCCCTTGCCCGTTTTGGTGTACATCTATGGTGGAGCCTTTCGTTCGGGCGGAGCCACGCGAGCTAAATACGGGCCGGACTACCTGATGCGAGAGGATGTAGTGTTGGTGTTCTTCAATTATCGTGTCTGCGCCTTGGGATTTTTAAGTTGCTGCAGCAAAGAGCTGTCCCTGTCTGGAAATGTGGGCCTACAGGATCAATTGCTGGCTCTACGTTGGGTGCAACAGCACATTTCTCATTTCAATGGCGATCCGTTAAATGTGACGCTCTTTGGCCAGAGTGCTGGTGCCGCTTCAGTGCATTTTATGATGTGTGTGCCGCAGGCAAAAGGATTATTTAGTAAGGCCATCATGATGTCTGGGTGTATGCTGAATCCCTGGGCTCAGGCGCACGAACAACAAATGAATTGTTGCCGTCTAGCGGTACGGTCGGGCTACGAGGGCCCTTTGACCGAGGCCTGTATTTTAAAGCACTTGCTCTCTGTTCCCCCCGAGCGCCTTGTGCAGCATAATATGTACAGTTTTTTTGAGAATTGTTTTGGACTGTTGCATCCCTTTGTGCCAGGTGTGGATCAGTGCGAGACTTCCGAGGGCCTGTTGCGACGTCCATATATAGAGCTGATGCGTAATGCCTGGTCCAGCCGGATGCCTTTGCTTTTGGGAGGCACCTCGCTCGAGGGCCTAGTTATGTATCCGATATGCAAGCTATACAATGGCTTTCTGCTGGATATACTTCGAGAGAAGCCCACTAGGGTGCTGCCGTATGAGCTGTACAGAAAAATGTGCGTGGAGGAGCGTGAGTGTCGGGTGGCCGATGTCCTCCGGTGCCATTTCGGACCACGAAATATTATCAAAAATAATGTGTGGCAAGTCTTAGAGGCATGTTGTCAGAACCTTAAACTAAGTTCCTTTTATTTATACTGCCTTCATTCCCTCTCACTGCAGATGTTCGGCATTAAGATGTTTTGGCACGGCCTACATCGTGTGGTGCGGTCGCGTTTGTGCCACGCCCAGGCACCCACTTATGTCTATCGTTTCGACTTCGATTCTCCCACTTTCAATTTTATGCGCATGAGGTTGTGTGGCAATGACATAAAGTGCGGCGTCTGTCATGCCGATGACTTGGGCTATATCTTTCACAAGCAGGGTGTGGAGAAGTTGTCGCCAGATTCGCTCGAATACGCCACAATGCAACGAATGGTGAGCATTTTGACAACCTTCGCCCGCTCAGGCAATCCCAACTGTGAGCAGACGGGACCGGAGGAGTGGCTTCCAGTTACACAAAAACGGCCATATTCGGTCATGAATATCAACAGAGCGCTGGAGTTTATCCGGCAGCCTGAGAGCACCTGTCTGGAGGTGTGGAATAATTTGTATACAAAGGATTTGTATTAGCTGGCGTCCCATTTCTTTGAATACGATATATGAGTGATATTTGTAGAAAAGGCTTATTTATTCAATGTTGTACTACAAATAAGCTGTTATTATTAAATTTAAGCCATTGTTACCTACTAAGTCATTAGTATATACAAAATTAACGTTCTTTGGTCGAAATAGTTCAAAATTAAAAGTGATTGTCATTTTAAATTTCTGTTTTTTCTATTTTTTTTTTTTTTATATTAATTATGACTATAATTAATCCTAAGCTCTCTTAATTTATAGCCAGAGTTACAAAGACCTTATATTTTTTAAATTTATTAAATGTTAGGCATTTAAATCTTGTTTAATTATTTATATTTCCTCAACTATTCCTCCTAATTTAATTACAAATGGATTGTGTTAAATAAAAAGTAAAGTAAAAAGAAAAGACATCAATTGTTTTTATGAAGAAGAATTTTTTGTTACTACATACTTATCTTTTATTGTTGAATAATTATATACTAAGCAGTTTATTATACCCTGTACCCAAAGGGTACAAGGGTATATTAGTTTTGTGCGAGTGCACATGGAACACACAGAAGGAGGCTTGGTAGACCCCACAAAGTATATATATTCTTGATCAGCATGACAAGCCGAGTCGATATAGCCATGTCCGTCTGTCCGTCTGTCCGTCTGTCCGTCTGTCCGTCTGTCTGTCTGTCTGTCTGTCTGTATGAACGCAAGGATCTCCGAAAGTATAAGAGCTAGAATAACCAAACTTGGTATACAGATTCTCCTGAGACCGAGAAAGGACGAGTTTGTTCATTTTTTCTGATCCACCCCCCCACTCCCCCCCTATTAACGATTTTCTATAACTCCCGTAATTCTTGGAATTTTGAACTAAAATTTGGTAGACACATCCAGTTAGTAATTGTATATCCGTATACCAAGTTTCATTATGATAGAATGATCGGAAAGAAAGTTATAGCCATATAACCAGGCCCAATGCACACATACATACATATGTACAAGTACACAAACACGCATAAGGCACGATTCTGATGTAAATGTAAATGTATCTATGCATGCATGGAATATTTAGTTAATTAATTAAATTAATTTAGTTAATTAATTAAATTATTTTAGTTAATTAATTAATTAAATTAATTAAATTAATTAATTTAATTAAATTAATTAATTAATTTAATTAAATTAATTTAATTACTTTTTTGTGGGGTGGTACAGGGTATTTAAGAGTTGAGCCTGCTCGACTTTAGCATTCCTTTCTTGTTATTAACTTCATTTTCTTACTTTATTAAATTTAATTTATAATTAATAAATTTAATTATAATTTATACTTTAAATCGGCTTCTTTGATAATTACTTTTAGTCTTGTTATATTATTACTATTTATTATGCATTATTTGTAAAATAGAGATTGTTGAACATAATAGTTTCCAAGTGGTTACTTATAGTACTCATATTTTAGCCACCACTGTAGCCTTGCCTTCATTTGCGTGCATACCAGATGGAAGCTTTTCAAGTTCATGCAAAGCTTTCGCCGACGCCCCTCCAAAAGCGTGGAGCTTTCAGACGTAAACAAGCACTTTAATGTTTGTTTATAAAATTTTTTTGCCGGCACGATCGAAAGCCGCAACAAACATATGGATTCTAGTTATCAGCATTGCGAGTGTAATGAGAGACTATTACTTAAGTTTAATTATACAGCCGCCGCCGCCGCCGCCCCCGCCACCGCTGCCGCGTCCCCCTAATCAAGCCCCACAACCACCACCCGGCATACTGGGGGCTTCTCAGCTGACATATTTGACGGCCACTCCAGCGCGCACTTGAAATATATACCTATATTCATACATTCGCATACACAATCTGTTTTTTAATGCATATGTATATTTTGTATTCTTTTTATTCTGATATTTGCGTTTATTATATTTTGCCACTTGTTCGCGCTTGATGTGCCAACGAAAAGCAAAAAGCAGCGAGAACCCAATACAAAAGTCTATACTTCGGTTTCAGTTTGGCGCCGCAGCTCGGCCATTTCAGTTCGCTGATCACGAATAAGTAGAACTCATAGAGTCTCGATACGAATTGTAACAGAATTTGCTGTTTGTGCAACACCGACGGGCATACACACATACTCGTATATGGTTTTTGTTTCTTAAATTTTTTCTAAACTTGTTCAAAATGAATAAGAACCTGGGTCTGGTTGAGCGCTTGCGCTGGCGGCTTAAGTAAGTTCCACAGATGCTGACGATGATGACCTCAATATCTATACACAACTTATATTATTGATTAATTTAATAATTTTATTAGCAACAACAAATTTGTTGTTATGGTTTGCGGTTAGCGGACTCAATTAGTGTGGGCGGCAGTACTCTTAGATAGATATTTTTTATATCATTTAATAATAATTCTTTTTCCTCTACATACTCACTATTTATTGTATGTCATGCATGACTAAGCCCGGCTTTGTGACCTGAGCGGGACTTATAATTATGATATATAATGTATGTATGTGTATCGATGGCTAATATGGAGGGCTCATAAAAGGGCCTCATTTGCCAAGATTACAAGCTTGGTAGCTAGGTTTTCAAAATTTAATAACCAAATCACTTCTAGTTGAGAAAATATATCATTTTATAAATATTGAAAATAATCATGAAATTCAATGACCTTTAACCTACTGTTTGATTGCATCTATATTTGTAATTTTATTGTTTCTTTTTTATTTATAATATTTAAATTAATCATCAAATTCAATGACTTTTAAAATTTTGTTTGATTCCATCAATATTTGTTATTTTATTTTTTGTTGGTACTTTATGGAAGATTTTGTTGAGAAAAAATATTAAAAAATGATGTATTTTAGATAATCTTATAAAATTGATCGACTTAAATTAAAGTTTGTTTAAGTTCTTCAACAAATATCTACTAATTGGGAATATATTGGTTTTTTGGTCAAAAAGGCAAATAATTTTGAATTATAGAAAATTAAGAAGTGTAATGTGAAGAAAACTAAGAAGAATTCTACACAAAAAATGTAGTTTTCTGCTGCAACAAAATATTTTTGGAATTTCTATTCAACGTTTTTTTGTAAAACGACTGAATTTAATTGCATGTTTGCAAAATAATAATAATTGCATAATATTAAAATAAACAACTTCCTGTTGAGCAAAATCATTCAAAAAATGTGGTTTTCCAACTAATCTAGTTCTGATATCTAATCATCATATTAAGAACTATTTATAAATAAATTAGTTTCATTTTTTTTCTGCTTGAATCCCTTCAAATATCTTTCAAACTACGCCACCGCGCATTGCTGGCTAAGAAACAAAATATCTTTTTTTTTTTTTAATAGAACAAATAAAGCATGTTTCTGACTGTTTTAAAGTGCTCTTCAGACTGTTTTGCTTTTAGGAAGCTGAACAAATATTACTCATCTTATGATGAATATAAATTAATCACGCATTTTGCGAATTTGAATTATTTCACTTAGAAAGAAGAAACGAAATAAAGTTGCGATAAATGAAAAATGTCTTCAAAAATTATTGTAAATTCTATTCTCTAAACTTTTAGAAGATTTCAAACGTAATAGAAAGGAATCGTTTGTTCTCGAATGCACAGAATAATTGTTTAAATGCTGGAAATATAGAGGCATTTAGGTTTTCGAACAGCTGCACCCACACCCGAACAGATATTTTGATTCAGTTGCCATAATTAATCGTAAAGTATGCCAAATGCGTTGAATTTCAATGCTGGGCAACTGATATGAGTTCTAAATGAGGAAATCTGTTGACGTTCCATCGACATTTATCGGCATATATGTATGTACTTATAGTATAAACTTGTTTTTGTTTGTTTTAGCAATCTATAGCACGCATTGGCATGCGAATTTCCAATGCCACTTGACAGGGCAGGACTGGAATGAATTTCAAATTATTTCGATTTTCTAGTGAAAGGCGGGGCATATGAATCCATAGTATACAAGTATATACAAGTACATATGTATCTATTTTCAAAGCAAGCGTCTTTAATTAACAAATTAAAGTTATAGCACGTTGACAGTTAAATGACTGCGCCTTCGTTATTTGCAAATCTATTACAACAATTAGCAATTATTACTGCTCGAAGTTCAACAATTACAGTGGGTTCTAAAATGGACAGTAAGAGCGAAAGTGAGAATTTAATGATGCGTAATAACCCTCTAGTACCATGATTTGCATAGTAATCGTGACAAATATTTATATGGCTTTATTATCAAATAGCTTTTTAAATGTGTACTGCAAGCAGCGATAAAGAAATAATCTCGTCGCAGTCACAATCATTATACCTTTTTATAAACTGTTTGTCTCACTGTCTCACTGTCTATCTGTCTGTTTGTCTGTTTTCTGGCAAGCCACTGATAAGTGCAAGGGATGCGCAAAGTTCAAAGTCGCTTTTGATAAACTAGCGTGTGTATGTAAATATGATTTAACCCATTAATGTCAGTCTATTAATGGCAATAGTTTAGAAATCTTAAGAGGTTTTATTCAAACTTTTTTGTGGGTGATTAATGATATCAGAGAGCATTGTTTTCAAAGTTATATTTGTGGAAATTAAAAAATTAGAATCAAGACAAACAAAAAAGAGATAAGCTCATAAGAGATAAGTTATTAAGAGACGGTTCATAAGAACCGGCAGTTCAGGAGTAAAAGGCGTTCAACAGCAGAAAATAAAAGATCGTCAAGTAGTCAAGTGCTTTGTCGTCGTCGTCGTCAAATGAACTCAACTTTTCGTCAAAGTCGTCAGTCAGTTCATAAACTGTTGAGCTTGCAATAACACTTAAGATACAATATTAATTATTGTTATAAAAATTGTAAATAAATGTTGAGTTCTTTAAAAACGTACACTTACAAGCAAAGTGATTGAAGAATTTAATTAAATAAATGGTCTAAATACAAGTATATATATTTTTTTAAGCAAATAAACATGATAACAGCTCTTCATTGTTCAGGTCTTACTATATATTAAATAGTTTTAATATATCAGAATACCTTCTGGAGTCTTATATTAAATATTTTTGATGTTTATGTGAATAATAGCCATTAACTATTTGTATATTTAGTACAAATATATAAACCAGAATTTTGAAGATTTAAGGTGAAGAAAAGTTATCAATAAATTGTTGTTTCTTTCTGTTTATTTACAACAATAGTGTGGAAGTAATATTTTGCTTACCAAAACGTTTTGATTAGGTGAATCTGAGGATCCATTAAACGAATTTAAAAATGTATCTGTTTTCCTGTATTTTGACCTCGTTACTTGCCAGACCGAAAAATAGATCACCCTCACATAATACGCCAATTTAAAGGCAATAAATTACTGACTTATGAATATTATTACAAAGGCCCCAACGGGTTAACGCCGAGTCCATGTATGCTAAACGCATTGTACCGTGACGGGGGCCAGTTGACGGTTCAGCTCTCGGCTCCGAGATGCTGAGGCTGAGGAGCTCAGCTGCTCAGCTGCTCAGCGGCTCGGCTGTGCAGTGTGTGTTCATTTATCAACGACAGACTTGGATGCATAGGTGGATGCATAATAGTTGACTGAATGAGGGAATGACAATGTTGGGGTTTAGCCGAGCATAGGCATGGGATTTGAAAATGCTGTCGTCGTCATCATCGTGTGTGCAGAGTTGTCTGAAATTGCAACCGGGGCTCTGTGATGGACGGCCAACGATTTCAATGTAATGCTAACCAGCCTGCTGGAACAACAATTGCATGTGGCTTTGAAAATTAATTAAAATAATTAACAGAATAGCAGTCGACAATAGCTATTAACTACATATGTACACTACTATTACAAATGCCTAGTATGTATGTATATTTATGAGACCTCTTGAATTTCACATTGTTATGTCAATTGACTTTGCAGAAGCCTCGAGCATAAACTCCAACAATATCGTCAGACCACTAGCGATACGGTTATAGCTGATACCGAATACGGCAAGGTGCGTGGTGTGAAGCGTCTGTCGCTCTACGATGTGCCCTATTTTAGCTTCGAGGGCATCCCCTATGCCCAGCCCCCGGTGGGGGAGCTGCGCTTCAAGGCACCGCAACGACCCATACCCTGGGAGGGTGTGCGGGACTGCAGTCAGGCTAAGGACAGAGCGGTCCAGGTGCACTTCGTATTTGATAAAGTGGATGGTTCCGAGGATTGTCTATATCTAAACGTCTATACGAACAATGTGAGTAGAAAGCTACTATAAGAAGCAACTATAAGAAAATAAATACATTTGTATCGTCTTTACTTTCAATTAAACAATTAACTCTGATTACATTTTTCTTTAGGTAACCCCAGAAAAGGCACGTCCGGTTATGGTTTGGATCCACGGCGGCGGCTTTATAATTGGCGAGGCCAATCGAGAGTATTACGGTCCAGACTATTTTATGAAAGAGGATGTTGTGCTTGTTAGTATACAATATCGTCTGGGAGCACTGGGTTAGTACCATATACATCAGGTTTTGGAATGGATGCTAAATGAAACTAATTTGCAGGTTTTCTCAGCTTCAAGTCGCCAGCGCTCAATGTGCCGGGAAATGCAGGACTCAAGGATCAGGTGATGGCTCTTAAATGGATAAAGAACAATTGCGCCAGCTTTGGCGGGGATCCTGACTGCATCACTGTGTTTGGGGAGAGCGCTGGCGCCGCCTCCACCCACTACATGATGATTACGGAGCAGACCCAGGGACTCTTTCATCGCGGCATCTTGCAGTCCGGCAGCGCCATTGCGCCTTGGGCATACAACGGGGATATAACGCAACGCGCCTTCACTATTGCCAAGCTGGCAGGCTACAAGGGCGAAAATAACGATAAAGATGTGCTTCAGTTCTTGTTGAATGTCAAGGCTAAGGATCTGATACGTGTGGAGGAGCTGGTGCTGACACCGGAGGAGCATGCCAAGAAAGTGATGTTCGCTTTTGGACCATCACTCGAACCCTATTCGACACCGGAATGTGTGCTTCCCAAGCATCCGCGGGAGTTGATGAAGACGGCTTGGAGTAATTCGATACCGCTGATGATAGGCAACACTTCGTATGAGGGGCTTTTATGGGTTCCAGGTAGGTGTTCTCAATGGGATAATAGAATTTCTTCGAAGGTTATATCTTATAGTTAAGTGTTCTCATCTTTATCATCATCTTTAATCATCTGTTATCATTCTTCATCATTCATTGATCATTTTTAGTCACCTTTCATCATCTATAATTATTCGTTATCACCTCCAATCATTCTTTGATAATTTTAAGTCATCTTTCATCATCTTTAATTATCTGTTATCATCCTTTAACATTCTCTAATCAACCTTTAACAAAATTTGATTTGAGTTTTTATTATCATTTAAAAAACAAACATTGAAGGAATTTGCAATGAATTCTGTTCACTTTTGTGTTGCAGAGGTCAAGCTGATGCCACAGGTGACGCAGCACCTGGATGATGGTACACCGTTTGTGCCTAGGGAACTGGCCGAGAATGCGGTTAGTGATGAGCAGCTCAAGACTTTGGCTTCAAAAATACGTAATGCCCATGTCACTGGCGAGCTAGCCACTGCAGACAACTATATGGATGTGAGTAGTTGTCTTAGCTTTCTAATATTCCTAAAACTTAAGCTGCCTCTCCAACCTTTGCAGGCCTGCAGCATCGTCTACTTTGTTTTTCCAGCATTGCGGGTGATACGCTCACGTCACGCCCATGCGGCTGGTTCACCCGTTTTTCTCTATCGCTACGACTTTGATTCAGAGGAGCTGATATATCCATATCGCCTTATGCGTTTCGGACGTGGCGTCAAGGGTGTCAGTCATGCCGACGATTTGACTTATCAGTTTACGAGCCTACTGGCACGTCGAATGCCCAAAGAGAGTCGCGAGTATCGGAATATTGAGCGCACTGTGGCCATTTGGAGGCAATTCGCGGCCACTGGCAATCCCTATAGTGCTGAGATTAATGGCATGGATACATTATCTTGGGATCCAGTGCGCAAGGGCGATGAGGTGTTTAAGTCCTTGAACATAAGCGACGATTTGAAGTTTATTGATTTGCCGGAGTGGCCGAAACTGAAGGCCTGGGAGAGTTTGTTTGATAATAACAAGGATTTGTTATTCTGATGAACAATTTTGGGATAATTCCGAATGTTTCACTTACATACGTAATACTATTAAGCACTTTTATACCAATCTACAACTTTTGTACATAGGCGAAGCTCAGTATGAAATTTAGTTGGGGATGGCAAACAGAGCAAGATTTTCGGCTTTCCACAGCAATCTAAATTATGTGTAATGTCAAATTATATACAATTTAAATAAAACTATTATTGTGTAGTTATACAAATTTGTCTATTATTTTGAAGTTTTTAGAATACTTTTATTGCCTACTGATTTATCAAAAGGTTTGAAACTTTCAAAAAATAAATTGAACTCGAGTTGCCTCGATGTTAGGATGATCTACATATTAAGTTTTGTGAATGTAGGCTCAACCGTGGCTTCTCTCTGTTACAAACTTTGCAAAAACCGAATATGTCTTTTTACCCTTCCGGTACAGATTAAAAAGAAGCCACGTTCCTGTTGTATTGGATTGTAAGGCTAAAAAAAAAAACGTTTGCAAGAAGACACCGTCTTAGAATTTTTTGTTGAAAGGAAACATGTGAAGCTACAACTGTCTTTTTACAAACACAATTCTGTTCCAATAGCATAGAGGGCAAAAGATCGTGGAATTGATGAACCACTCTTAACAAAAAAGCTCTTCAACATCACAAGACAGGGTGGGGTCACCACTTTGTGGGGTCTACCTCTTCATGAATAAGAAGAAGAAGGTGCACAACATCTTAATCAGTGAACGAACTTATTACAGATATAATAAATGAAACCATGATGCATCGCTGGTTTGTTGTAAAAACTCTTAAAAATGCTATAACTTTAAATCAAATCTTTTTTAATAAATGTTGTTTATTTTTAAATCCAGCTTTGTAGTACCTCAAAATTAATTAGTGATGAAAGATGTTTGGTTGTTGGTTAAGACTCTTTGTAGTAGCTATTATTTGGTTGAATATTTTCCATATTTTTTTTATAATTTGTTTTAAACTATTAAGCTTCTAAACTATTACACTATTAGAGTCTTTAGAACCTTGACAGAGCTGCACAACTAACACCTATATTTTATTTTTTAAAAGATCGACAGAAATGTTTCAATCGGTACTTATTTGTGTATAAACTATTATGCGTTCCAAAATATTAGTTATGTTTAATATAATCGGTAAAAGTAGTATTGAAATGTGCACGAGTGTGTGGTTATTACACATTTTAAGTCTAAAATACTCAAATCGAACGGCTGCTCTACTCCTGACAAAAAGAAATTCTATGCAAGAGAGTGGTTGGCTTTTATTTTTTTCCAATTTTTTTGCATTTTATCACATTTTTTCAAGCTTCTGCAAAGTCCAAGTTATTCTCAGTTATTACAAGTATATATGTGAAAAATTGCAATTTGTAAATGTTATTGAACCTATAGTGGAATATGAGAAAACTACTAAGACTTTTTCTTCAACCAGAATATATAATATACTTGTAATTTGATCAATGCTTTGTAGTAGGCATTTGAATTTCATATTGACTGGTGATAAGTATAAAAATTTCAGTATTACACCGAACACCACAAAAATCATAAATCTCGTTAAAATTTAGTTCAGTTTTTATTCTTTTTCCGACAGAAAATGACTGCCACTCGCCGCTTGAGTCGTGAGCTCGCCGACATTATTGCTACAGAATCGAAGATTGTGCGCAACATCCAGACGACTGATGACTCCCTAATGGTGTGGACTGGATTGCTGGTGCCGGAGAAGGTGCCATACAACAAGGGAGCTTTTCGCATTGAGATCAGCTTTCCACCGCAATATCCGTTCATGCCACCGAAAATACTATTCAAGACCAAGATCTATCATCCGAACATCGATGAGAAGGGTCAGGTGTGTCTGCCGATAATCAGCGTGGACAACTGGAAGCCCACTACCAAGGCCGAGCAGGTATTGCAGTCTCTAGTGGCAATTATACACGAGCCGGAACCGGAACATCCCCTGCGTTCCGATGTGGCTGAGGAGTACGTCAAAGAACACAAAAAGTTTCTGAAGAACGCTGAGGACTATACGAAAAAGAATGCCGAGAAGCGTCCAGAGTAAACCTGAAGAACAAGTACATTCTACCTGCCATTACAGCAAAGATTTTGAAACCCTCCGAGTTGTGCAGCTAAATAATGTGGGACAACAGAAAATAAACTAATTAAGGATGTCAATAGTAGAATGAAGCGTTTTGCGCGTATTAATTCTTACAGCCTGGCAATCAGAAGGTAAACAGTATTAAAAAATCTTGTTAATGATTACAGTTAGATAGGTAATGATCACAAAATGTTATATATCCCAAGAAGACATGCCCTGCAGAAAGTTCGTTGGACTAAAGATTATCAATTGAAAAAGAAATTCTTAAGCACCCTTTTGACAGATTTTTCAAATATAAAAAAGTGCTGCTGATTTCAGCATTGGAAACCGGTTTAGGGCGAATGTAAATATTCATATAAATGCGGTTTGCTTACTGCTTTGAATCCATTAATCTATGGCGTTATAAGTACTTGCAAAGTATATAAAATTAACTTATAGACCACATAACGCGTTTTATATCTACAAGACAGTTCAAGAATGCAAATGCCAATTCTACATCTTAGATATCTGTGTCTCTTACAACAACAGTTGCCGCTTTACAACTGATCAACAAACACAAGTCGGCTGTAATTGATTTATTAGATATCGAGTAATAGGGGCATAAATTAGTCAGGTTGGGTTAGGTTAGGTAGAGATGTCTGCGAGTCATTTACAAAATGCTGCCCTAGAGCAGTAAACCTCAGCCTACTTAGGGCTGGGTAAGAACAGAGAATGTGCTTTCATCCTCATCCCTAACTGTACAGCCTCCGACAGTGTCCCGTAAGTGCCTCCGATTTCTTCCATGCATGAAGAGATGAAGAGACTACCTCACGTAGTCCCCTCCCGAGCCTATAATGCAGTTTCTCTCAATGGTGTCTTGGTATCCATACAAGGTTGCCACTGACTTGCTGGGCTATCTCGTTAAGAGGCCCTAGAGCTATCCAAATTGGAGTGCCTGGACCAACGCTTGGCTAACCGATTAGCTACAAATGTCAAAGAATGTAGTTTTTGCTATTTATGGCTATTTTTACAGCGTTTTCCCCACAAGTTCTCCACGAAACTGTTTTTGTTAACTATTGTAAAAATATTCTTAGTAATTATATTAAGCTTTTTACTATTACATTTGATATGAGTTAAAACAACTGCTACTTCACTGAAAAAGAAAGGACTGGTCGATTATAACAGCTATAAAGCCCTACCAGAAACATCCACAGAAAATAGTCCAATGGCATCTTAGTTTTAGAAAAATGAGCAGCCCTAGCAATGGAAAGCAATTCTTTTCAAATGTCCTAAATAACAAGAGTTTGGAAAAACTTTAATACAAGTATCAAGGCTTTTTGATACTGGTATATATGTTTAAATAAAATTATTTATATAAAACTATTATTGTGTAGTTATACAAATTGGTTATTTAATTTGAAGTTTTTAGAATACCTTCATTACCTACTTTACATGACACGTTTTACACGACAGAGATTTAAGTACAAATATTTTGAACTACTTCCAGTATTATAATTTGATAGCATCTCTGAAAATACGCGACTCTTCAATTTCTCAATGGCGATTTACATTTATTTGTGCATATATTGTTCTCTAATTAATTACTTGTTTACTTAATTAATATAATTTTTTTACATTTAAAGTTACCTATTAATCATTTAATCTTAATATTCAAACATGTATTACTAATCCCGATTGCTAATCCCGTTGTTGATATAAACAAAAAATAAAATATTGAAGTTATTATAATTGTTGCTAATTCCATGTTGTTTGCGTTCATCGATCGTGATTGCAAATTTCCCAAGCATTACCCACAATAGTTGTACATTTCTTAAAGTGTTCAATTAGATAGTCGTTACTCACATATAGTATATATCTATATAAAAACTGAAATTGCCCTTTAAAATCGCTTACTACACATCTAAAAGCCATATTCAATTAGTATATATTATATGACCACGCCAGTTTGCGTGAGATTCAAAGCTGTTCATTGCTAGATGTAAGAAATATATATAATTTATACAATAATAACAACAGCTTTTTTATCCATTGCATCAGCCCTTTGCATGATTGTAATTGGAATAAACTAGCGTAGATTTTAAAACTGTGACCATGAGGTTATTAAAACAGGTTTGTTTTAAATAACAAATGAATTCAGAATGAAAACATGACAAGCAGGTTACATTTTTTGATGCTCCTGTACGATTTTGTGATATATACGAGTACGATACAATCTTATAATTAAACATCTTTATACTTGTATATAATGGATTTTACAATATGTATTATTACGAAGGGCTTTACAAGCGCAGTTGAAGCAAAAGAAATTATGTTTTTATTTACTCCCAAATATAGAAGTAAGCCAAACGAACAATGGATGCATAAGACTCTGCGAGAATGCAAGTAATTTATAAACAAATTCGATTAATTAAATTTGTTTAAAGAAAAGTTGCAAAAATTATTACAGTTAAAGAAATAATAATAATAATAAAAATATTTGATGCGATAGGAATTATTGATGAAAATATCTGTACTATTAATTAATATATGAGACGTCAAGAATACTTTGATAATTTATACATATAATAATGATGCCTCAATAAATTTAAATATGTATGTAAAATAATTATACAATATCAATAAATTGTCAGTATCAAGCTCCTGCTTTAAATCCAACATGATTTTTTGAATGCAATACAAATTTTCCACTTCTAAGTTATATCGTGGTTAAAAATGATTAAATCTGTATCGTATTCGAGTAAATTATAAAACTATGAAAAATTTTTCTGCATCTTTGAGTACAATACGACCTACTGAGTTGATGAGGAAGCGGACTGTATGTAAAGGGAGTTTTGCTTAATTTGTTCTACTTTTGATATATTTTTGTTTTCTTTATTAAGGGAAGTCGTCATCACGAATTTGATTGTTAAAATTCACTCAAAAAGCGTAGGTTGTCGTTCTGAGAGTAAATGGGAAAAAATCTCTACCTATCTAACAATATTAAATACATGCATATGTATATGAAAACAAAAAGAAGAAACTGAATAATTGCTAAAGAAGTAAACAAAGGTTATTTTCATTTAAAAAAATACATATTTTTAAATAAAAAGAGTAGGTTTTTAATTAAATGCTTGGAACAAAGACTTCAGCAACTCAAGTTCTTGGCAAATGTGATAATTGCTTTTGGTGGAAATTCAACTTTGTTGCTAATCTTGCATTTTTTGAAACTCTGCGAAATTGTATAAATATAATTTTATTTTATACGGATAAATATTATTAGGAAAGTAATTTTTAATAAGGGTTTTTTTATGATATTCCTTACGCTTCGACTATGTATATAAAGGACATTTTTAATCATCTATTCATATTAAATGTGTCTTTGCGGATAAGTAGTGCGCCAGTTATAATGCTTCCAGACAGAGTTCTATTGATTTTACCATCAGTGTTTTTGAAGAGCTCATAAAACAATATCAGCGATGCGTCCTATATCAAATAATTATATAGCCCACCATTACAGATAATGACAGGTAAGTGCATTCAGTTCTGTTCAATAATTCATTTTGGTTTCAATAAAAATAATTGCAAATGGAAAACACTAGAGACCACAAACACATATGTGTATGCATGTACGAGTATACAAGTAAATGATTGGTGGTAGAAAATAAATGAAAAACTCTTCAATACATAATACAAAATGAAATGTTTATAAGCCACAAGTGTTTTATTTAAATTCGAAAAGCACACAAAATTGCAAATCATTGCAAGAACAGCTATATTTTGATTAGTTTGTGAAGAGTGGGGGGAGGGGGGTGGGGGCTGGTGGGGAAAGGCGAAAATAAATCCACAAAATGTAAGTAAACAAATACTAAAATAAATTCTAATCAAACTCAAATAATCAAATTAAAGGCAAACGCCAGCTGGACCGCTGATTTAAATGTGTCACACACACACTCACACACACATGCAGGAGAAAAACGCTAAAGGAAAAACCTTAGCACATCAAAACCAAGAGAAATGTAAGAGAAGCGCCAGCAACTATGCACAAATACTTGTATATATACGATATACAAGTAAGTGTATATTAACAATAAACAATAGCAACAACAAAAACGATAACGCTTAAACAAAACAACGGCGCCCAGCATAAACAACAAGCAGACTCACTCGAGCAGACAATGCCAATGGGCATTTGAGTGCGAGAACACACACACACACATACATAGTGGCGAGCATGGAACATCACTCATACGACCCACAGTACCCAAAGCAAATGAGTGGAAAACCAACGATAAGTATGTGAATGTGTGTTTATTTGTATGCGTGTGTGTGTGTGTGTGCAAGCGACGAACGTGAAGCGGCCACTAAACTTAGCCGGCATTTACTTTAAATGTTCAGTTGGCGAGCAACCCTTGAATATAGCGCTACAAAAGCTTAAGCACAAGTCCGGCGACACGCGCAGCTCGAGGCTTTAATAATTTAAATTAAGTAATTCCCACAGATACGATCAAGTGTGGCAGCAACGGCAACAAGTGTGTGCCTCTACAATCCCCACTGAAAGTTGCCCCCAAAAAGTGGAAACACAAATAAATATCGCAAATCAAAATGCTGCAATAATTGAAAGAGGCGCCCAAATAAACAAACCAAAAAAAATTGCAATAATAAAAGAAAAGTTTTGTTTTCGCAAAAAAGCCAACAGTGCATGAAAAAGTCAAAACTTGCTACCAAAAAGAAAGAGAAGAAAGTTAAAAAAAAAATTACAACGCGTTCGCGTTACGCATACGCCGCGTGCGCCCGACATTTTTATAGATTTTCTGCATCGCGTGCCTTTCTACCTTACATTTGCGTGTCCTTTTTCGCAACGATTTTTACATGGGACTTTGAACAGCCCGCGAAACAATACGTGTGTGGGAATATTAATTGACCTTTTTTTATTTTAAATATCACATATTTTTTAACAAGCTTGTGGGTGGTTGTGTCTCGCCGTTTAGTGTTGGTTTTATTTGCAAACAGCAGCCAGCATGTCATTTGATATTGCCATTGCCGATCAGATGCGCATAGCGCTCAAGTAAGTTCCTATTAATATTTAGAGTAACATTTCTTTCATATATATTTAATCTTTCCAACCATACATTGCTGTAAAAGTCCATAAAATGTTGCCTGTGAACAAGCAACAGGCTTATCAAGTTTTTTTTTATTGAGTTTATTGTGTCTGGCCTAAAAATATTAAAAACAGAAACAAGTATTTGAAAAAATTAACAATTAGAAATCTAGAGAAGAACTTTGGCAAAAAGAAATCAAGTAAGTGCAAAAAAAAAACTGGATAAAACAACACAACTGGAATCTGATCAGTTGCATTAAAATATATTCAGATATGCCAGTTTTTTTAACATTTAAGGTCGTTTTTTTTTTACAAATATAGCACTGAAAAGAAATTTTTCGGACTATTCAAAAATGTTTTGGATTCTAGCTAATTTCTTTTGTATTTCTACAATTGTTATTTAATTATATTGCAAAGAAATAGAGAAAATGTATCAAAAAGTATATTCTTTTAAAGTTTTTTAAAGTTTGTTTTGCTTTTAACACCATGGATAGGGTTTAAAGTCGAATTTTCAGCTTATAAAATTATATATATTTTAATTAAATTTTATGGGTTTCATTGCTTTAAGCTAAATTTCTTCATCTTTTTAAAAACTTTTGCTCTAGAAAATATTAAAATAAATCTTTTAACGTTGCCGAACATGTATATTTTAAATGTTTGTATATAAAATATTTTCAAGAATCTGGTAAGATGAGTTTCCAATTAATTTAAATGCTGATGAGCTTTTCATTTTATGTCTTTTAATATCTATTTGTAAACTTTTACGGATGTGTCACATATATGTATCTCCAAGAACCAAACAAATACACTTTACTGCTCTGATTTGTTGCCCAATTTGAAAACGTTGGACACCTTTCTTCAAAATTAGTTTCAAAAGCCTAAGAAACTTGTGTTTTTAGAAGTTTGTAGCATCTTTTTCTCGTATTTAAAGCTCAAAAATGAATGGAATTTTGTTAGCCCTTTGAAGAACAAGTATTCCAGAAGTATGCCAAGTTATGTAATTTGCCTTTACATTCATCCATCCATCCAACTTGCAAATTGCATCGGCAAGATGCGAGAATCTATCAATCGATTGAACTGATTGACATTTGTTTGAGAAATTGTATAGAATCAGTCTAGTGAGCAATCGATAGTTCAAGTGCTTGTTGAACTTGTGTGCCAGCTGCGAGCAAATGCAACTGTAATGACTACTAGTAGTTCTAATGGCTTTGAGAGACCTGCCTTATCAGTGCCTTAAAACTTTATGACGTGGCTGCCTTCTACAAATACTCGTATGTATGTAGGCTCACAAATGTTGCGTCACTTATCAACTGTGATGATGGGCTTCAAAGAACGAATCCGGTTCATTGGTTCATCAGGCTTGGCCTATGCTTATTATTAGCTCTACCATTGAGATAAGTTTGTTTTCTATTTTTGTGAGTCCAAGCAACAAACACACACTTCAATTGCATCCGCATTGCAGTCCCCTCCTGAGCTGTCAATTAAAAGTTTACGCCTCAGCGCCACAAATGAAGCCGCCATGTCTGCCAGAGTGCTGACATTGGCACCTCAATCAGAGTGCAATAAACAGTGGTAAAGTCACTCGTGAAACTCTTAATAGCGGTGCTAATAGAGGCTGGTCGAACAATACGCCATAATCATCGGGTCATCCGTCCTAATTATAAGTAAAATATTCACAAATTTTCTGCACTTTGTACTCTGACTCGAAATTTCGAGCATGTCTAACAACGAAAAATTATGTATTTCATTTATTCGACCTGCTGATAACAGCGACTTGGCTTGTGTGACTAAATGTTATTTATTTGATAATTATAAAGAGTATTAACGAATCAATATGAAGCATGTCGATAAGATAACTAAACCAGGAGCCGATTATACGATATGTCTAGTTCGATCTTGTTGCGCTTTGCTTTCAAGTGCGTCAGTTGTTTTATTGCTTGTAATAAAAATCATGTGGCCTTAATTAACATATTTAGGCATTTCGTAATCGATGGTAACTATGGACGATATATGGCTCTACACAGCCAATAAAACAATATCTGCCATGTGCGCCAAACATGAAATCTTAAAAATCAATGTTTATCACAAACCACCTAAACATAAGTAAATAAATACGATATGTTGAAGGTATAGTGCGATAAAAGCACGTGCTGCGTCCAATTCTTTAAGCAATTTTCTCAAATGTCAAGGCAGCAAAATATTCTTTGAATGAGTACAGTAGTAATTGCTTAGGACAGACTTTTATAAATTCTTTAAATTAAAAATATTCAACCTCTTTCAACAATTATGAGAGCTAATTAAATTAAAATTTAGGTGCCTGCTATTTCTTATTTAAGATTTTTTCTGGGTTGGACACCTATTAATATTTATGAGAACTTTTCACGCTTCTTGGATCGAACCCAGAGAACCTATTCTGAAACAAACTCATATAATGTGAAAAATGTGTAATTAGAGAAAACTTTACATATGAGCTGAAAAATGTTTAAAAAAAGTACTAGCAATTCATTTTAATAATTTGAGGTGGACAGTAGAATTTCTTTATAAATATTTATAGAAAACATTAGAGTAATTCATAGCTAGACGGATTGTTGGATTTATTATTAGTTATCCAATTTGAAAATGTTATTCTTGATAACAGATTCCTATTTGGTTTTTTTTTGTTATATTAAGGAACTGACAGACTGTATTACAAGAAAACACATTTATGAAACACACAAGTAGATTGTAATGCCTAAGAATAAAAATCATCAATAATAATCAAGAATTTAATGTAAACTAATAGAAAATGTACCGACGCAATAAACCAAATATTCCTTAATGCAAAATAAACAACTAAATTCCAATATCGATTCCACATCGAACAGGAAATAATTCAAAATAGAGTTCAGCCAATGTTTTTGAAGATAATCTTACAAAAGGAAATACAAATTTCTATTTAAAGTTCCGATTTATATAAAATATATAGTCATTCATCAGAAAGCATTTGGAAAAGACAAAAAGAAGATAATACAATAGCTAAAAGAATAAAGTAGCTTTTCGAATCAACAATTAGCCCAGTTCCACTGTAGCTGCAAAAAAATGTGCATGGCTGGCATTTAGAAGGTAATGCCAAATCGGCTCGCATTCAAGAAATGCTTAACTAACAAACCTTCCACTAAGTGGCTAGCACGTTCAACTTAAGCGAAGCAGCGGATTTGGCCATTATCATAGGTATATATTTACAAGTACGTCAAACATATATAAGCTTGTATGTTTTTTTCGCTGAAACGAATAAAGTACATACGTGTATATGGCCAGCATTAAATACCAAACGAGAGGCTAAAGTACTCTGTGAAATATAATCAAACCGAAAGATTTAATTGTCTTACGGACTTGATCTTTTTCTACAGACATTTAAATGTCGTTAAGAGAATACTTTTTAATATGAAAGAACCGACTCATGTGGAATTGCAAAAATATTTGTACTACAGCGAACAGATGCAAATATTACAAGGCTTTTAAATACCGTAGGTGCTAAAGTGTTTTCACCTTTGCAGTCAAAAAACTCGTCAATTTCTGTTCAACTCTGACTCTTTTAATGAGTACTCAAGTACATTACAAATTAGCATAGCACGTTAAAATATTTATCGGACTTAGCGTGAACAATTTTAGTGTGCAAGTAAGTAGCCGGTGCTCTTTCTGGTTTTTTGTTCCGGCTTTGCGGACAAACCTGCGGTTTCTCAGTACACATAACAAGCCGAGCTCGGCTATTTAATATCCACACTGACATTTAATAGCTGCCCTCACGACACTCTCTGAGTCCAACCAATTGCACACATCATGCTTAATTTTTATGACGTCTGCAAATGTACGAGCGAGTATTTAATAAACGTATTTAAATTGAGTTATATAGCCAATTAAAAAGTGAGATATAGGGTCTATGTGCAGCAGCCAAGTTTTGAACACTGGACAGCATTTGTCATCGTTCAGAAATGTGAAATAGTTCTAATAAGTTTTGAGACGCTTTTTTTTAAAAACTTCATAGGTTTCTGAATTTTTTCTGTTCAAAAGAAATAATTATACCTTAGCCAAAGCATGAAAATATGGATTGCTAAACCTTAAAGTAAATAGTCTTTGAATTGATGATAAAACTAATCTAAATTTTTCATATAACAAACAATCTGAATTCGAAAGTTGAAAGTTTCTAATTGGTAACACATTTTATTGGGAATAGGTTGTCTAATTTAAAAGCAATCGTTAAATAGTTTTCACATTTTTATTTTTCTTTATACTTATTTTTATGTGAACCGCTTGCTTAGTGGTTGATTTTATGTCTATTTTAACGGTGAATTATTTCTGCTTTTCATGACTGATTTTATATCTGTATTAACGTTGATTTAACGTTGATTTATCAGCGACAAACATTTATGCAATACAATAAATTGATAATTCAAAAACTTGTTAATGGAAGTGATTGACGTGAATTTGTTAAATCTTTAAGCAATGCAGTTTTGTGGGCAGCAGCGGCCACTTAACCCCATAGGTCTTAAGCAAGTTTTTGGGTTTTGGGTAGGATTTTTGGTTTCGAGAAAAAACAACAATGTGAATCAGTTGGAAACATTTAAAAGGTTGTTATCAAGACCAGACGTTGAGAGGAAATCTTACAAAATATCCAACTAAAACTTTATTGCTTAGAATAAGAATAATTATTCAATGGGTATCAGAATAAGAATACATCAAAAAGTAGTTCAACACAATAGCAAACACTATCTGTTAAGAAATCTATATCCGTAAAACACTAAATGTGTTTCTAATATATTGTAAAGTGTTTAAATTGAAATAATTTTCAACCTGAAAAACTAGACCTTATTGAATTACACTTAAAAACTATATCGATTTTGCTGCACAGTGTAATTGCTCGCTAATTGTAATGCATGTTGTGGAAATTCTATTTTCGTTTCACTGCAGTTGCCGCCTAGGGCATAACCTTGACCTTGCAAAAGGTACATACATACATACTATATACTCGTTGAAGCAATTCAAACTTTAATTAGCACCCGATATCTATAATTCACACATTGCCGTCTACAAACATCCATGGAAATAACCTATATAGCCGGTCTAAGGTTGCACAAATAAAGAAAAAAACGAAGAAGTACGAGTTGCCGCAGCTGCTAATTAATTGCTGTCTTGCTGACTTGTTTCGCTAAGTATTCTGCATGATTTATGACTATATGCGATAAACAAAAGACGTCTGAACTTTTTGCCAAACGCGTGCGTATTTAAAAAATTTACTACCCAAATGTTTGCCGATCTGCTGGCGATCAGCTCACTCGTCATTATGCGTGCACGTTCCTCATGGGCAACGCACTTGAAATTTTAAGTGTGATTTCTGTTTAACTCGAACGCCCTGCCCTCCGCTGCACCCATAACAATTTTCAGATCGGACTTATGCCAATCGAATAACATATGTCTCGAATATTGGAGATAACTTTTGAATTTCGGTTCAAATTTTTGCTTTAAAGTATGGTTTGTAATAATTGGGGAGGATTCAAATACATTATTTGCTATTCTTATTTTAAAAAAAATATTAATTGAAATTTTTAGTAATGGTACAAAAAATATATAGAATTTTATAATTTCCTGAAATAAATTGCCTTTATTTTTATTGTGAAGTGCTCTCAAAATCTGATTATAAAGTATGGTTTGTAATAATTGGAGAGGATTCATATACATTCGTTTGCTATTCTTAATTGAATAAGTTTTTTCTGGTAATAATACAAAAAAATCGTATTTTAAAAGTTCTTGGAATAATTTTCATTTATTTTTATTGTGAAGTGCTCTCAAAATCTGATATAAAGTATATTTTGAAATGTGATGCTGCAATCGGTGAACAATGAATAAGATAACGGAGGTTCGAAGAGATTTTACAATAAAAACTTATATTATTTTTTATTTAACTTTATATTACAAATATCCGTATTATCCTTATTATTATTTGTTGAAAAACAAAAAATTGTTCTTACTTTGATCTAAAAAGAAAAGCTGCCAGTTGCACATTTAGTTTCCTATTAAACTTGCCAACAAATGCTAAAGATTTGAGATATATAGTACACCTAATTTTTTTTTACACGGTAGATGGGTTCCAGAAAAAGTAGTGTAAAAAAAACCGTGTAAAAAAAGACGATGAACATATGTTATTTTGAATCATGTTTAATGGAATAAAGTCGTGCAACCATATATAACATTTTTAATTTTCAAACCGTGTGAAAACAGAATTAGGTGTATATGCACCTCATTTCCTGACAGTATAGGGTATTGATAAGTGTATATGGAGTTTTCCAGACAACTGACGTTTCACTCTCGATCACTGCTCACACTAATTTAATTGTTTAACTTGCTGTTTCTGTTTACGCGCCCGCCATGAAAATGAGCAAATAAATTGAACAAGGCGTCGATCATTTGTTTGTAAACAAATGGAGCGTTGCTTTGTATTTCCATATACTCGAATGTAATTCTTTTTGAATACATGTGTGTGCCAAGTTTGTCATCTAATAGGGCCACTGAGTAATTCCACACTGGGAATACGGCTGGCTGTTCACACAATTACTCACCGCACTTAATACTCGTATAATTGTATTTGCAGTTACGTGAAGTTTAAAACAAAGCAGCAGCGGCTGCGTAGCAACGATAAGGTCATTGCGGACACCATCTGTGGCAAGGTGAAGGGTGTCAAGTGGCAATCGATCTATGGCAACAATTACTACAGCTTTGAGGGCATACCCTTTGCCAAGCCGCCGGTGGGTGAGCTGCGGTTCAAGGCGCCCGTCGAGCCGGACCACTGGACAGATGTGAAGCGATGCACGCGGGAGCGCTCCAAGCCCTGCCAGGTGAACATTGTGCTGCGGCAGGTGCAGGGCAGTGAGGATTGCCTATATCTGAATGTTTATACAAGAGAGGTGAGTAGATTATAACACTTCAAAAAAAGTCTCTGAGAACAGCAAACTAAAGTACGAGGAGGTGTTTCCTTAAATCTATGCAAATAATTGACTTATTTAAGAGACGTTACACATTTTCAGTTTCAGTATATTATATTTTTTTTGTAATATGTACAAAGTTCCGCAACTAAACACCCTTCAAAATAACCCCTAACTGATAAATTCTTAGTGAACGATATGAGTTGCATTTCTTCGTCTGCTTTTTTGTAAACATTTCTGAAGTTAAATCTTTCTTATATTCTCCAACAAGGGAACTTCTTGTCAGATGAACTTTTTTTAATTTGTTTTAAGAATAGGATTTAGAATACTCTTTAAAACACTTCAATACTTTATAACTTGATTCGAATTTGTTGTTCAATTTTCCACTTATCGTAGCTTTATCTGTTTTCCCACAATTTTAAGACCAATTTGTCTAATTTTGTTTATAAACAAATTGTAAAAATAATCTGTACGATCAATCAGAAGGTCTGAACGCTCTTAGTTTTTGGTGTAGTGGATAGCACATTTTTGAAGGAAATTATCGCTTCATTGGCTGACAAAGCTTTATTAATTCCTATATTATATATTCCTTTATTATTCCACAGTGCTATCAATTGTTTCAATTATAAAGTTAGCTATGTTGCAGCATATTCTCCCAGAGTCCAATCCAAATAGAACATATATGCTGCATAGAAATAGAATTTGAAGCTATAATTTTGTCGTAGCATTAAAATAATATTTTTTAATATTTCCTAGAAGAGAGTCACCTGCTTGTGTGATGATATATGCTCATGATTAAGTTCTTTTCAAATAAGAATTATTTCCGTAAGCAGTCGTGGGTGAAAGCCCACTTTATTGATTCAAACAACGAGTTATAAACGTGTTCGAATCAGGACTGCCAGAAACAACAATGAGTCTGCAATTTCTTTAAAATACTATACTTAATTACCTCTAACCATACACTACCTAATTACTCGTATTTCAGTTACATCCACAAAAGCCGTTGCCCGTTCTGGTCTGGATTTATGGTGGCGGCTTTCAAATGGGCGAGGCCTCGCGTGATCTCTACAGTCCCGACTATATTATGATGGAGCATGTCGTGCTGGTTTCCATTTCATATCGGCTGGGTGCTCTGGGCTTTCTTTCGCTTGATGATGAGGAGCTCGATGTGCCCGGCAATGCCGGTCTCAAGGATCAAGTAATGGCTCTGCGTTGGGTTAAGCGTAATTGCCATTTCTTTGGTGGTGATCCGGATAACATAACTGTTTTCGGTGAGAGTGCTGGTGGAGCTTCCACACACTACATGATGCTCACGGAGCAGACGCGGAATCTCTTTCACAAGGCCTGCATAATGTCTGGAAGTGCGTTGACTCCTTGGTCCTTGACGCCACGACACAATTGGGCCTATCGCTTGGCCCAGGCCACGGGCTACGATGGCGACTGCAATGACGCCCTGATATTGGCGCACTTGAGGAAGTGTAAGGCCAGCACAATGCTGCGCGTGGCCGAGGATATTATCACGTTGGAGGAGCGACATCAGCGCAAGGTTATGTTCAGTTTTGGGCCCACCCTCGAGCCTTACGAGTCCGCTCATTGCGTCATACCACGGCATCCGCTGGAGATGATGCGCAACTGCTGGGGCAATGAAATTCCCCTTGTCGTGGGTGGCAACTCGTTTGAGGGTCTGCTCATGTTTCCCGAAGTGCGCAAGTGGCCGGAATTGTTAAATCAACTCGGTGATTGCGAGTATCTGGCACCCGAGGATGCTGGTCTGAATGAGGAGCAGCGACGGGCCTATGGCAAGCAGCTACGCGAGACATATTTTGGAGATAAGCAGCCCAGTCGCAAAACCATACTGGAGTACAGTGATGTGAGTATTGAAGAGCACAGTGGGGCTAAACAAAGAAAATGTGAAATTAGGGAACATAAAAAGGGAATAAAAAAAACTTGGAATAGAAAAATCAACCAAACCAACATATATATATATAAGTTAAAGTATCCCAATATAAAAGGTAGACATACGTATAGATTAAAGGCAACAAAATCGGTATAATTCTAAATAAGTACATGGACAGAGATTATATTTCTGTATTTTCCCAAAAAAAAAGTGCAAACCGCAGCAAATTTGACGAATTGACGAAGCTACATGTGTACCTAAAATTCATCTCCTTCAAAAAGGCGTAATATTATGGTTTATATACTTTGGAATTTAATTATAAGCCTTTTGGTTAATCACGGATAATAGACTGTACTGACATGACGTAGCTAAATATACTTTATTTTGTGTACAAATCAGTACCTTAGTATTTTAATAAATATTCTTAGCAGTGAAAATATCTTAAAGCATTGCCCTCGCTAATTTGTCCTTTGGAATATTTGAACAAATATGGAATCCAAATAAGTGTGTAACAGTTCATCTAATTGTGGGTTTACTTACTCCAGGTAGTGCCAGCTTAGCTACAGTTTATTGCAGAAAATGTAATGTAATGTAGTATAAGAGCGTTTATTACTAACAAATATAAATCTTGCTACCGATTTTACCACCAGCATATAAAAAAGGCGCTGAAATGTTTACAGAAACAACTGCTTTAGTATTATAAATTGAAAAGCACTTATTCTTCAACTGCTTATCAAAGACTTCTTATAACAAATATTCAATTGTTTGATGATGAAATGTTGTACATAAATTCCATTAAAAATTTAAAAATTTACCTTTTCAGTGAAGGTAATTAAAATTTATTAAAGTTTAATATTTATTAAAAAGAAATCGCCTGACTGTTAAAGTGGACTTTCAGCAACAAAGACTATAAATAGAAATATAACCTTAGCATTGGGCTGATTTATGTTGCTAGTAGCAGGGAATATTAAAGTCTTAAGATATTATGTTCTTTCTGCATTGAAGTTATTTTCATAATTTCTTTATCTCTCATTCCCGACAGGTTTTCTCCTACAAATATTTCTGGCACGGCATTCAACGCACACTCCTCTCACGAGTGCATTATGCGAGCAATGCGCCCACCTATTTGTACCGGTTCGACTTCGACTCCAAGCACTTTAACATGATGCGAATAATCACGTGTGGTCGGAAGGTGCGAGGAACCTGTCACGCCGATGACTTGTCCTATTTGTTCTACAATGCGGCAGCCAAAAAACTGAAGCGTCGCACTGCGGAATTCAAGACAATTAGGCGCTTGGTGTCGATGGTGGTGCAGTTCGCCACTTGTGGAGATCCGAATATTCCGTTGGACGGAACGCACGAGGAGCAACAGGCTGAGCATCCGGAGCAGCAGCGTTGGTTGCCCGTCAGGCGCAATGATGCGGTCTTCAAATGCCTGAATATATCACATGAGGTGCAGGTGATTGATTTGCCCGAAGCTGACAAGCTGAAATTGTGGGATAGTATGTACGCGGACAAGAGCCTGCTCTTCTAAGCGGCGTATGCGCAATGTCAGTGTCGGTATAAATCCATCGCCAGTCATGACAAGTGATGCCTTTGGGCCATTTCAAATGTTGCCTGGTTTTTCGGCAGCGTCTGCCTGTTTGCTTAACATTGTTATTGTTTGTAGCCATAGCTCTAAGTACCGTTTGCCCTAAACTGGCCTTCGCAAATCTGTTTTTGTAAACATCAAATGTCTACATCTTAGTAACTAAGAGGCCGGATATAAAAACTCGTATACAAATAGAAATATATTTGCGCTCATGGCCATTTAGTTGGTGAGCTTGAAATTGAAAAGAAGAATATGTTGAACACATAGCAGCGGAAGAGCAATTGTTAAATGAAAATATGAATTCTAGCCAAATTTGAAAGACATCAGTTGAAATGAAAAGAAATCGCAATCAAAGTTATGTCTGCAATGAAATTGTTTAGATATAATAAAGGCCAGCAAATTTTTCCTAAGTAAGTTTAGCCATGGTTTTAGTTATGCTCTCTTAAAACATTTAATTAGTTAATACATATAAATAATAACAAATATTATTGGATTAAGTTTTAAGCACACGACCGATACATATCTCTAGAACGGTGTCCAGATATTTTCAAAAATTATTATAGAACCCTTTTGGAAATGTGAAGTGCAATATTTTTCTTAATACGTATACATAACCTTTTGCTTACATGTGTATATTTATTAATTACAGTTTATTAAAAATAAACAAAGTGATTTTTACAAAATGTAATACAAATTTCAGAAGACAGTCTACATTTATTTTATTTCTATTTATTTATCTTAAATGACCGCAACTATAGCCTACTACTAGTAACTTCTCTTTTATTGGAATAATTTGTTAATTTTTTATCAGCGGTGGTCCTCATTTGCGATGTAAAACTATCAGATATAGCTACAGCATTGTTTGATACAAAAACTATTTTAAAATCACTTCGTTTCTTTGATAGATACAAACATATGTATATGATATAGTCAAGGCAGACGCTGGGCTGCAAAGTTTCTTCACAATAGCTGTAGAAATGTGGGAGGACTAGTGCTTGAAACAAATGCTTCGCTATTTGGTTGTTTATTAACGATGACTTGGCTTAGTAATTGATTAGTAATTGATTTGGCTTCACATTTATGCGACCGCTATATTTCGATTTACATATGTACATTCATATTTCTGCCTTCACTTAAAAAAGTAGACCACAGCTTTAATGATTGGCGCAATCAGATGACAACAAGTAGACAGAAATTGGCTGAGTTCATGACAAGCTTGTGTGCTTTTAAATGAGACGGTGGATGACATAAATTTGTCTGGGAAGCCACTACACATATACACATACATATAAGCGCATAAATATACCTAAGCTCACGCACAAAATACATACATACAAGTATATAAGCAATATACATTTAATATATATGTACAAGTATGTATGTATGCTTCAAATCAACTCGAAGCCCTCAACCAAGCGCTCCCGTAAAGTATGCAACACGTTCTGATATTAAAAATACTTTAATGCTCACACACAGCTACGAAAATATCAACACCTGCACACACAAATATACACACATGCACACACATATGTGAGCTGTCAAGCGACAGCAAAAGCTTAAGCGCAGCTGCAAACTGCCACACACGCACACACACACACACTGTCGCAAAGTCGTATCAAATTTATGCCGGGTCGTCAGCAGTACCCAGGGCACAACAAAAGCTACTGATTTTATATACATACGAGTATATGTAATACATATACATATGTGTGTTTGTGTATATAGTTTTTTCTATGTCATAACATCAAAGGCACCCGGCGTGCTTATGTGTGTGTCGGTGCTTTTCCAGGCTAAAATATAACACCCCCCATTAATTGTAATTAAAAACTTACACGTGCTTCACATTACTGAGCTTTCTGAGTGCTCTGGGTCTTACAGTGACCTTCAATACATAGTAAGTATGCAAGGGCTGGTTTATTTTTTGTTTGACATTTTGCAATTTATTTCATTATTGTAACGAGTATGTAACGAGTTAAATGTGTGTGCTGCGTAAAGTGTTTGAAAATTAAGTTATTAATCATAACAGCAGACTCATGCTCATTCCAGTTGGGTATGAGTAGAAGCTGTGATTTGATTTTATTTTCTTGCATCTCTTAGGAGCACTTTCAAAAGCTTTATGGACATTTTCCGCTTGAGCGTAAAAGTATGCTATAGTTTTTCATTTTAATTTGTGTGCACGACAGTCCGTTGTTTAAGGAAATTTTTGTAACAACATATGAGAAAAGAATCTCTGTCTAGTTGGTCGAATTGGCTGAAAAACTAAGTAACTATTTCGTGCAAATCATTTATGTTTGTACAATAAACAATTTGCTTAGCTGCGGCAAGATAGCTGCCTTTTGCTTTTGGCTGCATTAAGAGCCATTTTCTATGATCATTTACATATCTATGAAACATTTATTTACAAATTAGGTAGTCCCTTTATATTCAGTTAGAATGGCAATATGTACATATATATTTTTGTACTACCCTTCATGGCTTTGAAAGTGGCTTTTGTCATTCAGAAAATACATACATAATAAAATGTTAAATTATAAAAATGGGGGTGAAAGAAAGCGCGTAATTGGTTTAACAATTAGAAAAGGTTAAAAATATTGCAGCTGTAACTGACAAAGTTCACAAAAGTGAGTTATGCGCTAGGACCAATAGTAACAGATCAACAACTAACCTTATTATTATTTAAAAGTAAGCCGAAAACCAATTAGTAGCTGCAGCAGCGCGAAAGTGCTTACGAAAAGGTGAACACAATCGAGCGGGAAAACTTTGCCAAAAAATAATCCTTCATCTTCATGGTGAAATGAAAAAGGAAAATATCAAAATATTGTTCTTCATTGAACACACTTATGTAGAAGACTGTGGAAGAAAATATTAAATTGTTTAAAATTGATTCAGTTAAAGTGATGTTAGCTGCCTTTTTAGGATAGTTGCCGCAAAAGTTTGTGCAAAGTATTGGAGGCTTTGGAATAGTAATTAATTACTGGTAAATAAGCTTGCATGTAATTCGCATAAAGTAGACGATGAATGCAGAATCGTTTACACCTTCAAGCTGAGATTCAATGATTATAGAAGATTCTTTACATACAACTTTCAAAGTTCGATTATAAAAAGTTCTATAGCATGATAAAAAAAAGAAAATACTAACTTCGATTTGTAACTTTTATCTAGTCTGCTGATAGCGACATTTTCGTGCTCTGGTTGAAAGAATAAATCGATATTTGGTAAACAACATTAAATATGTTATCAACACTTTAGTTAGCAAACGAGAAGCGAAGTACAGCTTCAAATAAAAATCTTACCACACATCAATATCGCAGAATAAAGGGATTTCCATATTTTAAAATGTATTCCAATTTAAAGTCTTGCAGGTGGAGGCGCGCACCTGCCAGACAGTCCAAAAGCCAATGGACGACCCATATACGAGTATACTATGTACATACATAGTGTGTGTTAGTTCAAGGAAACCTTTTGAATTTTTAAAATCACAGACAATTGTTTGCTGTCACGTGCAGTGGCCTGGAACTGGTAGGTGGTCAACAAAGGATTCCAAGAGGAACGCATGTTATCCGTGTGCAATAATCAAGTCACGAAATGCCAAAGAAAAGTCACGCGAGATTGTTGAACTGCCGGAAAATTATGATTGCTGAGGTCTGGGCGCGACTGGCGCTTCGGTTGACGTGTGCGTTCGTTTTAGTTTTCCTTTGAAAAATTCATGAGGCAATTGTTGCGCATGAAGTGATTTTGCTGCGGGGGCTTCAATTTTGTTTTTCAAGCAATGTTCAAGGTGTGCGCAAATCAGCTGTTTCTATAGAATTTTTCTTGTCTACACTCTACTCAATTATGTTTAAGAATTGGTTGGGAATGTAATTTAAATATTGAAATAATATTACTTGAATTATATGTAATAGTCCTGCATATCTGAAGGATAATATTATACATTTTTTGGACTGATTGTTTTCCAAAAATTCACTTAACAGAATATCGTACCAATACTCTATATAAATATAATTTCCAGCAAACTCTCAAGCAAAATACTCAACGCAAAGAATCAGAAATCTTACGCCAGAAATCTTACGCCACAAATTTAAAAATGTTAATAATATATGTTTTTTTGCATAAAATCCTGCTAAAGTTCTGAATTGAATATATTAAAGTATGCTGAAGCCAAGTTCTTAAGCCACATAGTTTTAGAAATACTAATGAAATATTTTTCTTCAAAATATATAAGAATATTCCCAGCAGACATTTACAACAATAATAATAAAAAACTATAATTGTTGACGACTTTGAATAATAATAAGTTATTCGATTGGGTATATTATGAAAGGTTATTTCTGCGATTTGCGGCATTCTTCAACGTTGAATTCATTTCATCAGTTCGTCTTATTAATTTATCTACCTGTCTGATTTATGGCTTTTCTCCTGCACTTCAAATTGAAATAAGTAAAGAGTAAGAAATGCCTTGCATTGTGTTATATATACATATATGACCTCGTTCGATGGCGAATCAGCAGCCGGTGCCGCTCATAAAAAATTCTGCGATGTGTACAAACAGGGAGCAAAGTTCAAGAGGCGATGTGTGTTGTTCTTTCCAATGAATTTAAAGACAGACACGAAAACCATTTGCTTATTACTAAGCATTCGAGAGTGCGCAAAAATTGCGCTAAAAATAAACACCTTGATAGACAAGAAAAGATAAAATTTTGTTCACAACTACACAATAAACATGGTAGCTATCTGGTGGCAGAATTCTATCAAAAAATTAAATGGCAAACGTCTACTAGTTGAGGACTTATCAGCAACGTGATGAATGCAAAATATTTTCTGTGTCACATATTTTTTCATTAATCAGAATCGTTTAAAATCTAACAATATGTCAACTGTGCTGGCAACAGTAACAGTAAAAGCAACAACCACAGCAACAACAACAATGCCAGCGACAAAGTTAAAGCAACAATTTATATATTTAAATTGATTTAAATGAATTAGAGAGACGCACGAAAAACGTGCAACGACAACGAGCTCACACACCGACTGATGGCGGGCTTTTCTACCCCCTCCACCCTCCACCCCTCACAACCATACCCGTAAGTCACGAGAAATTGGCGCATTACTATAGATATGTATGTCTGTATGTAAGTCTGTATGTGTATCATGCAATAAAGTCAGCGTTGGCCAAGGTCACTGCTACTAGGCACTTACTTATCGAATGGCCTGTGGAATTAGGCAGACGACCAGCGTTAATTACCGCTCATATTCAACTTCATCGACTGGCAATCAAATCTGAATTGATTTGGGCAGCGGTCGCGTGTTTCGAATGAATAGCCCACAAAATGCCTCAGGTTGAAGCTACGAGGCACGTGAGCGGTCAAAAATACACTCACAAGAATAGTTTTCATGCATGCAATTGTGTTATTTATATTTATAATATAGGCTTATATTAGGGCTGCATGCATTTTTGCTTGAAAAATTATATTTATGGTTAGTAATAAATGCGTCAAATTTTAACGACAACTTCTTAGTTTAGGTCCAGCACTGTTCTATGTAGTTACAGTAGAGAAATTGCTTATTGCCAGCCTTGAAGTATAAACTACTTTTCGCAGTGTCTACTTAAAAGTTTTTTGGTGGTTTGAGTTTCTATTGATACCACGCATGATTATTTGAAATTTTACTTTCATTTGAACTTATTACTAATAAATTAATATTTATACTCCATGTAAGATTTGGTGACGAAAGTCTATCGCTTATCATGCCATTAAAATTCTTGAAACTTAATATCAAAGGCCACTTGTGGGATAATAGAAAACCATTTTATTGTTTATCTACAGGAATAGGCTATCATCATAAATACAAACATTATAAAAATTACAAACAACTTCAATAAAATAAATTTCTAATAAAAACCTCTAATCCTGGCCGGCAAGATTCATGCCAGCTATGCTCCAGTTCATAGCCATGTGTGGTCAAAGTTTCTAAGGAAGACAGCTAAAAGGGATATAGAGAGAAAAAGTAAAAAAGTAAAAGCTCAAAAACCAAAAATGCAGCAAAAGTTGTGCATCTTTCTATATAGAAAGAGTGTACAGAATTTCTTGCTATGCTTTGGGAAACTAAAACGCTTAAATGGGTAGAGTATCGAATTAAATTTGTGGAGGACTATTGTCAGCGAGTAAAGATCAACTTTGGGATCTCAGAGAATGAATTGAGGGCAGTTGGAGCATCCTGTAAACGAATACGATAAGGAAGGTCTGTTTGCGATATCTGTCCTTATTTACTATATATAATAAAATAAATATTTCAGTCTGCAGAGAATAACAAAAAAGCAATTAAATTACATAATTTAGTGGAGAAAACCTTTTGAACTTGTTAATAATTACATTCTCTAAAAATATCCTTTTGGCCCTTGCGAAAATGGGACAAGATAGCAGAATTTTTTTACTGACCTCTTTATTTTATTTTGAAATCAGGACAAAACTATGCTCCTAATACTAACAAAAATTTGTTTTTAAACTAAAAAAAATATATTATTTATTATTTATGTAGAAAAGTAATAATACTAAAAACGTTACATAGAAATCACATTTGAAAACAGGGGGGACTTTTAAAAACCTAAAAAAGGCGAAAAACTTGTAGCACCTTTTATAAAAACGTAGTGAATTGTACATGTTTATACAAACGACAATTTTGGTGAGCTTTTACAAATTGAAAAAAAAGGAATAAATGTTGATTTTCTTTAAGAAAAATACTGCTTAGGCAAAGCGAAATGATTCTCATTATAAGTTGACTTTCAAGAAAAAAAAAAACAGAATCTTTTTTCAAGTGTAATCTGAGTAATCTTCCATACGCAATAATTTCATGCCCATAAAACGCAACCAAATCGGCGGACGCAATCGCATTTAAAATCGAACAAGGCGCCAAAGTTGTCGGGCTAATAAAAGCTGAAAAGCACACGGCCGGGAAAGCTTTATGTGGCTGCAAAGTGAAAGTTGCAGGTGCTTTTGCGCCCCAAATGGGTGGAATGGGTGGAATGGATGGGAATGGAATGCAGTGGAATGGAGTGGGGTGGGGTGGGGTGGGGAGGTTATGGAAGATACGAGACTAGAAGGACACTCAGGCAGGGCCAAGTGCTGTGTGCAGCGACTTTAAGGGCGGGTTGTACTCAGCCCATCAGCTGTTCCTTACTTTTATTTTTATTTCTCTTGTTTTGCTCGGTATGTTTACTCGACTGCGAGTTGCTAGCGCGTGCCCTCATATCTCATACAACAATAATAATAACAACAACAAAAACAACAACAACAACATTTGCAACAACATGATTACATGGATGGCTTCATTGTAAGTGGCCGCGTGTGCAATGCTTTGATAAAATTTTATAGTTATGAGCACCATATACATACAAGTATATACAAGTAGGTATGTATGTGTATGTACATACATACATACATACATATACCCATATGAATCGTTGTGTGGGTTACCACTTCTGGGTAATGGGAAGGCCCTTAGGAATTGGCGAATGTTGCCAAAGAAACTAGATTTTTTGAGAAATGCTCTGCGGGTAAATGCCACGAGGTGGGGAACAAGAACGATTTTCAAAATAAAGAGTAATTTATGGTAGCTATGGATAAATCACCGCCACTTACTGAATTTACTGGAATCAGAATTATTTTTTAGGAAAAAATTGTCTGGGGATTCAAAATTATTCATAATAATGAATAGGAAAATAAATAGGAAAATCGCATTTATTCCATACTGGAATTCTGATGAAAAAGGGTACATTACTTGTATTACAAAATAAAGTGTTGTTATGTGTCCATAAAAATAGAATTTTTGAAGAATTGCTTGTCAAATCGGTTGGTTACAACATAATTCTTTTTTTTTTCCATTGCTTTAAGTAATATTGCTTGACAAATTGATTGCTTTGTTTTTTCGATTTTTCATTAGAACGCTACAGAAAATATTTTGAAATAGAATTAAAATTACACGCATCAGAGTAGTTACTGCACTAAGAACACTTGTATTGTATAACTTAAATTTATACGTTTTCTTCAATTAAAATGTTTTCATGATTCATTACTGACCTAGTATGCGCAATTGTTGTATTTTTTATATAATAAACGTTAAAAGCATAATGGATGGGGAATTGCTTTTGACCCTTAAAGCAGTAAAGTCCACAATAAGCACAAACATGGCTCATCCGAATAGCTTAAATGCCTTTATAAAGGTGCTAGAGTAATGGATTTTATTAACTGCTCTGAGTCATACCGTTCATGTTAGAGACATAGACAGTGATGAGGCCGATAAGACTTTATAAAAAAGGGTACGTTGTTCGATAACGTTGGTCGAGCGACTAGACAACTTTTCGATGTTACGAGTAATGCCCATTGTCGCTAATCAGTTGGTATATATGTACATAAATAAAACTATGTATTGATTGCGCGTGGCACAAAAAGTCGCACCCAGACCTACACAAAATGAATTGCACTGTTATGTAATTTATGAGTCATTCTTGTTTCGATTTAAAAATCACAATTATCTTCATGTGGGTGTCGAGTACTGAGTGTGTGATCACATAATTACACATTCTTATCTACAAATTGTTGTACATAAACTCCTTGTCGTCATTGCTCGCAATTACTCACCAAGGTCCAAAAAGGGCAACTGAAAGGAAAGTAGAAAAAGAATTGAGTTAAGTTAAAATGAAAATAGAAGCAATTAAATGTTACAGCAAAGAGTGCTGTTTAAGTTTAAAAACATTTTAATCTTAATATAAATATTATCTGGTAGTGGGATAAAAGTTTCTAATATGTAAGAATTAGATAAAATATATATATGAAAAGAAAAGCATTGAAATGTTTATAAATGAGGTAATTCATCTAAAATAATATATTTTCATATATGGTACACATTTTTTAGAAACACTTAATATTATAGAGAAATGGTTTGCAATATTCATAAAAGGGCTACTTGAAAGATTATATTGAAATTATTATTATTTAGAGATTTATTTGTAAACTTGCAAAATTATTGGCATAATTTGGGAAAGAAACGGATTAAAATCTTGATAATCGAAAAGTTATTAAAAGTTTATTTCGAAAAAAATATTGAAAAGCAAGGCATTTAAATTTAAACAAATGGATTATGAGAATACAAGTTTAAATTGTAAAGATATTCTAGTTCTTAGCAAAAGTATAATTTTGTTTAGAAATCGAACATACTTGTATTGAAAAGAACAAAATTGAAATTTGCATAAATAGAAGTATGTTATAGTATTCTTAATGTTCTTATTGTTAAATATTCTATTTTATAATTATTATTATTGTTAACAAAAGCAGCAGTTTTTTTTAAAGAAAATTAGATATTAAATCAAATTGCTTCAAAATACCTTATTTGGCGTATTTAATAAAACGGTTAAATATAATTCAAAATATAATACTAGCACTTGTATTTGATGAGATTTACAAGAATAGACCATAAGAAGAGTTGCCTTGGATATATGTATGAACATAATGATATCGATTGGCACATTCAGGTTCATGGCGCATTCACAATTATACGAGTATGCATGTACATACATACAAACATAATAATGAAGGTCTGTCCTACCTCCGACTGGCTCTCAGTTATATCCGGAACAATCTAGCAGCTGCGCTTATGGGGTATAAAATGCTGGATATACAAAGGATATGAGATACACAATATATGCATGTATGTGTGTGTATGTATGCATGGCTTCCTTTGGCTTGCAGTCACATTCGGAACAATCTAGCAGCTGCGCTTATAGGATATACAAGTACAATGGTGTGTAAATGGTTTTTAAATAAATAATCTTGTCTATGTTTTCGTTTCTCTATCCTTGAATCTCGAATAACGTGAAAGCTGGGGTCTGCAATTGGGGCAATTGTTTGTTTTCTTTCAATGTGTACTTTTGAGCCTTCCTAGAAGGACTACTAAATAAACAGCTCGAAGCATTTGGGGATTTGTGTTTCCAGACATGTGCGTGAAATTCCTAGAAGGACTATTTGAGCAAAAAAGGAAACTCAGTCAACAAGCAGTGGAGCATGCTGCTCGGCAAAGGGTATCCATTAAAGCTAATTTGCTAGACGTACCCAATTTCGTGTCTTATATAACAGTACATGACAGCATCAACAACAACAACAACAATACTATAATAATAACAGACACACGAACATAACGCTTATCAGTGGATGTCAACGTGGGCAGCATAAATCGCACGCGACGCCACCAAATAAACTTGACTTTGATACAAGAAAGCGTGTGCGAGTGTGTGTGTGTGTAGACGGCAACAACAATAGTTACAACAACTAAGTATGTATGTACTATTAGCACTGCGTGTAGCCACACAAGCGCAACAGCAACAGTAACAACAACAACAACAACAACCGTCCAACCAGCCAGCCAAAGCAATAACAACATGTGCGTGTGCTTTTTATGCTATTGGCACACGAAAAAGCTTTGCTAAGAACTTTTGCTCTCGCACTCGAACGAGACGGGGTTTTACTTGTATATATTTGTGAGTGTGTTAGTGTGGGTGCGTGTGAGGGGCTTTTTTTTTTTTTTGCTGGCTGGCTGGCTGCTGTTGCTGTTAGTTCTACAGACAGTTGACGAGTTGCCTTCATGCCAAGCGGACGTTGTGGCTGCAGAATTGAGTGAACAATAAAAGTAAATATACAGCACACTGTATGTCTGTATGTATGTATGTGTGTGTGTGCTAGTGTGCGAGTGCATGTGTAGAGCAACAACAATTAAAGCCATCAAATCACAGCTACTACTTAGAAATTATTAAATAGAAAAGTGGCAACTACTCGAACTAAACGTGATTCAATTCAAAATTGCTTGGCAACCTTTGAAAGTAAAAGTTATGTGATAGCAGTCTGTGCTTTTTCGCAGTGAAATTATCCTGCGTGTAACGCGTGTAACGGTATTCGTGTTTGTGTTCGTGTACGTGTGCGTGTGTGCGCAGGACGTGCCAAAAAAAAGCTCCTTATCAACAGCAGCAGGCTGTTTATTGTTGATAATCAGGCACAGCAGACACAGCAGTTGGTTAGCAATATTCAAATATTCAAATTTAAGAAACTGTGCAACTGGAAGTTAAAGCGAAATATTTGTACCAATAACGAACAACGGAAGTGCTCAAACGAGTTCTGAACAACAAAATGGCTTCCATGGCTGCTTTTGATCAAATCAAAATTGGACTCAAGTAAGTTAAAAAGTATGCTAAGCAGCTAATGGGCAAAAGTTTGGTTGCCGCTCATTAGCAGCGTTTAAGCTATTCAGTCTGAAAGTTCAAAAGACACAATCATTTCGGGGATTTCCGCTAAGGAAGTCGTTTAATGAGAGTTCGACATATTCCTTTTTTCAATGCATAATTAGGCAGGGATCATTAGTACATATTTCACTCCATATATATTAAAGCGTTTGGTGCATTAAATCATCTTAGTTGCAGATGATCTAAGCACGTTATATTTTTTTTTTCTGATGCGATCGCTTTTTTGCAATTTAACCAACTTCTGTGTATTCTGAATGCATTATGACGTCATTTAATTGTGTCATCGTCGATACAAAAAGTGATCTCTTGACAACCAGATGCTTATATACCAACATTTGTTGCCACTTTCTTGTCTGTCTTTTTCTAAAGCCTCTCAAAAATGTATGTCGCATAGCTTATGCTAATTTTTTGCCTGCTTATACATATTACGAATATATCGAAATACATTTTACAAAATGAGATATTTTTTGCGGTTTTTAAATGTGTTTTTTGACGTCACTTTTGCCAAAGTAAGCGATAAGCTTTGAGTTGCTAGGGCACAAGAAATTTTTACATATGTATGCCTGTATTTAAAAAATATTTAATTGAGTTGTGAAATATGTATATGCATGCATAAAATGTAAAAAAATAATAATGCCCATCAGACTTGTCTGATAAGCTGCCCTGAGCACATGGTCAGGGTTAGGGAAACAGAAGAAAGAAATCTGAGATGCTTGTTTGTCTAAATCTTAGCGTTCAAATATTTAAAGAGCAAGCAAACCGATGCTGATACCTACAGATATATACAGACATATGTGTGTGTCTCGTGCTTATTTTGTCTTCGTGTAGTAAGATAAAGCCGAAATGAAATGAAATGAACAGAATTTGAACAGCTGCGCGAAATGTTTGGTTTGGTTTGGTCAGCGGATATTTGGGTAACAGCTGTTGGCTCAATGGCCCACAACAAACCAAAATTGTTGTCATTTCTATACAGCGCATGTCCTTGGCATACAGAATTATGCTAACACACCCTCAAAAAGCCCTCACACAGACACACGTAGACACGCAAACCTTATTTACGCAGTCAGCACTAGTTGAACTAGTCTAAACGTTACAAATGTTATGTGGAAATAAATGAAATGACAGTAATGTCACAATATGGACAGCAACAGGAGGTGCTCGGCTCTTGGGCCTCATTATTATTTGCTGTTATGACAGGTTTTATATTTGTGTCAGCTAGCTTTTTATTTCTACAGTCCAACTTGCGGGCAATGAATTTCTGTTGAACTTTTGTTACAATTCTTTATACTTTAGTATTTTGAATGTGATTTTTTAGCTTTAAAAGTTTGTTTAGTCTACTTTGCTCTAAAAAGAGGGCTTCCTCGCAACTTCAACTATTTTATTTGCCATCAGAAATAAGTTTATTTTATTAAAAAGCTGTTCAACATGAAGATATTTTAAACATATTTATTAATAAATATTCTACTCTGAGCGAAGAAATATTTGCAATAAGAAACTTATTTTTGTAAAATTTCTAACAAGATGATATGTTTTTAAAAGTTTGTTTGATTTTGAAAAGCCATAATTCTTTAAACAAATACCCTATTATTATGAACTCATTAATGAATATAGCTTTGCACAAAATCTGGGCTGTGCTTCCGAACTTTTTGAATGAATTATTAATTTTTATTTAGATCGAACTTTCTTTGCCACAAGCACAGCTCCAATTGATACAAAAATCATTGTAGAAATGCTTACCTGTATGATTGCGAGTATGAGCTCGTTCTATTGATTGCCCGTGCTCACAGCTTAAGCACCTAATGAGCAAACATAAAAAACGCTGCGTGTCAGCAAATTGCCGGGTCGGACCGAGCCGTCCGCCCATCATTATGGGCGACCGACCGGGTTCTTCGGCTTTTTCCTACAAAATGTCGGCTGCCTTTAAACTGCGCAAATAATTAGGTGGCAGGCTGAATATACAGCGAGTAGTTCGACGTACCGAAACTATTATCTTTGTATGTATATTTTTATTGTTCGTTCTGTTTTTTTTTTTTTTTGTTTGTTTGCCATTGTAGCCGGTAGTTGAGTCATTTTGCTTTTGGCGAAGAATTCTATACATTTGGCTGATTGTCTCATTTGTTGATGAGATCAGCTTGAGCTACAGGTTTCATTCTGTGCGCTGTGGCTTTCTTTGGCAATTTATTTTCGTCTGGGTTAGTGATTTAAGACGAATTGAACAAAAGACAAATGGGTAATGAGTTTGTCGCAATGGGAAGAAGTTGCGTTCCAAATGGCACCAAATCACTTAAGTTTATAGAATGGAGAATCATTAACGCACATGATTTGATTGAAATTGTTTATAGTTCCGGTTGTACCATAAACAAGTTGTTATTGTTTTTAGGCCTTGTTTTACTACAATTTGTCTAGGTTTGGTTTTTTATTTATCCCTATCTGGCTCTTTGATGTGAATTTTGAAATGTGTTTTTGGTTTCATTAAAGAGCGAGCAGTCTAACTTTTTATTGCCTAAAATAAGCTGTAAGCTATAGTCTTCTACGAATATTTTTGGTCAATTCTAAATAAACTTATATGACAGCTTTATAAAATGGTAGATAATGGAGTAGCAGGGATAATATCCCATCATAAAAATGTTTGAAAATAGTTAGCTATTCACGGTGAGATAACCTTTTTTTCGAAAAGGTGTAATACTCGTACACTATAATATATGCCCAAGAAGCTTACACACAAAGTTTGTTGTCTCTACGAATCATAGCTTTTAAGATTAAGGCGCTCATACAGACAAACAAAGACACATGCGGTTGACGAATTAACACTTTCGTTGCTGACCAATCAAGCATCTACAAATAGAACTATTAAGGTATAGCGTATAGAAATGTATAAATAGTTACAATTTTATTCTAGAAGCGTATTCTCTTGTGCTGTATTTTCAATTCCACTTTCCATTTGCTATTTGTTTATGAATTTCTGCACAAGTACTTGAATACATGCATCAATCTATCATTTACACCGTAATAGTGACCTTCGAAATTTTTAGCCAATTTCCGCCATACATAGTTCTAGAGCACATTTTCAAGATTGGCACGCCAGCGAATTGAATTAAAATATGGCGGAATAACGAAAAATGAAACAACAAGTGCTTGGCCTTCGTGAATATGTCGCACAATACTAAGTATAAGCAAAGAATAGCCAACGAGCCGAATTCGCAACGGCGAGAAATTCTTTGAACATTTTATTGCTTTTATTGTTTTCAGCTTGTGATTTTTTGAACGAACGACATGAACAATAAATAAACAAACAACAAAACAATTTTGTGCACTATGTTGCTTGAAAACGAAAGAGAATTCTCCTTTTTTTATTTTTTCATATCGTTTTTTTTTTTGTATATAGTATGGTAGAGACATTGCTTATACGCCTCATGTGTTGCGCACGAGTGTTGCGTACAAAAATCACAGTCTGTGAATTAGGCACAGTGATTGAAAGCATTTTGACAGTTACCGTCAGTCAATGAGCCGGGGAGAGCAACCTTAATGCGTTTTAAAATATTATTTACTATGTCCATATCCAGACAAATTATAATTTGTTCAGTTGTTGACCATGTTTAACAACATTTTTCTTACAAAAGAACCGATCAACAAATGATTTACAGAGGAGTCCCTCGTTTTTCTTAAGACTAAGCATGAATCAGTATGACCAATACTATACGCGTTATAAATAACTTAAAAAATAGATTTTTCTTTCTCCAATGCAATGCGATTACCTCTGTTATTGTCAGCTTTACAGTTACTGTGCCCGTCATTGTCTCTGTAATTAAGTCTGCCACTGTTAAACGAACGTGGCAATAACAATGCATTGTTGTAAATAATGTTGCGTTTACAGCTGTTAGAAGTTCTACTCATTACTGTTACTCAGCAGCGATAACATCACAGTTTTCCACATCACTCTTGTCCACAAGTTCTCACACACATAGTCAAGTCTTGGCGTTTGCTGTCGTTGGCCGCCCACGTTCAAACACACACACAAACATACATATACAAATATATATATAGTATATATACACACATTGGCCCGCCAATTTCATTTAATTTTTGTTACGCTTTTTACTAATTTTGTTGTTAACTGTTGTGTATGCAAAATATACTATATTTGTACAATACAAGTATAGCAGATCACAAAGGCAAAAAAAAAAAACGACAGAAATTAAGCTGAATTGAGAATAAAAGAAATAAAAAAATTGCCACAGCATCAGCAGAAATTTAAAAAATGTATACACAAGAGCTTTTTTGTGCTATCGTTGTTGTTGTTGTTGTTATTGTTCTACAGTCAAAGATAATTTAAAATTGCACGTTAGTTGTCAAATTGAATGAATGAATGCGTTATATGAATAAAAATGTTTGCGAGATTTCATTTCTATTTTATTGCTTTTGTTGTTCTGCTTCCAAGCAGCTCTGCGCAGTTTGGGGAAACATTAATCATGTCAGTAATGAAATGAATGAAAATATATGTATAAATATTATCTGAAGGGAATTTAAATGCAAATGAACTGTAAATAATATAAGACCAACCTACGTGGAATTGATTTTTTTTTAATTTCCAGCAGGCCATATTTCAAATGACAAAAATGGAATATAAATTGCAACTAATTTATGATTGAGAAAATGAATTTTAAAGGAATGGAATGAATAAAATGTACACACTTGTAATGAATTTATTAAAAAAAAATATATATATTAAATGCAAGAAAATATCAAACAAAATATGAAATAAAAATTAAATCAATTATGAGCCAAAATAGGAGGCACACAATTTTATAAAAATTCAATAAAATATTGACAAAATTATTCAAACAACTATTGACTACTCTTCAGCTTTAATGTTAAATTCTTTCTGAATAGCTGCTTCTTCAGCTTTACAAACGTTGCTGATCTTAGGGAGACACGCAGTGAGGATTGTGTCTTCTGTTTCAAATTTAAGTCTCTTTCTTTAGCTCTGCAGTCTAAACAAACAAACTGTATTATAAGTACATGCTCTATAGATCTGTAGTTGAAGTTGGAAGGAGAGTGAAATATAATAAATTTAAATATAATAAAAATGCAAATATTCTTCGGAATATTCTTCATCTTGGGTCTTGAATACTAAAATTAAAAATTCTGTTATACTTAGCTGTTCATGTTCAGTCAAATTTTTGAGCTAAAGTGCGTCTTGATCTCTTCCATAACATGGCAGCATTTCGTTCATTGAATACACATCGCAATGTATCACAATCCATAATGTTTAACAAACCGAACAGATAGTCTGACAGCGACAAAGATAACATTCAAAATAATCAAACTTTTTAAATGATAACCAATTTCGTAAACACAACGATAATGTGACAGCGACCAAGATTATTTTCAAAGTAATCGAAATATTTAAATGATAAACACAATCAATGAATTTTCCCAAACAAATTATAGAGACAACAAAAAACAAAGCAATATTAAAAATTGCATTGTTTCCCTCCGTTGCTTAAGTTGCAACCCAGATATAGTAATAGTTCTCTTATTCATATAGCTGTCAACAGGTCGAACAATTGAGTCTTAAAATCTAGAATTCGTCATTTCAGCTACATTAGATGTGCTATCAGATTAGAGTATTCAGAGGGTGTTTTGTTCTGCAACAGTGTGTTGTAAGGGACACTTTGTCCCTTTTCAATGTTCGTTGCAATATTCGTAATGCAAATAGTTTAATTCAAAACAGATGAATAAGTGTAGTATGCCCCTAATCTACAGGGCATAATTAACATAATGCCTTAAATTGTAAAGCCTCTTTGGTGCTGCTTTGCGCATTGTTCTCAGCACATATCAACGAGTTCTGCCAGCTTAAGCATTTGTAGTGCATCTCTTACTATGTCAGTGCAGCTCATCACACTCCTTGACCTGCAACATTCCGTCATTCCGTCGACATGTCCACTTGACATCCCTAGAACAGCAATTTACAGTGCGCCAGCACCAGCAGCCCAGCCAGCCCAGCCAGCCCATCGCTCCACACTTCTCTACACACATCCCTCGCCGTTCTCTACAAATGTTAGCCTTGCACAGGCCGTGAGCTTTTCCGCCATTCATGCATTCATTCATGTTCACGAGCAGAAGCTTTTTGGCGCCACTTTGCAGCGCAACGCAGCAGCCAGCAGAAAGCTTTCTGCAGCCGTCCCAAGGTCATGAGTCGGCAATGGCCAGCAGCCACAGCTACAGATGCCGCACATTTTCTCATTCCCTTGCACTTTTCATACATATGTATAAGTATAGGTATGTATATAAGGAGGTATATTAGTTAAGCATATAATGTACAATTGTGGGTGTGTTTGTGCATTGCATGACTTGTCAAATTCTGTGGAAAATACACGGTGATCAACTTTGCGAAAAGGAAATTATAGAGAGTGCGCGCCCACCTTTATGGAAAATATCCTACATGTCTGTTCATTTTATTTTATTACATACTTGTATATCTGAAATAATGTACAATCTACTTGTACTATATATAATCATTTTTTGTACGTCGCGTGGCCACGCAAATTCCTGCGTATTCGTGCCGATATATGTATGTACATACATACGGCCCTGACTTATTTGCTTTGTGGCTCCGCCGACCAGCCAGCCAGACAAGTGGTCGGTCGCAGTCGCAGTCGCAATCACATTTGATGGCCATTGGCGCTATCTCTGATATTTGTTTAGACTACGAACGGCGGCTTGCCGGATTCTAGACTGAACGACTCTAGTTGTTGTTGTTGTCATTGTTCTCGGGGACTGATAAGGCGTAGACTCGTGCCTGTAACATCTCGCATTGTTGGTACAGTAATGTGGAAAAGTTTTAAGATTATTGTGAAAACATGACGGTAAATAGAAATCTGATTCGTTTATCACTAGGCTAATCAAGCAAGGGATCAAGCATCAGCAACAGGTATTATGGAAATGAAGGTGAGAGTTCAGCCTTTACAGATGGTGTGCAAAGAACAGGTATATACTATATCTTCGATGATGTTGATAGGGATCTAAATGTATATACTATACGTATAGGGTCTTAAAAGTGCAGTTAGACTTTAGTATACTTGTAGTAAACAGCCCCGGGTAAACTATACAAGAAATTTTTTCAATTTTCAAAATGATTAAAATTGAAATTAATTAAAAAATGTTCTTAGACTAAGCGATTTGTAATTAAATTAAAAGTTGTCTATAGATTTACATTAAGGCAATATTTCTTTGGAAACTATGGTGATCGCTTAATAAAAAATTATAAAAAAATTACTTCAAATTTCAAATAATAATATAATATCAAATTTTCGGACACATTTTTTTAAAATTTAAATAATCAAGATCCTACTAAGTAGTAAGAAAAGTTCCCTGATTAAGGTAAGAGTAAATAAATAGAAAAACTATTCGTTTGGCAAAACTATTTGAAACTGTTTTTTTTAAATAAAATAAATGTGTAGTAAATAAAAGTACTAAGTACTAGCTTTGTTAGCGCGAATTAAGGAATTCTTAGAATTGAATATAAATTACATTTAAACCAAGTTAAAAGTGAGTGCGAGTTTTTTATCGATAGTTATACATATAGTCAACATATTTTAAGATAAATCCAAGTCCTGTTTAATTAGAATTATTGTTGTTTTTGTTGTTGAAAGCAATCTTCTTCTTGAGAATTAGCAATTATTTGATCATTATTTTCGGCAAAAAGTAATTGAATTTTTGTTTCTTTAAAGCTCGGATTTTATTAATTTTATAAATATTTGCATCATAAGAAATATCACGATAATATCCTTACGGATATTACGGCCTAGCAAGATTAGAACATTTGTCAAAAGTATAGAGTCCCCTTCTCCTATTAAACTTAATGATTCTGTCTCTTCAAAGAGGACAGCATTAACGTTTTTAATAAGTTTACAAGTTTAAGTTACAATATCGTTGTTATTGTAAATGTAATTTAAAATAATTACGATACTGCCGTTTTTCGTAGCCGTAACTAGGCTGGAGACCTTGCTGTCAGTGCTATCCCTACCTACCTGTCGAGTGAAAATGTATTTTTTTTGTACAAAACATTCAAAATCATAAATAAATTCTAGCCAAATTACTTGGCCACCCAAAAACGAAGTCGTTCGAAGAGTTCAAGGCTTGAAGCAAGATGCTGGCACGTCTAACACGGGTACTGCCCGCCCATTCGACCCATTTGCTGAAGCAGTCGCCACAGCGTCTCTGGAGCTCCACCTCCGGTCGCACGTTGCTCCAACAGCAGCCGAAATATGAGGCCAAGTCGTTGCTGTTGACGCTTCGATCCAAGCCACCGAGCCTGAATACCCGGGACTATTCGCGTGACTCGCGGGGCAGGGACCGCACGCACTTGGGTCAGCGCACTGGACCGTCGATGAAGGAGCGCCTGATGGGACCGCCCGGAGAGAATGCCTACTCCATGGGCAAGGGTGCGGCTGGAGGGGCGGCACTGATGGGACTGGTGGCGCTTTGCTACTACGGATTGGGTCTGAGCAAGCAGCCTAGCTTGTACGATCACTCGGTGCTGTGGCCGCAATATGTGAAGGATCGCATCCATGCCACCTACGCCTACTTTGGAGCTTCGTGCGCCATCACGGCGGCTTCGGCATTGGCCGTATTTCAATCGGATGCACTGCTCGGACTGCTCATGCGCAGCGGCTGGGTGTCGACGTTGGTCACACTTGGCGTGGTGATGGCCACGGGCGCCGTCGCCCAAGCCATTGACTACGAGCCGGGCTTTGGGGCCAAGCAACTCGCCTGGGCCTTGCATTGTGGTGTGCTGGGCGCCGTCATAGCACCCATGTGCTTCCTGGGTGGCCCGATACTGACGCGGGCCCTGCTCTATACGGGCGGAATTGTGGGCGCCCTTTCTACGGTGGCGGCCTGTGCGCCCAGCGATAAGTTCCTTTATATGGGTGGACCACTTGCTATTGGTCTGGGCGTTATATTTGCCTCGTCCCTGGCCTCCATGTGGCTGCCGCCCACAACGGCTGTGGGCGCGGGTCTGGCCTCAATGTCGCTCTACGGCGGTCTCATACTTTTCAGCGGTTTTCTGCTCTACGACACCCAGAGAATTGTGCACAACGCCGAGCTCCATCCGGAGCATAGTAAAGTCAGATACGATCCGATCAATAATGCTCTTGCTATTTATATGGACGCTCTGAACATTTTCATACGCATTGCCATCATTTTGGCTGGCGACCAGCAGGGCAGAAAGAGGTAACTGCATTAGTCTTGAAACGGCCAGATAACACTGAAGAAAATGGGAAAAATTATTCACTTTGGTCAATTCAGAATTGTCTTTCTACATCTTTGAGTATCAATTGTTATATCATGGAGAACATTTTACATAATTTGGCTTTTAATTCGACAAATAAATTGAAAATAGTTTCGTAAAAACATCCATCAGCATTGTTTTTCGATTAAAAGCGATATTGCGATATACTTATATATATTCCCAATTGACTGTATTATAAATGTTGTTTCAAAAGATTTTATTGTTAATTGTTTATTTGGTGGTTTTTCTCACGCATTTTTTCCCAGCATTACAATGTTATTAATTTTTCAGCACCTTTGTAATTAAAACAGATTTGTTTCTGACATGTTTGCTTTTCTGATTCATTAAAATGTATCTCACTTTATTTCCCATTTAATTTTCCTTGGTTCTGTCGCCATTTTGCGATTTTCTATTGCTTGCCTTCTACTGTCATTTGTAAAATCTATGCATAAATCATTTTTCCTGCCTTCCCAAACATCACCTCTGAGCCAAACTGGTTCACACTGACCAAATGTGGTTATAAGAGCCATTTTACCAATATTCGAGTATAGTCTTGGCGTTGTCAAATAAATGATGTTCAACACTTTTTCGTCAGCTGCAGCTGAGCTATTTATTTATCTGCCGCTTAATTGCAAATGGAAATGTATGGCTAATTATAAAAGGCAGGGCATGTGTTCTCCTCAATTGAGTTCAACACTGTGCTACAAAAATGGAAAGCAATTGTTTGTCAGAGAACGTGAATATTGTTTGTTTAATTTACAAATTTTGTCTTTCCTTTTTGTTGAGATTATAAGAATTTCAGCGCGTCGATGACTTAACAACCTTTAATACATGTTTGGACTTAAAGTGGAATTTAATTTTAATGAAATTTTAAATTACTTTGAATTTTATTTGCATTTTATTTTATTTAAGTCAATTATAATTTCATTTTTATATAATTTTTGTACCATTTTTTTTTGTAGAGTTCAACACCTAAATGGGTGAAAATTCGAATCAAATCCCTAGAGGCACTTTCGAAGCACTTGCTCTAAATCTAAAGAAAAGCATAGACAAGTAAAGGGGGAAATGGAAAGTTGTGTTCCATAATCTAATTATAAACGCCTGCTTATTTGTTGTTTTCCCCAACATTTCTGCTGCTGTCGTCACTCTTGGCTAATCAGTTGGCAGTTTTTTCTGCTTTTTCTCATCGCACGAATTTGTTTATTTTACTTAAAATTTATTTTTGCCCATAGATTGTTGTGCTGGCTGGAAATAAAGTATGGAAGCTTGGCGTTTCTTTCTGATATTACATAAAATACTTGAAAAAGATCATGGTGTGAAATATTGATTGATCCACGCATAAAGCTGGCAAAATAAACCATAAATAATCGCATCAACTTTGACATTTGCTGACAGCGCACAATTTTTTTTTGGTAATAGAGCTTGGAAGTGGAGAGCCCGACAATGCCTAATTTTTTATGTATTGGCCATAACAATTTGTGAAACGACTTCGGTGGCCAAAAAAATGCGTCTACCAATTTATGAGCACACCTTTGATTATATTCCGAAGTCTGGGCATATGTAATAAAATTTACCGACGTAGGTGCGGCCTGAATGGAAAATAAAGGACCTAAAAAATGCGCTTTGCACACGCAATGCGCGTATTATAAGTTTTCCTGTTTTCCTTCCATCTTTCCTGCTTTCCTTTCTCGTTTTCATTTTGATGGCCACAAATTACGATGGTCATGTCATAAACATTATTTAGATTGACTTCATTTTTTGCTGTAGTTGTTTTTGATAGGTGTCAGCCATTAACTTAAGCGTTGACTTGCACAATTCTGTGGCAAAGTTCAAGGCTAGCACTGATAGCGACACATAAAGAATTAGTCCGCGTATTTATAGGTTGCTTTATTTCCCATAAAACGAACGAAAACTTTAGCGTTCTGTATTTCTCTTTTCTCTTCGGTTCTTTTTTTCTGCTCTGCCTCTCCACATGCTTTTTGGCAACATCGTGTTGGCTATTAATAAACATAAATATGGCATCTCTCAGCCATTGTGGCTGACATTTGCAAATAAGATTTGCGTTTTATTTTATTGCCTGCCATATGCATACGCATTTTGTAAGTACCAGAACAAGTATATGTATGTACCACAGTATATTTATAGTATATATGAAGTCTATACTATATCGTTGGATACAATGTAGAGAACGCTGTGTGCTTAAAAATGAAATCACGTATACGCAACGTTGACTGAGTTCATAATGCCGCCCACAACTTTTAGGTGAAAAAGGCAATTCAGCTCTGAGGTGCCAGTAACATTTCAATCTGAAATAAATTATGGCAGTATTAGGTTTATTATTAATTGCTTTGATTTTAATGCTTACAGCCTGAAGTGAAAATTGAAAACAATTTAATGTACTATATATACAATACGATAATATTGTATAGTACTTATATAGATATGTGTAGTAGTAGCGCACTTTCTTTGTTGGCACAAATTCAAAGTAATTAAATATCAAGCTGAAAAATGTTTGTGCAATTTAAAAATATATTTATAAATATTTTAAAGCACACTAGATTTTGATGGCCTAAACGAAAATTTTAATTAACTATTAGCACATACTATTATGCTAAAAAAATTAAGATTTCATGCTGTTTGACAATATATTTCATAAAACAAAAGTTCACATTTAATTGTCATAGTTCTAGTTAGAAGTTTTGGTTATGTTGTCTATTATTTCAAATACTTTATAGAAGAAGGGGCAAAAATAAACGATTTCGAAGATTGTTCCTCAAATAGGCATTTATTTCTGAATGTTTTCTTAAGCCCTTTATTTATGGCATGTTTTTAAATCACTTAATTTGCAATAGAATTACAGTTTTGGCTTAGCTTTAAAAAAAGAACCGTGATGGCATTTGCATCGACCATGGCCTGGCAATGACCGAATTCGCGCTCGCATTCCTTAAATTTTTCTATCGTGACCATCATTTTGAGAAAGGCCATTGCCATATGAGTGTGCATTGTTTCTCTGCATTCAGAGATGTGGAACACGGCGGTATTGTCGCCATATTCTCTCAAAGATTGTAATGCCTTGAAAGTCAGCAAAGAATGGGGTTTCAGAAATGTTTAATGACGATAGCTACTTTTGTATAGATCTGAAACTAAAGGTGTCATTAGAGAACTTATTATTTATAATTTTTGTTAAACAAATTATATTAAACATCGGCTGAAATGAGTTCTTAATTTAATAAAGCTAAATGCGTCAGATAACTAACGTCAGATGTCTACACATTAAAAAATAATTCGAGTTGTGACGCGAATGACGATAGCTACTTTTGTATATATTCTTTGGGAATAAATTAAAGGTGTCACTAAAGAACTTAATATTTAAAGTTTTTGTTAAACAAATTAAATTAAACATCTGAATTTAGTAAAGCTACTTTAGTAAAGGCGTCAGATAACTAAACGTCAGATGTCTACACATTAAAAAAGAAGTCGATTTGTGACGTGAAGACATTAAATCTCATTTCTTTTTCATTGAAAGACAGCAAAGAAAAGTTTCATGACGATAGCAACTTTTGTATATATTCTTTGGGAATAAATTAAAGGTGTCACTAAAGAACTTAATATTTAAAGTTTTTGTTAAACATCTGCATTTAGTAAAGCTACTTTAATAAAGGCGTCAGATAACTAAACGTCAGATGTCTACACATTAAAAAAGAAGTCGATTTGTGACGTGAAGACATTACATCTCATTTCTATAGGGGAGGGGGATTTAATAATCAGATTTTCTAAGATACATATCTTTCAACTATTTACGTTCATCATATGTATATCGACTTAGATGAAGTGGGATCAACTTCTCAAACTTATTCTACATAATAGCATCTGTATATGTGTACGAAATTATAAATACACATAAAGCAAATGTATTTACCCATCTCATTGTATTTAATAGAAAATTTCCACTCGCCTTTTACATTGACATCAACAATAAAAATACGCATTAGCCCTTTGTGCCAAATCGAATTGGGTATTTCAAAGAACCTTCTTCACAATAAAATTCTTGTCTGCTGTGGGTGCTAAACGATTTTGGAAGAACAAATTTTTAAAATGAATGCGCTGATACACAAATAAAATGGCGAATGGGAAAGAAGAGTGTGGAGGGGACCGTGTGACGCGCTTAAATTAAGGTGAGGTACTTAGGCTAAGACGCGCTGATAAATGGCGAACACCTGGACGAGCTGACTGATAAAAAATTTGCTTTATCAACGGCAAACGCGTAAAGGCAAACGGAAAGACGTCTCATCAATATAAACAATTTTCGTTTACAACTACAAATGTTTAGCAAATTTTTAGCCAAAAGCGGCCTCGCCGATTGCGACTGATTAATGGAGACTTGTGATAGCTTTATTTCTAGCGAAATTTCAATTTTTAGGTGCGGTACGGTAGCAAAGCAAGTGAGTTGGGAATTGTACGCATTGTCTAGATTAGATTTGTGTGTATTTGTGTTGTCTCATTTCAACAAACACCCACAGTAAGTGACAAACAACTTCCTACATTTCTCACCCTCAGAATGGTCGACTTCAAGGTACAGCAGCGACGCAACCGCACCAGCGAGAAGACAATTGTCAGTACCACCTATGGGCCCATCAAGGGCGTAAAGCGCAAGTCCATCTACGGCCAATCGTATTTCAGTTTCGAGAAAATCCCCTTCGCCAAACCCCCCCTGGGAGAGTTGCGCTACAAGGCCCCACAGCCCCCAGAGCCATGGACAGAGGTCAGGAGCTGCACATCGCAGGGCACAAAGCCTTTGCAAAAGCACTTTGTGTTCGAAATGACCGATGGTTCAGAGGATTGCCTCTATCTCAATGTTTATACGAAGAATGTAAGTGCAACCCAAGACCTTCAATATCAAGAATTTCTTTGGTACACAGAACAATAGGAGTATAGAAAATTATTGTTGTTAACCGATGCTATGGTTGGAGTTCTAAGGCTTTGGAAAGTGGCTCAAAAGCTAATTTTTTATAGATCACAGAATCATTTCTTATAGAGTTTTGTGCAGCACAGTAACTGTACTTAAAAGGTTCCGAATGTTGGTTCCGAATGTTTGTTCGGCAATTAGTAGCGTCAGTTTTTAATTGGTGGAAAAAATATTGGATTTGAAAAAGCTTTGTAGCGAGGTTTTAGAATTAGATGCTTTTTATTTTTTAAGTATCTAGGTTTTATAACAAAATGTGGTTCGGGAAGCGGTTACTGGGGCTTAGGACTGCGGTCCCAAAAAGTGCTTTATGAGCAACATTTTGAACGAGGAACTAGATTTGAAAGCATCCAGAGCGAAATTGAAGGAACAGGTTCTTAAAGCTTGAGGGTTACGTTCTGGAAGTATATTTCTAGGTTTTATGGCGAAAGGTGGATCGGAAACCGGTTACTGAGGTTTAGGACTGCGGTCCCAAAAATTGCTTTATGAGAAGAAGAAGATTTTAAAGGCCTCAGAGCCGTATCGGAGGAACAGGTTCTTGTAGCTTGAAGACAACATTTAGGAACTAGTTTTCGAAACCCCTAAATGGCTTTTGAAGAACCGGTTCTATGAGGTTTTACAAAATTGTCTATATGAAGACTTTTAAGAGCGCTTAGGCTGTCTAATAAATCGGTTTTTGTAGAAATGCAGTATTAAATATCCTTACCCAAAGCCAATTTTATTATTATTCTATAGCCTACAATTCTCAACAATTTGCTAATTAGTCATATACTCTATTTTACAGCTTTATCCCTCCAAGCCCATGCCCGTTATGGTGTGGATCTATGGTGGCGGCTTTCAGTTTGGCGAGGCCTCCCGTGAATGCTACAGTCCGGACTATTTGTTGCGCGAAGATGTGGTGGTCATATCCATTAACTATCGATTGGGTCCCTTAGGTATGCACATATGGTACGATTTGTAAAGAATCGGATTAATAGTCGTCTTATATTACAGGTTTTCTCTGTCTGGAGGATCCCGAATTCGATGTTCCCGGCAATGCAGGTCTCAAGGATCAAGTCCTGGCCCTGCGCTGGGTCAAGGCTAACTGCTCGCGCTTTGGTGGCGATTCGGGCAACATCACAATTTTTGGCGACAGCGCCGGCAGCGCTTCCGTTCACTACATGATGATAACGGAACAGACGCGCGGTCTCTTCCACAAGGCCATCTGCATGTCTGGCAACACGCTCTCCCCCTGGGCCGTCACACCTCAGCGCAATTGGCCGTATCGGCTGGCCGTGCAAGCGGGCTACACGGGCGACAATTCGGAGCATGAGGTGTGGGAGTTTCTGCGCAATGCCAAGGGCTCGGACATCATTAAAGCGAATGGTGAGCTGTGCATTGATGAAGAGAAAAAGGAGCGCATTGGCTTCTCATTTGGACCGGTTATCGAGCCATATGTGACCAGCCACACGGTGGTGCCCAAAAAACCCATTGAGATGATGCGCACGGCCTGGAGCAACAACATACCGCTTATACTGGGCGGTGTCTCCAACGAGGGTCTATTGCTCTACTCTGAGACGAAGGCGAATCCCAAGTGCTTGAATGAGTTGGGCGATTGCCGATTTGTAGTGCCCATTGAGTTGGACATGGATCGTGATAGCGAGCTGTGCAAGGATTATGGCGAGCAGCTCAGACAGACTTATTATGGCGATAAGACGCCCAGCCTAGACACGCTCCACGAGTATCTGCAGGTGAGGCAATCGTGCTGAAATAGTTTCTAATCAGAAGAAGTTATTGCTTCCATAAACAATCGGCAGTTGTGGTTGAAAAACGATTGATTCCAATGTTTTCAAATAGTTTCTAATCAGAAGAAATTATTTCTTCCACTCATGACGTAAAGTAACTCAAACAATCGGCAGTTGTGGTTGAAAAACGATTGATTCCAATGTTTTCAAATAGTTTCTAATCAGAAGAAATTGTTTCTTCCATTCATGGTTGAAATAGTTTCTGATCAGAAGAAGTTATTGCTTCCATACACAATCGGCAGTTGTGGTTGAAAAATTATTGATTCCAATGTTTTCAACTCTACTTCTTAGACTAACATCAATAGTAATTGAAATATTTGGTATTTTCTTTTAGAAATCGCTAGTTTTTGTCATTGACTAATCGTTCTGTTCTTTCCTCTTGCAGATGGTGTCGCACGAGTACTTCTGGTTCCCCATTTATCGTACAGTATTGTCGCGCCTGGAGTATGCGCGTAACGCACCCACCTATTTGTATCGCTTCGATTTCGATTCGAAGCACTTCAATCACCTGCGCATCCTTAGCTGTGGCAAGAAGGTGCGCGGCACCTGCCACGGTGATGATCTCTCGTATTTGTTCTACAACTCGCTGGCGAGAAAATTGAAGAATCATACCCGAGAATACAAATGCATTGAGCGGCTGGTTGGGCTCTGGACCCATTTTGCCACCTATGGTAATCCGAATTTCGATCCCGAACAGGCGGACCTGTGGCAGCCAGTGGCGCCGGAATCACTCGAGAAACATCAGCTAAAGTGCCTTAATATATCCGATGAGCTGAAGATTATCGATGTGCCTGAGATGCGCAAACTGATGGTCTGGGAGGGTTTCTTTCGACGCGACGAGCTCCTGTAGAGTGGGTGGAGTGACAGCCTTAGATGCTCTAGAGCTTACTTGTATTGTAGCATTATCCTATGGTTCTCACAGCTTTATGTTGTAGCCTCTGTTTTGAAACAAAGCAAAGCTAAGTAAAGCAAAGCTTTAAACTGTCGCTGGACATGTTGTTAAGTTTATCGATATCCGTATAGGTATCAGTATCGGTATCGGTATCGAAGTCGTATTAAGTTTGTTAAAGTTGGCAGATAAACTATACTATAAGTAGAGTGCTATGCTATTTTTGCGATCCCGTTACGGCCGTAGTCTAAAGATTACATGGTAAGAGAATGAGATTAGGTTCTAGACTAGACTTCTAGTGGATATTGATATGGAAACAAGTCGCAACTGAAGTACCTTTCTGATGGGCGCGCTGGACAGCCAAGGAATTTAATTTAAGAAAAATATTCAATGTTCCTTAAGTGTCGCAAAAGAAAACTACAATGAAGAAAACACCCAACTTGCATATAAGTATATCAAACATATTTAATATGCGGTTGATAACAACGGAACAGACAACTCTCACAAACTACAAAGGGACAGACAGACAGATAATTTGTACACAAATGCCAGACATACAATACTTGTAGAAAAGAAATGCCAAAGGGCAGAAAACTATAGAATTGTTATCGCTTCAAATTCAATACATACAACTACTACAGTTTTGTGTGCAAAATATATGCCTGTCTTCTGACCATAGCATATCATATTACTGATTTAATTTTGATTTAAAACTCTCTCTTCCATTTAGGCGAACGCGCGCACAATTTTTACTAAGTCAAGCGCTTTTAAAAGATATAGGTACGAGAACATCAATTTTTTTCTAATGTCTTCACATTATTTACATATTAGATAGATTTTTTGCAAATGACATGAGACAGGAAGAATCCAGTTTATTTATAAATCATTTAGCTTTAAATACCTTTATATATTTATCCATTTTGAATGTATGTTTTTATGTGATGCCTACAATTTTTTAGTAACAAACATATTTTTGCGATTGTCACAAACAAAACCAGTCCAAGTTTTTTGTATTTTTGAAAATGCTTGTTGTTGACAAAAAAATAAAAAATAAAGAGTACCAAAAACAAAAAACAAAAACGTTTACATACTACTATTAAAGCTACAAATTTACAAGTTAAAAGCTAGTGGTAATAGAGAACTAATATTCAAATTACACGTGAATCGAAACACCTAGCAAGGTAATTGAAAGTGCACACGGAGAACCAAATGGTTCCCGCTTATTAAACCAACTAAGCATTAATTAATTATGGGTTCGAGTCTGTATTTGAAAATTGTTTTAAAGAGAACTTTCTCAAAAGCTTGGATGTGATGCAAAGAAACTATAAAATGTAATGCAAACAAAACTAAAAAATCGAAAATTTAATTGAAAAATTTATTTTAATAAATGAAAGTTGTAAGAAGAGAACGAATAAAAGAGCAAAACCTTTCAAAAATGTGCTGTTGTATATTGGACTGAATTCTAAAAACTCTGGCAGCCTAGAACTCTTTGCAAATGTTTTCAGTTTCAAAGAATGAGAAAGTACATTATTTTATTTACTAAATTGCCAGCAACCTGCCATAAGTCCAATGGTGTGAAGACTTTAACCTACTTTGATATTGTACAAAAGTAAGTAGAGTCCTACAAAATTGAGCATTAAATGTTTGAAGGTATGATGGTCCTAAACCCGAAGGCAGGCAGTGCGGGGCTATGTGAAATTAGAATAAACTTTAAAAGGAACTAGATTTGTTTTCAATTTTTGTTATATCCAGTCTTTTTATGTTCTACCAACCTATATAACCAGGATTAGAAAATGAATTCCAGTTCAAAAAAGTTCGCTGGTCTGCTTGTCAGTATGATCCTCTTTAGTTCAAAAACCGCTAGTGTTAGGGAATCGAAACTTGGTACGATTATTTCCCATATATTAAAGCAAATGAAGTTTGTTTTCAATATTCGATAGCTTGAATTTATCTTACAGCAGCCATATAAAGGGGATTTAATTTTTCCATTTAAATGTCAAAATCCTTATATAGTGTGTACAGAAAACAACCCTTTTTTTTGTCCAAATGGCATTGAGTATGGATTTATTGTACAACTGCCACGAATCGATTCGCATTGCTTATCGCCATTATTATTTGGCGAGCCATAAAAGCGCGTCACACACTCATCGCCAGCGTCCGCCACTCATGTGAGCTCTTAAAGTGCAGAATGTGTTTACAAGCGTCTCAAACACGTCTATACTTGAAAAGCGCTGCAATAAACAAAAAAAAGAAAAGTAAAGCGAAATTCTGCAGTTGATAAACAAATCACAAGTTGAAACGTTGCGTGACTAATTCGAGTGGAAATTGCACGCAAGTTGTTAATTAGACGCGTTCTTCATTATTTATTTTTGAACAGTCAGTTGATTATTTGCTAAAATAATTAATATTTAATAGAAGCAGTAATTGAATGGCAGCAACAAAAAGCTAACATTATCTAAACCGATATTGGGTTTAGCCAAAGCGGAAATTTAACAGTCGTTGACAGCGTGACGACGACACCAAAATTATAGCTCGCAGCTGTGGCAGACAAATTAGGTTTTATTTAAAAATAACAACATGTTTGGGCTGGCAAGATCAAATGGCGGTTGCTATGCTAATTAAAACGACAAACTAAGTAGCTGGCTATGGTCTGTATCTCTATGGCACTCATAATTTTGCATACATATAGTATAACTGCCAAGCCGACTGCTATAAAATTATAAGGCCTAAAAGGAACCGGTTTTGCAGTTGCTGTTTTTTATTATTATTATTTTAAATTGTTATAAATAAATCATGAAGCTGCTGATGCAAACAACAATACACCAGTAAGCCAAGTTCAAAGGCGTTCAATTCAGGCGGCCTACTAAGTTGTTAAGTGCAGTTCCCAGTTATAGTTAAAGCCGTTATCTACGGCACTGCGTCATACTTCGAGTATATTATACAAGTACACATATATCTCAGTGCGTTGGCCCCTCATTAAATGGGCACACACACACACACACCCGTACATACATATGTACATAAGTAGGTATTCGTAATTTCAGAGCTTTAACTACTTGGGCGTTTTGCGTCATTTCGTTGATTTTGTGGTTTTCGAGTTCATGCTCAAGGTTACTTTTATGTTTCTGGGATTGTGCGTTTGCGTTTGAATTTTAAAGCAGAACTTTTTATGGTAATCGTAACATTTTTGCGAAACGTGTTTTCCCAACACTTTTGGGGCTTACTGCAATCTAAGCCACATATTTTCTGCCCGCTTTTAAATAAACATTTATTTTGGCTAGCTTTCAAGTGTTTTCATTAAATTTGCATAGTTTTTTGTCATAAATTATGACGTAGTTTCCAGGTGTAATACAAGTTTTTGGGCTTTGGTAATTAACAGTTAAGTCATTTGCAAGATGCTCCACTAGTTAAAGGAGGTTAGAACATGTTCTTATTAATTTGAATTTAATTTGATTATTAATTGCTTAAATATTCTAAAATTCGAATTCAATCTCCAAAAATAAGGTCTTAAGTTATTATGTATTATTTTACGTTATTTTTAAAGGGGTTTATCTTTTTTTATTTAAATAACTTTAGCAGTTCCTTCATTTTTGTATAATTTATACATAAGCATTTGTTTTTCTGAGCAGTCTGTTATGTGATCTCCAATATGTAAAGTACAAGAAGCTTTTTAGCAGAAAACTGTTAACATTAATACAATAGCATTAGAGCTTCCTTCAATTGGCCCGAGCTTTTATACTTATTTACATTTACATAACATGACATTAACTTAACAGTTTTGACTGATAGTCTGTTATACATATATGTAGCAGTGATCTTGAAAGCACAAAAAGTTTTCAAGACTGTGAGCTTTTTTCAAAAATGATGTTGGCGCCAAAGCTTTTTCATTTCATGGCACTGCCAACACAACCGGTTATCAGACCATTGCAATAATACTTATCCCAACACATATGTATATACCTAATTCTGTTTTTACACGGTTTTGATTTAACACGATTTGAAAATTAAAAATTTTTATATCTGGTTACACGACATTATCCCATTTACCACGATTTAAAACAATATATGATCAAAGTCTTTTTACACGGCTTTTTACACTACTTTTGTATATATAAATATAACGTGTATATAACGAGCTAAAAAATTAAATTAATCTGAACAGCAGCTACAAGTATATACTCTACCCCCTGTGCTTTACAACATAAGCTTTATTATAACTTCACTTTATAAAAATACTACGTAGATTTGAAATACAAAAATGTTTTCAATTTTCATTTCGAATTCATTATCTTTTTAAACAAACAAATATTTCATATCAGCACACATCCTAAGTTATATTTTTTAACATAATCTCCATTGTGTTATGACATATTATCCGAGTGCGTGAAAATGAAGCTGTAGGTGGAGTAATGACTGACTCAGACAAGTGAAGCAAACAAATGGGATTTGCATTGGTCTCGTCATGCTAACGGTACATACATACATACATGTACATACATACATGTACATACATACCTACATACGTACAAACTCACACACCAAGTAATGTATCGGTTTCAGAGAAGGGTATTATGAAGAACATTGCACTACGCACACACACACACACACCAGCGTTGACTCACAGGCCTGCCCAAGAGAGCGAACTTAACTGAACAGCTGTTTCTAAACGCTGCTCATATTGGGTCTCTCTTCTTCGCCGTATCTGTGTATCTGTGGCGGCGTTTATCGCTGTCGCTCGCGTTTGGGGCGCACGATATGCTCCCATAGTTTTCTTCGGAGCGACGATCTTGTAATCGTGTTCAGTTTGTGGCGCACATTCGTGTTGAGCGCATTGGTGAGCGGCATTTGAAGCGTGCGTTGTGTATCCCCCTCTTCCGTGACCTGTCATTAAACGTACGGGTACGAGTTACTCGCGTTTATCTGCGTGTGTGTTCGCGTTTGTGCGTGTACGTGAGGACTGGAATTTGGTCTCTTGGACGCTTTCTCTTGCCCGCACTTGGCCAACGAGCGTGAAATTTGGTGCTTGTTTTTTCTCAGTTATTACATTCAATTGTTAATTTGGTGCTAAAAACAAAAAAGCGAACAATCAAATTTTTGTGCTACAGTTCAAATTGCGGACTTGTGACTGCATTTATCAACAAATTCAAAGAAACAGTTGCAGATATGGCAATGCGATTTTTGGATATGATAAAGCTGACCTTTAAGTAAGTTACAACAGAAAAAGAAATAGTAATAAAATAAAATTAAAACACGAAAAACATTCGCTGGTTTTTTCCATTCATTTTTTTGTTTGCGGATTTTTGAGGTCTCGCAAGTTGCAGCAACTCTGAATTTTTTTGCAGATTTGAAGCCGTGGCTGCTGCGGTTAATGTTGTTGTTATTGTTATTGCCACGATCATTTGCCATACATTATCCGTTATCCGTTGTCTGTCTCTGTTGCACAAAATATATGTTGTTGTTGGTGAAATTGTTGCATAAAATTTTGCTGCTGATTTTTTGCATAAACTTAATGCGCGCTTCGCTTAACTTTTTTCATGCCGACCCCATACATGTGAGTAGAAGAGGGCTTTGCTGTTGTTTTTGTGTTATTGTTAGCCACGTTTTGTTTTTGTTTATGTCATTGCTCCTTTTCGTGCAAATAATTTTCATTACATTTCGCCAATTGTTTGCCATTACTTGCACGTACACTTTGAATTGTTTATTGCGGCCGCTTTATAATTTTAAACATATTGCAAGCCACTTGCTTTTTGCTAATCGCGTGTGGGCGTAATAACAATTACTTTTGCAGTTGGCCAAAAGTGTTGACCACTAAAAGCCAGCAAGCCCAACAATTAAACATTTTAATTGTGTATTATTAGTTCATGGCAAGGAACGATTGTGCCTACAGTTTGTAAATATCGCAATGTGTTAATTATTGAATTTTTCAATTGCAATTGTGGCAGCAAGTATTTGGTTACAATTTACAACTGATTTGCCCGAAACTGGGCATATTTTTCCGTATTTCTCATTTTGATGGCAATGTTTATTTTTGTTCTTATATTACTTCCTACATTTTTTAAATACATTTGAATCTCCAAAAAAGATAAAAAGTTGTTTGCTTTAAGAAAGTTTGCCTACACAATTAATTCGCTAATAGATGTAGTACTTTAGATGAAATAACAAAGACTACTAATTTTATGCACTAAAGGGTCAACTACTTGCATTTAGTTCCAAGAACTAGAAGCAGAAGGCTGCAACCACATTACATATTGTTGCTCATAAAATCTTAGTTGTCTTGTTAGGTATTCAGACCAGTTATAATTTATTTTTAGGTAGTTGTATAGTATGTATCAGCACCTCGTTTTCTACACATCACACAAGTATTCAATCAAAGTCTAATATATATATTTATGCAAAAAGTAAATAGATATAGATATTTATGTAGATTTCTTTGTGGGGTTCATTATTTACCCTGAAGCTGCTGCGAAAAAAAACTGCAGTGCACTAACTACAAGTATTTTGTAGAATTAGATTCAAATCTAAAAGCCCTACAAACAAGGTGTTTCGATAGCGAAAAATCTGGTGTGAAAAGTGTGAAAAGAGGGTCGAGAAAGCCTTGAAGACGAGTCGCATCGAAGGCGACCTAGAATATTAATATTAAGCAAATAAAAGAATTGATACCCTAACATTTTCGATTAAAAACTAGAGACATTGCTGATGCTGTCATTACTGTCATTAGGAAAAGTTTTGTGGTTAACGATCCGTCAAATCTAGTTTGGTTCAAAAAACACTACACCACTTGCATTTGTTCTTCTTAACGATTTCGCCAAAAACACGACGCATATCGTTTCAAAAATGGAACAAAGAAAATAAGTTTCCAGACTATGTACTTCGAATATGGGAAAAATCTTAGCTTTAAAGACAGGTTTCAGGAGTTATAATAAATAGCGCGGATCCTATTTGTATACAGTAATTAATTAGAAAGATGGGGTAAACCAATATAGACAGATTCCGCCCTCCATCTGTCTGCTTCTCTGGCTTAAACAAGCTTGCTATGGAAACTCTCTTAGTCTCGTAGGTTAGCTGTGAGTCATATTTGTTTTTGTAATATTTTTGCGAGGCCTTATCTCAAAAATAAAACCAAAAATTCTGTGCATTTGTAGGCACATATGTATAGTATATACTCGTACTAAATAGTATAGCAAGTTGCTACTGTGATAACAACTTTCAGTGTTCTGTGCAGTTCGATACGATATTTTATTATTGTTGCCAGGTGCTGCGGTTGTTTGCAACGATTTGCTAAATTGGCATGACTGCGCACATTTTCCACGCTTTCTGTTTTATTTAATGGCGCCTTCTATTTGTAGTTGAATGAATTAGTTACAGCTTTAATAGCGGTGTCTGATTTATGTAAATCATATGACACGTTAAATAAAGAATACATTTATGTTTTGCATTTTAATTGATACTTCATTTGTTTGGCGTCGATTCGAACTATATGCTCATATTCAATTAAATTGTCTAACGGACTTTAATCAGTGCAACTAAATAATTAATATATGTATGTACGTTTAGCTGATTAGCCGCAGACATCGCATCATTTGTTTTGTTTTTTGTTTGGTTTCTTGATAAGGTAAGCAAATTTGTAGTTGTTAAATTTATGACTTGATTTAACTTTTGAATGCTTCTGGGAAGTCTTTGAAACCCTTCTACATTAAAGCTACGACTTCTTATCTAAACTGCTTGTTATAATTTGCCAATACTTACCAATTGCCAAAAACGAACTAGAAGAAGAGAATCTTTTAAATACCATTATTAGTTAAAGCAATGTAACAACCTTTTGTTTGTTATATTATTGCTCGGATTCTTAAAAAACGTATATAAGAATTGCTTTTCGCTTCAAATCTGATTATCAGATGAAATCTAAATCGCAATGCTGCTAAAATTTCGAGAAACCGGCATAAATGATTAAAAAATTATATTCGGGTTTATCTGGATTTCTGACGACTTTGCAACAACATTTTGTGTTTGTGGATGCCATTAAAGAGTATTAGGATGTATGGTTCGATTGAATTGATATTTACCAGTGATAAGAGCATAAATATTTTTATTTTGACCACTGAATGTTTATTGGGATTTTGAGGATTTTTCTTCTAGTTTTTCTCATGAAGCTATCTAATTATAAATAAATTTCACCTTTCTATATTCCTTGGTCACTTTTCTAACTTGTAAGGTCTGTTAGTATCTTTGGCTTTAACGGACATTATACTATTATATTCTAGTTAACTATCGAGGCTTTTTTATCTTTTTAGCTGTAATTATATTGTTTGTATCTATATGTGATTCTATGTTGATTAAGAAATTAAGTTAAATACATAAATACAGACTATACTTCTTCTTTAGTTTCAAACCTCAGTTTCGCAGTTCTTTTATATTCGATTATAATTTTGATGCTTCTCTCAGCTTTAAAAAATGTATGTACGATTATGGTAATCCTTTTGTAATTAATATTCTCATTTATTTACTAAAGCTTGTTAAATATAAATAATTGAGTTGATTGACAAAAATGCCGGCGACGTTTTCATTTACTTCATTAATCGGGCAGGTTGTTGATACTCGATTTGCATTAACGTCATCTTATTTTCAAGCTGACCAGCTTATTCGAAAACAAAATATTAAATACTAATAGTTAGTGAGGGTGTTTAGACAAGCGATACACGTATCGCCATAAAGCATGCAATCTTTGAACTGTATCTTTATTTTTATTTTCCATGATCAACTTACAAATTGTTGTATTTAGCTCGTCAGAGGCATAATAAAGTGAATTTGTATGCATTTGTTCTGTCATAAAAATTTAAAGTATGTCAGTGCAACGATGCGACTATGCTGCTTAAATATAAAATGATTGATTAACTCAAAACTTCAAGTACACGAACAGACATGAAAATGGTCTAAAAATGCAATAAAACGTAATTGAATTGCAATCCCATGAGGAGGTCTGACACCTACAATACAAGTAGCAACAACAAAACACTGACAACGAGACAAACAAATTAGAAATAGGCAATAAAAGTGTAAAGGCGCAAGCCGAGAGCAACAAAAGCGAATGGAGGCACCGCTCTTGCATATTAAGTGAGTTGGGGTTGGTCAAAAGAAACACAACACTTTCGAAACAAGCCGCACCACACCGCACCACTCTGCACCACACCGCACCACACCGACAACGACAACAACGACATTGAAACAGCCGGCAAAAGGTTCGCCCAAAGCATGATTCAAAACATCCAAGCTGGTTGCGCAAACGCTCGAGACACTGTGCCATAAAATGCGCAAACAGTGAATACTCCCCACAGACGATTTGATTTAATATTCAGTAGCCGCTAAGCAGCGATGAGTTAGTAAACAAGTTAACACTTTATGTATATACTAATGTTTACATAATAGTTCGAGCTATTCGAGTAATAGGTTATTAATTTTAAATAATTTGGTTACATTCTTCTGAACTTGTCTTCTGATTTTGAGAAGATTTATTAATAGGTGTGGCTTTTGGGAAATCTCTGGATATCAATAAATTTGCAATGTTACTAATTCTTTCGATACCTTTGAAGTATGAGTACTATTACTCCATACTATCTCGATACAATTTTAAAGGTTGCATATAAGTTTCTAGCTGTGTAATAATAATTAGTTTTGCAAAGTAAATGGCCGACCTTAAACAATAAGTAGCTCGCTTTTGATTTTATTGTACTATTATTTTTTACTTTAAAATATCCATTCTATCCTAGGAGTATTAGAAATACACATGCTATCCGTTACGTCGATACTCTCCTATTGATAAAAATTGTTCCAAGACAGGACTTTAAGTTAGGCTCAATTGATTTTTCTTAGCTTCTTAGTATAATTGCAAATACATAACTGTTAGTTACATGAGTCGTTCCATACTTAAAAGTTGACTCGATATTGACATGAAGAACTCACGATTCATCGATATTCTTGACTATCTATTGATTGCTAAGTACCTTGAATTTTATACTCAACCATCAGAAATCCATTCTTTAAAATGGAAATGACATACAAAATTGGAGATTTCAAATGACGATTAAGTTGTAACCATTTTTTAAAATACAAAATATCTGCCTATATCTTATAATAAAAATATTGTTTTGTAAATGCAAAGCAGTTCTTATATTTTCTCTCTATCTTTTTCCTATTCCAGGGTGCTCAGCTTTAAATATGATCAGCGTAAGTTGACAACTACTATATTCTCGGTGGTCAAGACGAAACTGGGAGCAGTGCGGGGCGTCAAGCGCAACACAATCTGGGGCGGGAGCTACTACAGTTTTGAGAAGATCCCCTTCGCCAAGCCGCCATTGGGAGAGCTGCGCTTCAGGGCGCCTGAGGCGGCTGAGCCTTGGGAGAGGGAGCTGGATTGCACCTCGGTGGGGGAGAAGCCATTGCAGACTCACATGTTCTTTCGCAAATATGCCGGCTCTGAGGATTGTCTCTATTTGAATGTGTATGCCAAAGATGTAAGTGATGGAAGTAAAAAAAAATTTATTCGACAATAACGAGTATTATTTTCTAGCTACAACCAAGCAATCCACGGCCGGTGCTGGTGTGGATCTATGGCGGCGGATTTCAAGTAGGCGAAGCCTCACGCGACATGTACAGTCCGGACTTCTTCATGTCCAAAGATGTGGTGCTGGTGACCATAGCCTATCGCCTGGGTGCCCTGGGATTTCTCAGCTTAGACGATCCGCAGCTCAATGTGCCCGGCAATGCCGGCCTTAAGGATCAGATAATGGGGCTCAAGTGGGTGCAACAAAATATTGAGGCTTTTGGTGGGGATCCCAATAACGTAACGCTATTCGGTGAGAGCGCTGGCGGAGCCTCAACCCACCTGCTTACGCTGAGCCCACAGACCGAGGGTCTGCTCCACAAGGCTATTGTAATGTCGGGCAGTGCGCTGTGTCCTTGGGCGCAGCCTCCGCGCAATGATTGGGCCTATCGTTTGGCCCAGAAACTTGGCTATACGGGCGAACACAAGGACAAGGAGATCTTTGAGTTCCTGCGCGAGGCCAAGGGCAGTGATCTGGTCAAAGCAGCCGCCACGGTGCTGAGTAAGGAGGAGAAACACCATCGTGTGCTCTTCGCCTTCGGACCCGTCGTGGAGCCCTACCAAAGCGAACAGTGCGTCATTTCGAAGCCACCGTTACAGTTAATGCAGGAGAGCTGGAGCCAACGGGTGCCCATGATGTTTGGCGGCACCAGCTTTGAAGGCCTACTCTTCTACCCAGGTGAGTGAAATGATGAGAGGAAGCTGTTATGATTCGCATATATATATGCATATTTCTCTTGTAGAGGTCATCCGTCGCCCAGCCACATTGGACGAGGTGGGCAACTGCAAGAATATGCTGCCAGCCGATATGGGAGCTGAGGATAATGCACAATTGCGGGAGCAGTACGGATTGCAGCTGAAACGTGCCTACTTCGGCGACGAGCCTTGCAATCAGGCCAACATAATGAAATTTCTGGAGCTGGAGTCATATCGCGAGTTCTGGCATCCCATCTATCGCACCGTATTGGAACGCGTGCGACTGGGCAGTGCTCCGACCTTTTTGTATCGCTTCGATTACGACTCCAAGCTCTGCAATGCCATTCGCATCGTGCTGTGCGGCCCTGAGATGCGTGGTGTCTGCCATGGCGATGATCTGTGCTATATTTTTCACAGCATGCTCTCACATCAATCGGCACCTGGTTCCCCCGAGCATCAGGTAATTACGGGTATGATCGATATCTGGACCAGCTTTGCGGCCAATGGTGATCCCAACTGTGAGACCCTTGAGTCGGTGAAATTTGCGCCATTGGAAAAGGGAGGCGACGTCAAGTGCTTGAATATTGGCGAACAGTTTGAGTTCAAGACATTGCCGGAGCTCGAAAAACTGGAACTATGGGACAGATTCTACACGCATAGCAAGTTATAGGCGGGACATGCATGGAATTGGTTTGATAGCTGTAGCTACCTCAGTGTTTAGATTTGATTTTGAATGGCATGTAAATACATTTGTATATAATTGTTAATTCGATACTATGTCTAATTTATTTTTATTAAGTTTTGCTGTTGTAAATGTTAGTTTGGTTTATCAGAAATTAAAATTTTTTATATTCATACCACTATTCGAAATGTTTTGTTTTTCTTTTCACACTTTTTATACAATGCTTTGCATAACGAATATACTTCTAGATTGTCCTTACAAACACCAGATTACGATAATAAATATTTACTGTAATTTAGTTTATTTATTTCTAGTTTAATTCCATTTCATTTAATTACAAATTTAATGCAGTTTTATTTGATTCAACGTCAAACAATTACAATTATTAATTGTTTCTTTTTTATTTATTTTTTCTTAATATTTCCCTTAGCTTCAATAATTAAATAATTTAATTTTAATTTAATTTTATAATATAATTATTTTTTCTTTTATTATTTTATATTTTTAATTTAATTTTTTATACTATTTGTCTCACTATTATTAATGTGCGATACGTAGGAATTATAATTTAGATTATAGATGTACTTTTGCAAGTGAGCGTCAAATTTAAGTCTAATGTTCTAAGTATTCTTCTCAGTATTGTCTAAGAGACTTCCGATTTTCTTGAATATGATTTTTAATTTCTGCACGATTTATTATTCAAAAAACAAACATAATATTCAAAACCAACCATTCGGTTGTTCAAAGAACTTTAAAACTGTCGAGACTTGTTTTATCATTTTAGGTTCAACTCCATAGTTCTTATAAAGCGTTTTGTATTTGAAGTACTGTATTCCCGTAGTGTATCGGAACGATTTTTTAATAGAATCTCATACCCAGCTAGGTCGCTTGATTGCCTGTATCTTAGTTGTATAAAAATATTAAAGACTTTATTTTTAAACGATATCCGACAGCACTGTAAGCTGTTCACTAAATTTGCTCGCTTCGTGTTTTGTCAACTGTGGTGCACATTCACACACACACATACAAACACACACAGATAAACACACGCATGTACCCTCCTGTGTGTGTGTGATGTGTAAGCCAACGCTTTACAATCAAAGCGACAACAATTTCCGCAACGCCGCCAACGATGGGTAAAAAAAAATTCCATTAAAATTTGTGCAAGTTTTAATCTATTTTTTTTTTAATTTTTTTGGTGGGTGATGCTAAAATGTTTGTGCGGTGAATCTGGGGTCTTTCATCGCACGTTGTTCGCTGCTTGTTGGCCATGGCGCGTGACCTGGGCCGAGTGTCCTGCATGTCCTGGTTGACTGACTGGTGGACGAGGCGCTCATCAGCCGCGTGAAAATTTCATTTGTCGACTTGCGTCAAGCTGGGATTATTTTTCTTGCTCGTTTTTTTTATTCTTTTTTAGTTTAGTTTTTAGACTCGCTTATGGTTACGGTTTTGGTTCGGCATTCCGGTATTCTGCCAGTTTGGTATTCTGGTACCCTGGAGGGCGTGTCAACCAAGCACTGGCGTGCAAAAATGGGCGTAAACTCAATAAATTAGAATTTTTCGGGACTCAGACAATTTTCACTCTTTTCGTTGCTGCAATAGAAAAATATTGCTTTCATTTCTCAACATCCTTTTCTATCCTGTAATGGCATTGAAATAAATATTTAACGATCCTTTTAAATTTAAATTAATGGACATTTTACCGAAGTTGTTCTAGAACTTTATTTACATTATTGTGTGAAATTGGTTCAAATTGCTTTAAGGTTTCCGTAAATTTATTAACTTTGTTAACATTCACTTTTTTTTAAATTTATTTATTGCTTAGTAAATTGAAAAATAAATTACGAATGCGAACGACGATTTAAGGAGCAGTATTTAATTATCATCCGCATTACTTGTGTTTTATTAGATCGTCATAAAATTTAAAATCTATGGACATTCCCGGGTGATGACTATACTATTTAAAATTTATAAGTGTATGATATAGTAATGTTTTAAAATTAATTATATTTCAACAACAAATTTAAACTCTTCTGATCTTCCGTACCACAAATATTTCGTTATTCAGTTGTATTTTCTTAGATTATTTATTAATAATAAAAAATCCATAAAAATAATACGAACAAAGTAGTAAGTGCAGCCGTTATTTAAAACTGTTTTTCTATATTTACTGTTCCAAGATTGCAATGTGTTCACATATTCCATTAAAGTTCAGTCCTTCCCATGAATAATTGTCTTCTTAACAAACGCAGTTATTAATTACTTGTCATTAGCCTCGAAACATTGCTCTAAAATAAATAAGTCTTTTTGTTTCATTATTATTATTGGAGGGGCCTGGCAGAAGCTAACAATATAAGTTTGTTTCTGAGTAAATAAGGAACTAATAAGAAAGGAACTTGTAATGATTTCTTATGAAGTAATTCGATATTGAAAAATATTCTTTTATGTAGGATTTTGTTCTTCAAACAAACAATTTAAAATGAATATCTCTCTTTCAACTTTGTTAAATACTTGTGGTAAATAAAACTAAAATCATTTTTGTGGATTATTAATTTTGAATTAATTTTTGAGAAAAATTATGTTGATGTTTTGATGAATTTGAAAAAAGTACGATATTAAAGAAAAAAAATGTTAGAAAATGAAACTGATATTGTAACTAAAATGCTTAAAAGTAGCATCATGTGTTAGTTTTCTGAAGTGGCAACACTCCGAAGGCCTCGGAAGAAGCGATACTCAACCAATCAATCCAGAAGTTATAAAGGAAATTAATCCGTTAATAATCCGATTAGTTTCTTAAAGTTACTAAGGTAGTAGAAAATACAAGCAATGCCATTTAATAAATGCTTATGCAAATGAAGTATCAATTCAATACTTGGATGGGGGCTAATCGTATACTCGTAATGACATTTTTACATAACAGCTCTGTACTTAAATATTTACCTATCATTTAATTCAAGTGTCTCTGTGCTAAAAGGTCGACGACACACTAAAAACAACATTTGGTTAAACAACTTGACACTTTAAGCATCATTAAACGCCGCTCACGCACACAAGCCCACTTGCCAACACAAAATGGCGCTCACACTCATATTTACTCACACACTTACTGACACAGACACACAAACTTACACAGTTATAACCGCACTTTAAATTGCATTTAATTGTCTTGTTGACATTTACGCCAAGTTTTATTTTATTTTATTAGGCACACACACACCCACACACTTACACCCAGTGACGAAAAAAGTGTCTGCAAAAATGTGCATTAATTAATTCCGAAATGTTGCACAAGTTTTTGAAATAATATAACATAATATATTATATTAGATATGTGGCGTGTGTGCGTGTGTGTGTGTTTTTTCAAGCTGCTATTTATATAGCAACATTTTTTGTTGTTGGCCGTGTGTTTTTTTGCGTGCGCATGAAAGTATGCTACGATTTTTTCACTTACAGCCTTTTTGGGTGTGCATAAGCCATTTTCATCCGCCATGTTGTACGAACCAGCAGGTTGGGGGGCCACTTTGTGCTTTGTTTTTGCACTGGTCTGAGTCTGATCATATTTGTTTGCGGTTTTTACGCGGTGGCGGCTTAACAAAAACAGACACACACATATGTATGTCTATAGGTTTATAGAGAGAGAGAGAGAGAGAGAGAGAGAGAGATAGAGAGAGATGCAGACTTGCAGCTACAACCACAATTATAATGGCAGGACAGACTTCGCCACCGATGTGGTGGCGCTTTATTGAAGTTCAACTTTTATCAAATGAAATTTGCTGGATTACAGGTATTTAGGTAGTTTAGCAGCCTGCGGTCAAGCGCCAGAGCAATACAAGTGGCATTAGCGGTTGTAATTGAATTTCAACTACAGCTACATACATATTTGCAGTTGCATTTCATTTTCAGTTCTTTTTTGTGTGTCTCTGTTCATTCATTGTAGCTTAATTGAATTTAGTGCACCCCAAAGAGAGACTATAATATCGTTGCAGGCTCAGCTCTGCTCTTTATTATTAAATCGTAGCACTTGCATAAAAAATTATATGCCATAGTGAGCGCATGGCATGAAGGGCTTTACAAATCGAATTATGTTAGGCCGCTTTAATTGGCAAAGCCAGTTCATGCTGGCTTTCCATTTGACTTTTGATTGATTTTATTTGCACATTTGATATAGCTGGATTAAATATTTGAAATTCTAATTTGCATTTTTAGAATGTTGTCGCAAATGGAATTGATAGTTGGCTGTCAGTATTTAATTAATAGTAGAAACTTATGGCCTATGTATCGTATATGAGCCAATTAAATATATTTGCCATTGAAAATCGATTATAATTTCATTTTGAATGTTTTATTTCTAATAATGCTGAACACATTTTGAAAAATAATGTTTATAAGTATGTGTGGAAATTGATAGTATAATGGTTAATCTATCAGTTTACTGTCAAATAAATATTATTAAATATTCTTAACTGCAATGGTTATTTTTTGGTTTGTTCATTTCATCAACGAACAATCAATATATTTTGTTCTCTGAAAAAGCGATTGCCGAAATTTTTTTTTCGTTCACTTTTTAAATATATTAATATTTTACTGTTTTGCCTGTTTTCATTCCCAAATCGCATTTTGCGGTTTATGCAAACTATTTTCTCATCATTTGACATTTTAGAACTATCAACAAAAATTTAAGAAACAGTTGACGATTTTGATCGTCTTTGTCTTTATTTATGAAATTATCAAAAAATGTTTTCAACTTTGGTAAATACTTGTTTGAAGCATGCACTTCGATCTACATTGTGTAATGAAATGAAATGAATTTTTCAATTGGCACGAAACTGGTAGCTAAAATCACAAGGATAGAAATATGAAAGAAAAATGTGCCAAGTTGGCGGACGAAGACGCTATGAAACGTCCTTCAGGACAGCTGCTGACCAGCGAACGACACATTTACGTAAAATATGCCAAAAAATTATGTTCACACTTCAGCAGCGGCCAAATAGCGTTTCTATCTCTGTATCTCCATATCACCCCGTCGCCCACTGACCAGTCAGTGTGCTTCTCGCCTCAACACAAATCATTTAGTGGCATGAATTATTGTTGCCGCTTAGAACGTGCTCACAGCGTTAAAGTGTCATTACGTAGCTTAATGAGTCGGCCAGAGGCGCAAAGCAAAAGGAAAAAAGAAGAGGGACAAGCT